GATGTTACATAATATAAGTGTAATATATATATATATATTTATACACACACACATATATATATATATCTGTGCGTGTGCGGGTGTGTGTGTGTGTGCATCTGAATATGCACAGTTATATCTATAACCACGTATCTATATGTATCTATGGCGTATTTGAGAAGGACCAGAGGCTGATAGCCATCCAGATCTGGTTTTCGTATTTCTTTTAGATTTACCCTTTGGTAAATCAACAGCATAGACCCTGAAAATCACTCATTTTTAGTGGAAACTAATTTTCCAACCCCTATCTGACAGGGTTTAAGTCACTCAAACTAGCTTAGCCGGGGATCAACAGAGCCAGTCGAGGTGTGTCGATGTGCCAGGCTGAGATACTGAGTGGGCTAATTCTCCATCTTGCCCTTTGGTCAACCTGGTACTGAAACTGTTTCCATTGATATAAGAATTGTGATTGATCAATATTTAACCTCTGGTAAACTAACAATAGCTGTGGAACATCACCATTTTTAATGGGTAAATCAACTATAAATAGCAGTTTTCAATAGCTATGTTAAATGACCAGAGGGTATCATGTGATTTGTGATGAGTGATTTCCCGATTCATAAAACGTTGTTTCGATTTCACACTGCCGCTGAGCTCACGTCGAAGCAAATCAACCATAGATTAACACATATTAACAAACCATTTCATTACAGTTGTTTCAATAGATTAAAAATAATCCAGAGAATAAATCCCCAAGAGTACCATTGGGTAACGCACCATTTCTAAATCTAAATCAACGCCTGGAAGTATGAAATTTAACTTTAACCCCGAGTTTCTAAATCCCCAAAGGTTTATAAATCCCCAAAGGTTTATAAATCCCCAAAGGTTTATAAATCCCCAAAGGTTTATAAATCCCCAAAGGTTTATAAATCCCCAAAGGTTGAATTATAAATCCCCAATGTTTCCAGGGGTTTCTTTTGCCGCAGGGGACCCTCCTCATCGGATGTGGCCATCGACCGTTTGGGGGGCCTCAGTTGGGCGGCGTTGGGCACTACCCGGCCTGGTAAACATACAAAAAGCTGTTGAAAATGGCCATAGAAAAAGTGGATTTACCCAGCTACAAATGTTGGTGATGTTCAATAGTTTTTTGTATGTTTAGCAGTGGGTAACATGAAAAAACCTGCAAAAAGAATCAAACATAGGGATGTAACGTGGTGTAGTCAACAGAACTGGTGATAACATTTGGATGCAGTTGGGGTGCAGTCGGGGTGATTTTATGGATATAACACCTGTATGGCCATGGTTGGGACCTGCGCAGATTAAATTATGAATAGCTGGGGGAACCTTATTGATAACCAGCAGACACGGGGACGTATACTAGGTGTATCTATGACGAATCTATATCAATTTGAACGTCTGACTTTTTGAAGTGTGAGTTTGATATTGGATCACCCTTACCCTTTGGGTCAACTGGGAAGTGAGCAGCTCACTGTGTTCAGATCTTTGTTTGCCAGGTCAGAAACGGGAAACATATCAGGAAAGCCTCAGTTTGGAATCCAATGTGGATGGCAATGGTAGCATCCATGGTGATATGTGTCATTATATAATGCGTTTGCTTGAAAGGTAAAAAGATAAAAAGAACACCTTTTCTTGAGACATGTCCTTTTCCAACTTGAAATTAGAACATTGGATCTTTGTGCCAATTGGAATTTCTTGAAATAGTCGGCGCGAAACGTTTTGCATCAGTATGCATTTCCTTATCAAAGAAAATTACAACAGTATACCCTTTGCCACTTAAAGATGGCCTATGAAAGGATTCCCACATAATTTGCGTTGCTGGACTTGGGGATCCAGAGGTTCAAAAACATCTTAGATCTATCAAAATCGGGCTGTTTTTTTAAGCATAAACCAAACATCAGGTATATAATTGGCTGATTATTATTATACATGTATATATATATATTTATTTCCTATGGTAACCCCATAATCCTTATAATTAAAAGCATAGTTATATAATATTATTTAATGAACACCAGCCCGTTTTCTTCTCGCAAAGGCAGGAGCCCTGCAGGGCTTGTGGCTCGGAAACCTAGACCTAGCTGTGTCGATGCTGTGGTTCTGGTGTATGTGGTTTTCATTGGGATTTCCTAAGAAAAGTTGTGTTTATAGTGGGGTATAAATGATATAACCGGGGGGGGAATAAGTGGACACGATGGGGGATGTAATTGGATATAATTAGTAGCGGGATATAAACGCAATATTGGGATATTTTATGGTGGGTGGGTAGCAATTGGATCCCCCAAGATTAAAGACTGCCCCCCAATACCACATATTATGTGTAAATCACCTACTAAACCATGGTTTATGGGGTGGTGTTTCATATTTAGAAGGTTGGTCATTGGATAGAGGGGCCACGAAGTGGCATGCCAGGCATGTCAGTTCGTCAACATCTTCAGTATCTATTGACTGTGCGAAAATCGTGGCCAACCCCCTGTCCTTTCCTAATCCACCAGTGGGAAAAGCAACGTCAATTACCCTCTGGTTATGACTAACATAGCCATGGTATAGATGGCCCATAGAAATAGATGATTTTCCCATCTAGAAACCTCCATTTATGGTTGGGATTTTCCATGGCTATGTTAAATAACCAGAGGGTATTTACAGTACATCGATTGCCCAGAAGCCTGCAGATTTGCAATTTACGGTGATTTGGGATGACTTGGTTTCACTTCATTTGCCTGGGTATGGCCACAAGTATACGTGTTACATCCGAAGTCGTGGGGGTTATGACATGTTATGACCATGGCTATACCATGAAACCAACCCCAACTGGACACCAAGTAGCCTCCTGTAAATTCATATATGGAGGTGTCCTAAAATGGGGGTACCCCCAAATCATCCATTTATAGATGGATTTTCCATGAAATAAACCATCCAGCTATTGGAGTACCCCCATTTATGGAATCCCCCTGGATCAATGGATTGGTTTTGTTGGGAAAATTGAAACCGGAAAGCCCCATGATCTTCATGATCTTCATGGGAATTTCATCCCATGGTTTCCGGTTAAGAGTTTCCCAACAAAACCAATCTGGTTGGTGGGTTCAAACATTTGTTATTTTCCGTAATATATGGGATAACCCTTTCCCATTGACTAATATTTTTCAGGTTAAAACCACCAACCAGCAATCCATTGAATGGAGAAACCAGCAGAAATCTCGTCCAACGGAGTTCCCCAGACTCGACTCGCAAGGTGTCTCCGTCTCGATCCCAGGGACCCCAGGGACCCCGCAAGGCGGTTCGGAACCTGGCGGAAAACTGAGGATCAAAGTCATGTTCGAAACCAATTTAGTGTTTGCCACTGAATTTGAAAGCATATAAAATGATATAAAGCTGATTAGAGTTGTATATATATTATATATGTATATAATGTATAAACATATTTATATATCTAGTTTATATATTTAAATATACATAAATATACCATATATATATAAACGTACACACACACACGCATATATATATATACATATACAATCCGTAATTCGTGTACATTTGTATGTAGTAATTACAATTGTACGAATGTAGGTACAAGCGCAGCTGGCTGCGCAAGGGGTGGCCTCCATGATGATCTCTTTGCACGAGGTGAGACTAAGCCACCTTTCCTTGGAACGTTCTGCTTTTGAGCCTGTTGGTTGACTGTTGGATGTTTACATGTGTTTACTTTCCTTAAGATTAAGATTCATTGGTTAGGGTCGCATCTTTCTTCACCGCATGTTTGAGTTGAAATCACCATTTGTTTCGTAGGTCTTAGGGGGCACACAACGGGAGATGATTGATGTCGTACTTTGCCAGCCATTTTTGCCACATCACAGTAAAAGAGGTCCAGATGGACAGACTTGGTGTGTGTGTGTGTATGTATATATATATAATCCCAAATTCGATTATCTCTTAACGATTCCTAACGCATAGATCCCCAAGACATAGTTTCTAGAGGGCTATTTACATAGTATTACTCAGGGAGAAGGGAATATTCCCGTTATTTGTAAATAATTATTACTCAATACATATTATATGTTCTGAAGATTTCCTTCAAACCAATCCGTTGAATATCCTCATTGTTCATATCCCAACCATTAATTAACACATATATGGGAGTCGATCTAAAGGTGATTGTTTATTGCAAAGGCCGCCAGTGTTACAACATCAGACTCCGCGATTTGTTTCTGAGTTTGCGAAATATTTTTTTGGGGAGAACGATTTAGAGAGAGTTTATTTTGATGAGGTGTTTCACGATACTATTTTCATAGGTGAAGCGAGAACCTTCACAATTGTGGCGAAAGCAGTGGCGAAAGAGAAGGTGCCTGTGGAGACCCATAGCCCATTTGCCCTTGGCTGTCTCTGACATCACTCACACAGCTGCCGTTTGCATGCAGTTTGAAACTAAAGTTTGAGCGCGTCTCAGCAGCATAAAGGTGGATAGCCACAACCCCGCGAAAGAAAAAGCTGGAGTTGCGAAAGCTTCGCGAAAGTAATTGTTTTATTCAAAAAGAATCGGCATTTGTAGATTAAAGAGTCAATAGATCAACCGCCGCCATTATATATATATACTATTTACAATATATATATATAGATATGTATAGTATTTACATATAATTATATACACATATGTATTTACATGCATATCTATATATATACATATATATTATTATATATATATATACATATGTATATACATACATTACATTACAGTACAGTACAGTACATTATATTACATTACATTATATTACATTACATTGCATGCATGCATGCATGCATGCATGCATGCATACATACATACATACATACATCTAGACATACATACATACAATACACATTCATATGTATATACATATATTTTTTATATACTATATATTTATATACACACACTATATACACACACAAATATATATATATATATATATGTGTGTGTGTGCGCATATAGTTCCCCATTGAACTTGGTACCTGAATGGTGAATCCGCCAGATGAGCCGTCAGCTCTCGGGCAGCTTCACCGCGGGCTTCGGCACCACCGCAGAAGCCGCGGCCGCGGAGAGTGGCAAGTCCCTTCGGCCGCACTGGGCACCCGTGACGGCAAATGGTCAAGTTATTGTACCCTCTGGTAATGAGTACCATGGGGATATCATGGGGACTTACCCTCCAGTTATCTAACATTTTGCTTTCGAAAATGGATGAACATGGCCCAAATTAAAGACGGTGATTTTCCATGGCAAACTGTTAGTTTACCAAAGGGTAGGACAGATTCCATAAAATGACCTTCAAATGATAGTTAACAGTCTGGAGAGCGGGATCAATAATGGTAAATAGAGGATAATTTAGGGTTTAATGATGGTTGGTAATGGCTACTACTGGTAATGGTTCATAGTGATTGCTAGTGTTTAATTGGGACCAATCATGATTAACAACCATTGTTAACCATTGTTTAAATGCGATCAATCATGATTATTTACCATTGATTACCATTGTTTAAGTTTAATTGGGATCTATCATGATTTATCACCATTGCCAGTCATTGTTTCATTTGGGTTAATCACGATTCATTACCATATGTTTGGGGTTTAATGATTGGTAATTATAATGGTTATGAATCATGAGTGACTGGCCCCGATGAAACAATGGTTAGTCACCATGCACTATTGATTCACAATGGTTTTGCCATAGGTGCTCATGAGGGAGAAATGACTGTTTGCTGGAATTGGGAAATGCTTGTCCAGTTCGTATCTTGGTTTGGGATCTTGGAATTTGTGGATATGTTCTTCGGAACATGACAGGATCTATATAATTTTGCAAAACAATAACAAACACTATATGAGGACATCCTAGAAATGGGAAATCCTTGGGAACTATGTGTTTTGACCTTTTTTGGCATGAATTGCTTGGATGCTTTGGCCAGTGTGAAAGCTTTTCGGAAACCTGTCTGATACAGGACAAATTCTATCAAAGATAATTCAAGGGTGTGCCAAGTGGTTCAGACAAGCCTACACCATGTCAGAATGGGTAGCACCCTCTTTTTGATCTTTTTTGGCAGGTTGCCTCTCACACTTTGCGCGGCTCCTGTGCTGTGCTTGACTCAGTGGCTCTTGGGACTTGTTGTCTGAAGATCCTGGGGAAGCTCCCCAGTGTTTCCCAGTATTCCCCATCGAACAGGCGGCCCATAATTAAGAATCCATAGATGACTTGCCTGCATCCCCGATTTACCCTCTGGTAAACATACAAAAAACTATGGAAAATCACCATTTTTAATGGGACAACTCACTATAAATGACCATTTTCAATAGCTTTTTGTATGTTTACCAGAGGGTGTCCTAGAGCTGATAGATCTGATAGCTGGGATTGAACCATTGATCCGCGGATACGATGTAGGATGAAATCGATCTCCCATCTGGCTTGGTAGTGGGTTCTGGAGACTTATGTAACCCAGAATGGAGATACCTATTAACCAACCTAGAATATGATTGGAATATATTGATATGGGCATGTTTAATGGCTCAACGCTATTTGCGCTTCTGTAAGCGGACCTTTGTTGAGCACGATCCAAAACTGCTGTTCGGTAGATTGTTGGTAGTTGCTTCCATCATGGGCCGGGTAGGTTGGCAGATCATTTGATGGCAGTCAAAAATCCGGAGAATGTGTCATATTGTGTCATGGAGTCATAGCAATCTAAATTCATGAAGAAATCTTTGGGTATCTACCCTCTGGTAAACTAACATATATATATATAGCTATTGAAGCCATGGCCCAGTCGAAATAGTTGATTTACCCAGCTATAAAATGGTGGATCTTTCCAGTTCGTTATGTGACAAATTACCGCTAAGATTTGCGTCCGGTACGCCATCCGCCCAGCTGATCCCAGGGCCCCAGCAGATCCCAGGGTCCCAGCGATCAGGAGCCGGGCGCAAGCGGATCTGTTGTACATCCAAGCCATGAAACAGCAGGAGGTGCGCGCAGTGCGCGCGCCTGGAAATAGCACAGGGCTTCCATAAATGGGGGTACATAAGTCCAATATCTAGGGTTTATGGAGGTTATACCTATAGTTAATGGGTACCCCAATATCTCGTTTTTTGTTTGTTAAAAATGGAACATCCATCTTTTTTCATGGATGATGACTGGGGGTACCTATATGTTCAATTTCTTGAGCAGTAGCTGACTGGAAATGGTTAGATGTTATATTCTCCACTTTTCTCTCGGTTTTTCCCGAGAGATGATAGGTAGACTGAGGCATGTCCCCCTCCCCTCCCCAAGAGAAACAAGAACTGCTTGGTGCTTTCGAAGCCATGTTTTCATCCATTGAAACCAATATGGGTCTGTCATGGTCTGAAAAAAGTATAAAAAGGTGTATGTTCTCAACATTTTTCAATCAGATATACTTGAGGCATCAAGGGTATACAATTTTTTGTATGCCATCAAAGGCATATTTTTTGATAGGCAAAATGATGATTTTCACCGGTGGAAGGGGTACCGGGTACCATAGTTGGCCAGATTCAGATTGGCTTGATGCCCCATGTGACACCAGCGGTTTTTCGAGCCGACCCGGTTTTAGGGAAACAAGCTGATTATAGCTGTTTTATAGCTATGAAACAGCTATGAACATCCATAAAACTCCTTTGTTCATAGCTGTTTCTCTTCCGATATGTGCCATCGAAAGCAAAATTAGTCAAAATTGCGGACACCCCAGCCAAGAGAATTCCGAAGAAAAAGATATAGACCGACAATGATCACGATTCAGTAGACAATGGTTTATTTCTCACCTGTTTTTGTTAATATGTCACCTTTTAGTGATTTAACAATTACGTATAGCTATGGTATAGATGGCCCATTGATATATGTGTGTGTGTGTGTTCATTGATTTATACTGATTATCATAGATCATTGGTGATTTTCCATTGATTTACCATTGGTTTACCATTAATGTGGGTAAAACAATAATAAACCATCCCCCAGTCATCACCATAAATAGATGGTGTGTATATATATATATAAACCATTCCCAGTCATGGGTGGTTTATTATTGTTTTAACCACATTATTTGATAGATGATTTACCAACATTATTAGTTGTTCCATGGATGTTGCTTAATATTTGACCACAATTAGATTGATGATTTACCAACATTATGTGTAACAACACCACATCAAAAAAAAAACGGTGATGTCGTTGCCTGGTCTTGCTCCAGGTCCACATGACGCAGGAGAGTTTCGTCAGGCGAAGCTCGCGGCGCGTTCCGGAGCATTCGGGAGCGATGCTTCGTGATGTTGGTGATGTTGGTGAACTCGATATGTTCACCAGACTTGATGAATAGACTTGATGAATGTTGATGGATGTTTATCATACATGCATTATACATACGTATATTATGATATATTTATCTATTTATTCATGCATTTATTTGTTTATACTGTCATGACGTGTTATAAACTAACAAACACTCAACTCGGGCGGCACCACCTTGTATGGTTTAGTGTTTGAAGCTTCAGCGTTCGCATTTCAGGGGCTTGAAGTGTGAATGGTTTTGTTCCAAACTAAATATGTTCAAATTATTCCAAATTATATAACTTCTGCAAGAATCTTGACGGATAGGGCTAGGTTGACAGCCACCAGTAAACTCTTAATTGTTTTGGGTGGGGAGATTGTTTTTGCTGCTGTTAAAGATTGTTTTTTTGCCTTGCATCTCTCATTTTCACATTGAAGGGCACATTTGAAGCTACATTTGAGTCCATTAAACAGTAGTAAAGATAGTAAATGTACCATGAATGATGTGGCCAGAGCATCCTTTAAAGGTGCATTGCTTCTAAGCTACAGTCGTTCGTCGACTTTTTGGGGCTCTCGCCGTCGCGGCCCAGGGCTCTAGCCATCGTGGGGCTGCAGTGTCTCTCAGGCGCCAGCCGTGTGATTCCCAGAGGCTAGAAATAGAAATGGACATCACCTCTATAATGGTATATGACCTCCATGGTATATCAGGTCTATGTGATCATGAAAAATAGTAGATGACCTCCATAATGATCACCTCTATGACCATAAGTTTAGGACATAACTGGGTTATATATCCACCACTGCGGCCCCAAACTCAACGTGGGATCCATGGCTCCTGACATTTTCCACTGGGACACACCAAGGTATTCATGGTTCAAGTAAATGAAGAGATAGCAGAGTTTAGCAGAGGATAGTAGAACTGGTTGATGGTTTGATGTTTGATGTTTTCCTGCCATTATTTCGTCCATGAGCTTCGGGATGAGTGCAGTGTTTCAAGGGGCAGATAGCAAGCACTTTCATCAATGTTTCATCCATGAGCTTTCCAAACTGTGACCGTTTGTGTTGTCTCACAAGTTTGGGTCAGCCCAAACTACAGTATTGGTTTCCACATTCAATCACTTGGATTCAATCGATTTGGGTCCTGTTTAGATGAGCCCTGGAGTTACTTAACCAGTTAATAAATGGATCCTAATTGGGATATACATATATATATATTATACACATATATATATACATTATAAGTATTTATTTATTCTTTTGTATATCTACATTTTCTTACAATGGTTCATGACGACCCAGAAACTAACCGTAACTAACCAGAAATCACCAGGTGTCCACGATGTCTATGTGCCACGAGATGATGCCAGCGTCTTGAATTGGCTCCTCAGCGGCACGTGGAATGGTCGGATATACATAACTGGTTGGTGGTTAATTTAATAATGGTTAAAACCACCAACCAGATATCTATGGTAATATGATATTTCTATGGTTAATGATGGTTAATGATGGTTAATAGTGGTTAATAATGGTTAATGAGATATCTGGTTGGTGGTTTGGAACATGGCTTTTATCTTTCCATATATTGGGAAGAATAATCCCAACTGACGAACTCAAATTTTTCAAGAGGGGTTGAAACCACCAACCAGGTAATGTGGTTAAAACAATAATAAACCACCCATGACTGGGAATGGTATATGCATATATATATATATAATATATACACCATCTATTTATGGTGATGACGGGGGGATGGTTTATTATCGCTTTAACCACATTATATAATTATATATATATACCCTATGGATCCAAGTAGCTTCTTAGGAAGTGGGACTGGGGTATGATTTGGACGGTTAAGTACCTTCTCAGACAGTGGCCATGGATCCATAGGGATATATATATATATATGTATTTGCTGTCGTTGATTTAATGTGGTTAAAATAGTAATAAACCACCCATGACTAGGAATTGTTTACGCCAGCTATAAAAATGCTGATGACTGGGGGATGGTGCAAGTGGCATTGTCTTACCCACATTAGTTGATTTGTGCCGGGACATCTTGAGGGCACGATGGTCCAAGTAGATGGGATAAAGTTTGGTGAAGATTGGTGAAGAACTGGATGATCTAGGGTATATGTATATATATATATATATGTACGATTTAGCCAAAAATAGGTGAATTTCATTGAATTTCAGTCTTTAAGACTCAGCCATTAGGCATTTCTGGCAGAGTGAAAATCAGTGATGCGATCGATGGGAGTGTTTTTTGGGTTGGAATGATCCAAGTTCGATTTCAACATCGCCCAACAGTCGGGACATGATTTGACCAAACATGTGACGTGTTCCTACCAGGTTACCCTGTGGGTGACGTGGTATTTCGAAGCATGCGCTACACCTTTGCTTCTGTGAGTTTTTTGCGTACGGGGCGGACGCATTTTCATTAAATCCAAGTACGGTCCTCAACTGGATTTTTTTTTGTGGTGTCAAGGATGTTTATGGTGATCTATATTTGAAATGATCAGGGTAAATTACCATGGAAAAATCCACCATTTGTGGATCATTTTCTCAGGAAAAACATGGAAAAAGTCCAGCCCTGACTTTGCCTTTGAAAGTCGAGGTTTTGTCAGTGGGCCTTAGTTCCCTTGGCAGAAGCCCTCGGAATCAGCCAGCACGATGTCTTGCAGGGGATCCCAGCTGTGGATGTGCATCCCAGGTGGGCCATACTTGACAACACCCTCTGGTAAACTAACAGTTTGCTATAGAAAATCACCATTCTGAATAGGTAAATCAATTATAAATGGGGTATTTTCAATAGCTATGTTAAATTACTAGAGGGTAACCCTTTTTAGATATCTTAACCCAGCTAGACATGGAATATCCATTGGAAATTACCCCCAGTTTTTTTTTTGCTGATACGGTGGATGGGCCAGCGAAATCCTAAAAAACCAGTTGGTATATGGTTTATCCATCTTTATCCCCTTATAATCCCATGATTTCCAATGTTTCATAGTTACCTAACGGTTGCCAACTGGTTTTTGGGATTTCGCATCAACCATCCAAGAAAATCATGTGGATTTGCGGAGTCCAACTAGCTGGGAGATCTGGGAGCATCCGTCCTCATTTTTTTCCCATGAAAACTGGCCTTTGAAAGGGGCAACACCCCCAATATCCCCAATTTTTTTTGGGAACCTAAGATCCTAAGTATGACAGTGTGGGTTACATATCATGTGATAGGATTACATTCCACATGTGATAGGATTGCATAATATTGCATATATTCCATCACATATAATTATTCCAACTTTTTGGAAGGGGGTGGTGCCCAAAAACTATCCGAACCCCCCCCCCAGGTGTGCTGCAGAAATCTTGCGAGATCCAGAAGTCTCTGCTGGGCCCTGAGTTGGACCAGGGGAACTGTGCGAATTTCATCACGACCTCACGTCGCGACCGAGCCCTGGAATCATGGTTAATTAAGAGGAATCATCCCAAAATGGCCTTATTTCAGGTTATGTAGTGAAACTACAGTTATGGCCATTTATGAGTTTTTCACTGGGGATAAATGGGATTATACGTTCCATAAATGGGGTTAGAAGTATAGTTATAACTGGTAAAGCGCCATAACTGTAACCATACAAAAATGGTGATATAATGATGATATAATGGGGGTATAGTGGTAATATAGTGGGATAAACAAATAAGAATATGACATGAACACCGTGAACACAACACCATTTTATCAACGCCATTTCGGGCACCTAAAGTGAAGATACTCACATCAAAAAGCAAGGCATATTTAAGGATTTAAGGGCAAAGTAAGGGAATATGCCCCCAGTTCATATGGCTTTATATTTTTTCTTTTCCCTCCATTTTAGGTATCTGAAATGATCCTTGATTTTCTGGTGATATACTGGCGACACAACGTGGTATGATGGGAATACCGATGGATGATACATAATTACACAATTATCAACAAAATCCGACATTTTTTTTGGGGGGGGGCAATGATTTACATATACCCTCTGGTTATTTAACATAGCCATGGAAAATGACCATTTATAGATGGTTTACCTGGGTTTTCCCATTAAAAACGGGGATTTTCCATGGCTATGTTGAATAACCAGAGGGTAATGGGTTGGGGCAAACCCTCTCTCTCTCTTAGATTCTGTCAAGACTGCCGGCGACAGCGGCGAGAACGCAAAGCTACCAGAGTTGCCTGCAGTTGCCACCACACAATTCTTGGCGTCTCTGGTCGTTGAGCAAGATTTGCAGAGATTGGCAGGTTTGTACAGAAGATAGTCCCTCAATGTCTTTCAGTGATTTCAGTTTGGCAATTCGCATTCTCGCTGCCGCCGGCAGTCTTGACACATGGCGATGGAAAGAGAGAGAGGGTTGCTCCAACCCATGATATGTAAACCATGGCCACAAAATGGTGATTTTTTTATTGTTGTTTTATTAGCCAAGTTTCCCTCTGGTAAGGAAGCAGGCCCGTAATCATGATAAACTTAGGGCATCAGACCAACCATAATGCCATATTGGGGACGTAATGGGATATACTGTCGAACCAGCTTGATATAGCAATTAAGATACAAAACATATGTATGATCTACAAAACTTATGGTAGATATATCATGATATATCTATAGTTAATGGGATTATAAACCAACTTATAACTGGGGGGCACCACCTTGTAGGGGCCTTTCCAAAAATGGATGATTTACATTTGCTCTCTGACAAGTTGCTCTCTGCGACGATTTTTGACCCTCCCGGATCAATGTGTTAGATGCCATCTACGGGACCATTGTGGGAATGAACAAGACTGAACAAACATACCCTCTGGTGATTTAACACTTTGCTATGGAACAATATATTGGAAAATAACCATGCAAATCATCGAGCTAAATGGGTCTGATTGCTTCGTCGGTGGGTTCGGTGAAGATCCTGACCCTGCAACGATTCTGGCAACATCCGGCTCGACCGATTCCCGAAAATAGCAGTTTTGTGCTTCCTATAGTCTTGAAGTGTCTATTATGTGCCCATTGTAGGTGAAACACACTTAATTAAGTGCGGATGAATATACCTGGCTCATGGTCCCAATTACCCTCTGGTTATTTGTTACATAGCCATGGAAAATGGCGCACTTTTTATAGGTAAACCATCTATTTCTATGGGCCATATATACCATGGCTATGTTAGTCATAACCAGAGGGTATTTGTTATGGTCCATCCCGTTAGCATGACCCCAATTGTGTCAAAACCACCAACCAGACTGAGTGGTCATATCATGTCATATCATCAATGATATCCTTGCCATGAAACCAGCATGTTTGTCGCTTAATAAAATCCCCATGTTTCATGGCTTAAATCAGTGAATGTCCTATTTTTGTTGGTTGAATCTCTAGTTTTGTACGTTAAATCCAACATCTTTTAGTGCATACCATCTGGTTATTTAACATAGCCATGGAAAATCACCATTTTTAATGGGTAAACCCAGGTAAACCATCTATAAATGGGCCATTTTCCATGGCTATGTTAAATAACCAGAGGGTAGTTGTTTCAGATCCAAATCCGTCGCTTCCTCAGGCACTCCTGCGGAGTTGTCAGAGAGGCTTTAACTGGGACGATGCCTGAGGGTAATGGCGAGTGAGTGGTTACCCTCTGGTAATTAAACATAGCTATTGAACATTGCCCATTTATAGTTGATTTACCCATTAAAGATTGATTGTGATTTTCCACAGCTATGCTAGTTTACCAGAGGGTAGTGATTTTGTGGTGGCCGGAATTGATCTGAGCAGTGGCTGCGATCTACCCCTGGTTGATGACCAATTTGGAGAATCACAATCCATGAGGGGCGGTACATGAGGTGACCGGAATTGATATGAATATATAGACCCCGTACGCTCCATGGTGCTGGAATATTTACCAACAAAATGTGGTCATCTTGGGGTGAATGTTAGTGAAGATTCCAGCCTGGATGGAGATTATATCCCAAATTCGATCCCGAAATATATTATCCCAGATAGGAAAGCTTACCCTCTGATTATTCAACATAGCTATGGAAAATAGCCGAGTAACTTCGAAGAAATATAGCGACTAATTGACCATATGATTTAGATTATGACTACATGAGTCTGCTATCACACCACCAAGCCTCCAACATACTCAACCCTTCCAATGTCATTTTTTGGGCCGCCAGGTTTGCACATTGTTTTTGCACGTCCGGAAGCGTAGTGCTGCGTGTTTTTTGGGGTTGATTTTCTTAAGCCTGAGAACTGTGCGTTATTCCACGCATATATGGGAGATAGCAACCAATACAGTATTTGGGGGTACACACTAGGGAAACATCCAAAAACAAATACTGTACAAGATTACGAGGCACGTATTTAGCACAATATTGATTTTGCCACACTATTCCACTGTCACCAGCAATCAACCTTTGTTAAAGGACCATGTTTGCTTGGAACCCAAGATGGGTTGCGGGTTGATATCCCCTCTGTTGGTTAATATCCATGTGTTGCCAAGTACCGCAGAATAGGATTGCGTTGTTAGCTCAATGACAAGGGCCATAACGTACCTAATTGAACCTTTGAAGAAACCTTGCAACAGTTGATCAGCCAATGATTACTCGGGTGATTTGGCAATTTGGGGCCGGGAGTCCTGTGGAATGCCACGATTCCCTCCGCAGCATTGGTTAAGCATTTGGGGCTCATAGGGATCTACATTTCTGTTATTTGGATGTTGGTATCCTAAATTTGCCATATCAGATAATACTTCATAGTTAGAAGATGTTAGAAGTATCTCCCATATCAATCCATATCAAAGGAAACAACTAAGATCAATATTTGGCATATGGCATATAAAAGGAAAACAATGGAAAAGAATGGAAAACAATGGAAAATCATGGAAAACAAGTAAGATCTGGGATATTTATATGGCTATTTGGCATATGGGGTCCAAAAAAACGTGTCTTTTTCTTCAACAGCCCGGGCTCTCAGGCTATGCCATGGCCAGTCCGGCACCACGCGAGCCGTACCGGCTGGATGACCCAGCATCATTCTGCAACAGACGACTGTCGGGTAACCATGATCCTTTTTGGGGATTGCCAATATAATAATAATAATTATTATTATCATAATTATGATAATTATAATAATTATAATAATTATAATAATTATAATAATTAATATATAATAATAATATATAATAATAATATAATTATTATTAATAATAATAATAATATTAATAATAATAATATATATATAAGGCCTACAGTTTCTTATCAAAGCAATTCGGTAAAGGTTTGGAAATGAAATGAACCATGATGCACGGCAAGAAAAACAATGGAGCAGGGAATTATGATTTCTAATCCAGGAGTGCAGCATACCCCCTTATTATTCCAAGTGAAAAGAATACCCGTGTGGAAGTTTCAGGACAAAATGTGGCATTTTGCGGTTGCAAAATGTTGCAAGGCTGCGTGGTTCCCAGCATTTTGCTCAAGGTTCCCTGAGTTTTCACGGATCGATCACAGCTCCAGCAGACCAGCGATGTCGACTTCTGCCATCCTGATCCTCACCACATTCTGTTTGGCAGAAGGTCGCCTTCGCAGAAAATGGAGGGACGAATTGGAATATATCATTGAAACCAAAAGGTGGGTTGGATTGCTAGGGGATTCCCACAACAAGGTTTTGAGCCACCAGCATCATATTACAACATATTTCTTCAATTAAAAACAATTATTCCCCATATTCAATCATTTATTTGATTGTATCTGAATTTATTTGACTTTATTTGATTTTTTTTGCTTTGGGACCTCCCTGTGGTTATCAAGCAATACATAGCAATACATCATGTGACAAGCAAATGTGTTTTAAATCCTTTCATCATAGAAGCTCAACATTTGACAACACGAGGAAATATGATAACAGCTGACAGTTGGGCAGCAATTCTGCCGCTGGCCTCGGCAAAGTTGTTGTAAGGTTGCGTTAGTTTTATTTGATGTTCTCTTGTTTTTTTCTTGTTTTTGTTTTTTCCAGCAAATTTGAGATATTTTGAGATTTTTTGAGATAATTTGAGATTTTTTGATATTTTCTATGGTCCAGAAAAAATTGCAATACAGAACCCAGTCTCGCAAAACCACGTTCGAAAAACAAGGGAACACCGCCTTGAGGCGGGTGTGGGTTTTCTACAATTGTGTACTTGGTGATTGAATCAAAAATCACCTTTTTACACTGTAATTTGCAGTGTTTTATGCTTGTGATCTATGATGTTTTGACGTTTGCTGCAAGATGTCAAAATGCCAAAAAAAACTTTTGCAATTCCGCAACATCTGCTTGAGACATGAATACATAGATATTTTAAATACCCTTTACACATATATATATATAAACATGTAAACATACATGTATATAAAAACACGCGTTTTGATAAATGTATGTTGTAAATGAACCTAGCAAAGTTGGGCAACGTGTCTTCGGTAGCGTCATCTTACAGTCGAAAGGAACGTTATCATCCCCACCCCACCCCCCCCACCCCCCCTCCCGGTCAAGGTAGCAAGACGTCAGCAACAAAGTTGGGCAACGTGTCTTCGGTAGCGTCATCTTACAGTCGAAAGGAACGTTATCATCCCCACCCCACCCCCCCCACCCCCCCTCCCGGTCAAGGTAGCAAGACGTCAGCAACAAAGTTGGGCAACGTGTCTTCGGTAGCGTCATCTTACAGTCGGCAAGAGCGTTCAACACGTATACTGCCAAAGAGCACAAACGTGGAAAAAACCACGCCCGCCTCGGGGCGTTGACCCCAAAAACAACATTAGAGAAATTTAGAGAAATTTTAAGATATTTTGAGATTTTTTGAGATATTATTTTGAGATATTTTGGGATTTTTTTAATTTTTTTGGAGATGTTTTTTATGTTATTTTTCATATTTTTTTCATTTTGTTCATATTTTTCATTTTTATTCAACTTTATTCACATATTTTCATATTTTTGAATGAAAAAAACCATTGCCAATCCAGACCACTGCAGATCTAACCCACGTTTTGGTGTTGCTGAATATATGCAGAGTTCAAAAGGGTTATTATCCGAACCTCTGGTAGTTGTAACACGGTATTTTATTTTATTTTATATAGCTTATTATCATAGTTGAACACGCAGTTACACGCCCAACTGCACCCCCAAAAAACGGCTTCACATGGCCTCACACTCCGCTTTCCAGGGGTCAAATGACAGTCAGCTCAATCCTGAGGGGATTTGAATGATGTTGATCGGTGGTTTGGTTAAGGGAAACATTTACAGGAAACAAAACTGTAGTTTTTCCAATTAATAGCCAACAGTCTTCACAATGATTGAATTAAGACACACACACACACATATATATATATGCATAGAGATATATGTGCATATATGTGTACATGGTTCTAAATTAAGAAATGTATTGATTTATCACATGAAATTTAGTTAGAACGCCTCCGAGTTACGGACGGTGAGCACTCACATTCACACCATCATGTCAACCAACCATTATCAAGCAGTTGGGAAGTGAAAGAGTCCAGGAGCGTGTGAATTCACGGGTGAAAACACTTTCGGGTGCGAAACCCTGTGTGTTTTCGGGTAATTTGGCTCCTGGGGTCGCGATAGTAGGGTCGCAATAGTAGGGTTTCTTTTCCGCGATTCCGGGCCTCAATCCGAGAAAGTTGCGGACACAAAGTTGACAGGACTGCGAGAGCTTGATTTGCATTTCAAACTATTAAAAAAATCAGCGTTCGGAGCACTTTTGAAAAAAACTGGTTGGCAAAATGTGCACGAGACTAGCGCGAGCTCGGTCAAAAAAAAAAAACGCACAAAATTGTTTTGGAGATTTCGGGAATGTAGTAAGAGCTCGTTTTCACATAAAAGTCGCAGAAAAACTCGGGGGATCGGAGAACTTTTGGGGGATGAGGTTGGAAAATTCATTGATTCATTGACTCACTGAATCATGGAGCCATTGATTCAATGATTCATTGTTTTCTTGGTTCATTGATTCACTAACTCTCTGATTCTTTGATTCATCGATTCGTTGATTCGTTCAAGCACTTGTGCAAGGATTCTTCCATCTCATTTCATTGGCCCCTCAGCCACCATTTGCGCATTCGTTGATGCACCTCACAACTTCACCACACTTCATTGCTTCTGCACTCAGCAACTTTCCTACAGGCCTATGGCCATCGGTTTCTTATCGTCACTATTTGTTGCCCCGGCACGGGGGCACTACCTGGTGTGTATATATATATATATATATGTGTTTGTGTGTGTTTATATAATATACATATATTTCATAATATATATATATAATTTATTTATTTGTTCATATTATGGTGTTGCTCTAACACGTTTTTGGCAGGTTTCTTTAGACGGCTGTGTGCTGCTATTTTTGTCATCCTGCACTGTCTCGTGTACTGCTATGTTTGCTCTCGTGTTCTTTTACTCTGCTCTCATGTTCTGTTATGTTTGCCCGCGTGTTCTGTTATTGTTTGCTTTCGTATTCTGTTTTTCTGTGTTCTCATGTTCTGCCATGTTGGGTCTCGTGTTCTGTTATTTTTGCTTTCGTGTTCTGTTATGTTTGCTCCCGTGTTCTGTTACAATCAAGAATCTGTAAATCTGCAAGATTTTTTGTTTAACGAGCATTCAAAAACAGATGCAGATTTGTCCACAGAACATCTGTGTTTTTTACAGGACATCTTTGGCAGCACATTTACGGAACATTTGCGGGATTGTTTAGAGAACACCTGTGGATTTTTTACAGAAGACCTGTGGGTTCTTTACAGAACACTCGTACATTTTCTACAGAGTACCTGGACGGAGTTTTACAAAACAAATGTTCTAGTAGCTTGCAAATTCCACGCATTTTCTGTCCAAAACCCACACATCTTCTGTAAAAATATCCGTAGGTGTTAGTGGAGGCGGGGTGATCAATGATCATGCTTAAACAGTTTCAAGTTTGGAATGGGGTACACAAAAAAAAACTATATTCACACAGGTTTCCCTGTGAAATTCCACTGATGATTAGTGGAATATGTGCGCAAAAGTCCGTAGGTGTTCTGCAAATGTTCTGTCAAAAAACACCAGATGTATCCAGATGTTCTGTAAATTCTGTAGAAAACTTACACCTGTTCTGAAAAAAGCAATTTGCAAAAGGTCTATATTGTTTTCTTATATGGTTTTGCTTTGTAAAATTCCACATTTGTACTGTCAAAAACCTACGTGTGTATTGTATAAAAACATTGAAAAAGGACATGCGTACTGAAAAAAAACGGCAGAACACGTAAGATAACAAAACCCATTCTTGCAGAACACGGGAACCCTTTTTACAGAACAGGAGATCCCCTTCTTCGGAACACCAGAACCCTTTTTACAGAACACCGGAACCCATTTTTACAGAACACAGGAACCCTTTTTACAGAGCACCGGAACCTTTTTTTACAGAACACAGGAACCCTCTTTACAGAACATGGGACCCCTTTTTACAGAACACAAAACCCCTAAAGGGCTGCAAAGAAAACGTGATGGGGCAACTGCCTAACATATACACGCATATATATATATATATAAATACCTAGAAATGAAAACTCTATATATATATATATGTATGTGTGTGTGTGCAGTGGCGAGTGGTTTCCTGAAGTGCCCACTTCACGATTTCGTTCTCCTTGCGTTCTGCGGGTACGGCGGCCTTTCAGGTAGCAAGCGCGGCTTCGCCCGCACCGGGACGGGTATCCAGGAGCTTCAGGCGTTGTCGCCCTCGGCGCCTTGGATGCCCTTATTGGATGCCTTGGATGCCTTGGATCCTATGGGTATTGTAAGAAAAGCAATAGTAAAGCATCAGCAATTCTATCTCAACCCAATGGCTTAACAGTACATTTTCATATTTTATCATGTTCCCATGCCAAAGGGCTATTGTAAGGTAATGTTAGTAAAGCGATGTCATTAACCATCCCCAATTTTACAACCGAATTTCCGTCCAACCCGGACGCTGCTCCACACTTACAATCATCATCATCATTATCATCGTCATCATCAGTGTCAACTCATGTGGAATTGGTTGATGTGAATAGATATAATCAACTTTTATGTCTTGTATTCAAAAGGGATCATAAATCCGCCACTTCCTTTGACAAAGACGTTGAATGGTGTAATCACATCAACTTATCTTCATAAGGGATCAAACATCCACCACCCCCTCTTGACAAATACGTTGAATGGGGTAGTCACATCAACACATCATCATAAGGGATCGAACATCCATTATCCCCTATAAAAAAATATGTAACATGGGGTAATCACACCTACTTAACCTGATAAGAGATCAACATCCTCTACCCCTCTGACAAATATGTTGAATGAGGAATTACATCAATATCTTCATAAGGGACCAAAAATCCACCACCCCCTTTGACAAATAGGCCGATTCTGAAAACAGCATCAACAACATATCTTCATAAGAGATCAAACAATCCTCCACTTCCTGTGGCAAATATGCTGAATCTGGTACTGCAATAGCATCAACTTATCTTCATAAGGGATGATGATGATGATGATGATAATGATGATGATTGTCATGGATCACATGTACATCTACATATTGAAAGTCCACCGACATGGCATTTCAGAAATATGCAACCCTTCCGCAATTCCGGCGCGGAGCAACGTCAAGGTTGCACCGTACAATTTTCATGGGCGGGATTCCAACCAACAGTTTACATGGGAAGAACATGGGAATTGCATGGTTTCATTGCTGATGTATTGGGAATTTAATGGGATATCGACGTATCGATGGAACACATACTGATGGAATATATTGGAATATTGATGGAACAGTAGCCATGGAAATTTCTTTAATATCAGTAAGGCAATAATACGGTAAATTATCTCTATTTTGATGGTGTTTACCATCCATTTACCGTAAATTTGGGGATGGTTCATTATTGCTTTAGTCACATTCCCCCAAAAATAGCCTTAGCCCTTTTAAATGATAAGACTAGACATACGTATATAAATATACTGTAAACCTTTCGATATTGAGGTACCTTATTTTCGGAGAAATTTATGTATTTTGAATAATGTAGGACACCCAATGCGATAAACCTACCATCTGAGGATAGTTTATATCAAAAAAATTGGGGATGGTTTAGCATTAGGTATACCACAGTGTTTGAATTTTGGAAATAAGAGGTCGAATATTAGAGAACAGTAGAATAAATATCTAGATTATTCTAGATCTGTTTTATTGATAATGAAGTAATGACCAGAAGATATGTCGCAATTTGGGGAAATAATATCATCTGTAATAGCATTCATTTGCTATTAAAATAGTCAAATAGAACCTTCCACGCATACATGTTTTTCTGGTTTGTGACCATCACAGGGTGAACTAAAATAATGTTTGCAGCAGGAGACTTCAACCCCTATAATTAGTTAATGGTGATTGGTAATGGGCAATAATGATGATAAACATAATACGACAGTAACTATCAATGGTGACTATTCAATCCACAAAACACAGCATGTTTCTGCTAGGTCAGCTGGACCTACAACTGGGGTTTGTCCCCGGGTCCTTCATACAGATCTTCTGCTATGGATTTTATGCCAATGGTGAAGCTGACAGCGGTTATAGCGGAGTGGGAGGATGGTGGATGGTGGTGCTACATACATGAACAATCATGAACATTTGATGTACTGCAGTGGATTGTTTAACAGAATTTGTATGTATATGTATATAGTGTATGTGTATATATATATATATTTGTTGGACATACTTGTGCATATAGATACGTTACGTGCATCATATACATCAAATACAGTACATACACTACAGTACATACTTCACATAAATTGCATATATTACGTACATTGGGTGCATTACATTGCATCATACAAAACATACCTTTGGATACATTGTATACATTACATACATTCCGCACGCTACGTACGTTGTCTCCATGCATACCACACCACTCAATATACGTTAGCGCACCATACCATACCATACGATACCACCATAGCACATTATACCATACCACACCACAACATATCACAACATAATATGACATGCCACAACAATATAGATACCCACAATGTGCGGGAAGGCAGCTGAAGCCAGCAACACTGTGTTCAATCAAATTCGTGGCTGGGGAGTCCCCTAAAACCAGGGAGCTCGCGGAGATTGCCTTTGCACCGGGGAAAAGTGTCGGATACGAAGATTTTATGGAAACGTTATATCAATGGGAATTTCAGGATCCTAAAATGGAGGTACTGTACCATATAAGGCCATATTTTGTGGTGATATTCCCTTACATAGGCCTTATATAGGCCTTATATCTGGTAGGAACCTCCATTTTAGGATCCTGAAATGACCATTGATTATAGGGGATTTAAGCGACAAGATGCTGGAAATACGTTGGAATCCCTGCCTGCTCTGTTGATAAGATGGATTTCCAGTCGGAGATGATAAGCGAGGTCTTTTTTGTAGCCTTGATATGCCTTTGTGTAGAAAGCCTCAGAACAGACCATTGCCCAGCCAAAGTCAATATGGTTTTCATGTGTTTTATCATTTTTATTGATTGTATAGCTGTCTTTGTTTCGGGGTATTACATTCTGTTGATTCTGTTTCATGGATTATGTTCCCATTTTGCGTGGCTTTCCGAAATTGTTTGGTCTTATGCCCGAGTTTGACATTCCGTCCAAATTCCCGGTGTATGAAAACATGCATTTTGTTTGGCGGGTGAAAGCATGTGAAAACCCGTACAGTAAACATCTCAATTTCTCCGAAATTGGTTGAAGGCAAAGCCTGCTGGAAAAACAGCAGAACCCCCAATCAATTTTGGGGTAAACCCATGGTTTCAACAGACCAGTGCATAGAAATCATATTGGTGTTTATAAGATGTGAAACGGAAACCTATAAACATGCCACATGACTGTTTCCATGCTGCACCAGCCACTCCAGGTCACCACATGTTTCCAACAGTGCCTCGCACAGGGCGCCCTTTTCGGATCAAAAGAGCTGCTGTCTCTCAGCTTCGCTGCAAGACTGAGTTTGATGGTAAGCGGAGCCGGTTGGTAACCGGTGTCTGCTTCCGTGCTGCGCCCACTGGCGTGCACGGGCTCGCCGCGCCTCGACGCGTTGCGTCTCAGCTGGCAGGCAACGGTGCCTACTAGCCTTGTTGGTGCCCGCCTCGCTGCCGGTGCCTCACGACCACAACGATGGCTGCTAGCAGATTGGAGTCAGACCGCTACGGCGTTCCCCAATATGCCGGAGCCTCTGACCAGTTCGAAGAGTACAAGGGGAGAGCATGGGATCTTTGGTATGGCAGAGCTGGCCAAGATGCTTTGCAGAGTGCCACACCTGTTCACCTCCGAGCAGGACTGTCTAGTTCAGCTTGGGAAGCCGTTAGGAAGTCAGAACACAAAAAGCTGATAACCAAAGATGGAGATGGAAAACCAACCACTGAAGGCATGGACTTGCTTTTAGAAACGTTGAAATCAGCCATAGCTGATGAAGTGCCAGTGAAAATCAACGAGTTGTTCTTGCAAGCCTTTTACAGCCCCAGTGTTTGGAGGCGACCTTCCGAAAGCATGCAAGCCTACATTGTTAGGCGTGAGCAGGACTTCCGCAAACTTGAGGAGTCAAGCCCTGGAACTAAGGTATCAGAAAATCTCCGAGCGATGATGCTGCTGATTTTTGGTGGACTTGACCCGAAGGAGCAAGTTTCTGTCCTGAGCTCCGTCAACAATGAGTATGACTTCGGCAAGATCAGCCACGCGATGCGGATTCAGTTCCCAAATGCAGCTGGTAAGGCAGTTCAGAGAAAGGATTACCTTGGTGCTTCAGCTCGAGGCCATGCCCCATCTTCCTCGAGTTCCTTGCTGTTCAGAAAGCCGAGATGGAAATCTGGTGGCAAGCAACACGCCTTTGCAGCTGAAGACTATGAGATGGAAGATGAAGAGACCGCTGAAGACACCTACTACCAGAATGATGATGATGAGCAGCCGGGCGATGACGCTGATGAAGCCTGGGCTGCAGCCTCTGATGATGAGCTGGTGGATGCCTTCATAGCCGAGTACCCTGATGACCCTGAAGGTGATCAGTCGCTCGCCGAGGCCTATGCGACTGTCCTCCAACACAAGCAGTTCAAGAAAAAGATGAATGGAGGAAAAGGGAAAGGCGGTGGAGGTGGAAGATTCAACTTCAAGGGCTCTGGCGAGGTGACCTTCGACGCCAAGCCAAGGAGAACAGGCGACAAGCCGTGCAGTTTCTCAAGTCAGTGACGCCTTGCACTTCCTGTGGACAACGTGGTCATTGGAATGGAGATGACATCTGCCCCAATGCCAAGAAGTCGTCCAAGGGTAAATCCAAGAAGAAGCCTTCGACGCCGAGCTCACCGAAGAAGAAGCCTGCGACCAACCTTTTCGTTTTGCATGATTCTTTGGAGTCTGCGGATGAGAAGACCCAGTTCATGTGCCTTCCCAACAAGCTGCCCAACAACGACGTTGCAAAGAATGTCAAGACCTCCGAGTTTGACCTTGCTCTCAAGAATGACCTGTGCCTTGGGAATGACATGCCTCCCAAGTATGACCAGGTGCCTGCGAATGACATCGCTCCTGTGAATGACATGGCCCATGAGTATGACTTGGTCCCAAAGACCATTGCAGCCCATGTCACCAACGAGCCCAATGCGTATGCGGACGAAGCGTCCAAAGCCTCTGATGCCACTTTTGTCAATGACCGTACAGTCCTCTTTGAGTCAGAGGGTGGCAACAATTCAGATGGCAGTTTCACTACTCCCTTTTCGTTTTCATCAGTGCATGAGGTGCTGATGGTGCTGAAAGATACAACCCTGTGCGAGCATAGTAGTTTTCATGGTGGAGATGAGCGCCAATTCCACCGTGGCGCAAATGGATACTCACGCTTTGTGACGTGCAAGGAAGACTCTTGCGACAAGACCGTCATCAAGGCCAAGCGCAAAACACCTCACGAGCTCTGGAGCTACTTGGTCCAGATCGCCTTGTGCACCAAGTGGGGACAAGCTGCCAGGTCCCGAGCTTTGTTCAACACCGTCTGCAAAGTTCGAGGTGAAGCTGATGAAGAACGACGTGGTCTTCGCCTTCCTCTTTCAGATGATGGCCGATCAGTTTCTTTGCCTGGTATGCCAAGGTCTTCGGCTTCAATGACTTCGAGAAAGACGCCTTCTGAAGCTCAAGTACCTGGATGGGATGTCGTCAGCGAAGCTCCTTCGAGCGCTTCTGGCTATGGTGCTCCACGGGTGGCCAAGATTGTCCGTGAGCAAGAACCAGTTTGCTGGATCTACGGCATCAAGCTTTCCATGAACCAGGACTTGCCTGCGTTTCCAACGTTGGATGACTCAGACCTTGATGTGCTGCAGCCTCTGCCTTCAGATGCCTCCTTGCTTGGCTCTGGAACACCCTATGAAGGACTGCAGTATGACCAAGTTGCGTCCTCAGCAGAGTCTGCATGGTACTGTGCCCAAGTGTTGGACTATGTTTTGGATGGCCGAAATGCTCTCCATCCAGAAATCTACCGTTTTGCCTTTTACCTGTTTGGCCGGGTGAAGTTGGTCCACAGCGCTGGCATGAGATGTATCAAGTCAGGTGCTGCACGTCCTGACAAGCGACCTGCAAACCCTGATGACATGGTGGCAAACCGCCACATCCGAGTTCCACTTCAGCATGATCCCAATCACCCTGAGATCTTGCAACTTCATGACTGTGAAGTGATGATGGTTGAAATGCCCGATGACAATGATGCAATTGCCCAAGCCTATGTGGCTTCCGATGCTGATTCTCCTGGACTTGCAATCCTCGACAGTGGGTGCACTCGCACCATGCACGGCAAGCAATGGGCCGAGAACTTTGAAGCTGCACTTGTCTCCTTTGGACTTTCGCCCAAAAGCAGAGTCAAGAACCAACTCTTTGCTGGGGTTGGAGGTCAAGTTGCAAGCACCACTGTCAAGGTCTTTCCCATCGGCATCCAAGGAACACATGGCGAGATCCACTCAGCCGAAACACCTGGAGCAACACCACTCCTGCTCTCACGCCCTTTCATGGAAGAATTGGGTACGGTTTTGGATTTGGGCAAGGGCACGGTTTCCTTCACCAAGATCGGCGTTTTGGACTTGCCGCTGATCAAAACCTCACGTGGACATCTAGCAATCAGTTTTCTGGACTTCAATTTGGAGAAGTTAGATGATTTCACCACTGAGGATCCTCATGAAGGATACCTCCAAGATGAAGTTCCCGAAGATTACGTTCATGATCCCATGTTGGATCGACCTCCTGGCGTCAATCCTGATGATTGGCTTGACCAGCAGTATGAACTGGAGTTCTTGCGTGCCGAGGCAGCCAACTGTGATCAAGTTTTAGCTGAGATCGCTGCCGATCGAGAAGCACGTGCTGCTGCTCAAGGCCTTCATGCTGCCCAAGATGATGGCCCAACTTGCGAGGATGCGTTTCTGTTTGAGTCCCTCATGCAAGAGCAGCCCAACACCATCCGGAAGGCCACTCACAAGAAGGCCAAGAAACTCCATGCAATGTCCAATGCCGTTGACGGCGATGATTGGCGTTTCTTCCGGGTGCTGGCCGGCAAGACTCCAGCTCCGAAGTCACCTCCCTATGGAAAGTGCTGGATGAAACAGCTCTTTGCAGGACAAATGGGTTTGACTCTCCTGCTTGTGGCATATATGGACTTTCGGTTGGAGTGCCTTTGGACTTTAGCACTTCCAACTGGGATGCCACTACCAAGGATGGACTTCGGCGCCTCAACCATGACTTCCAAGTTGAGGATCCCTACTGCACTGTCCTGACACAACCTTGTGGTCCTTGGGGCAATTGGGCACGATTCAACGTAGCCCGCGGTGGTCCTGCCGCATTGACAGTTCTTCAACTGCAAGAACGTGGCCGACCAATTCTGAAGTTGGTGAACGACACGATTTGCAAGCGTGTCAAGGCCAAACGACATGTCTTTGTCGAACAGCCCTCTGGATCCTCATGGCTTGACGAGCCTGAACTTGAAGGTGTCAGAGCTTTGATTCAGTCCGGCGACTTGATCGTCATCAAGGCTCATGGATGTCAACTTGGCTATGAAGATGTTGACTCTGGACTTCCTCACTTCAAGCCTTCCACTTATGTGACATCCATGATAGCAGCAGAAAGCCTTTTCCAGGATTCTTCTTGCGATGGTTCTCATCAACACCAACACCTTGAAGGAGCCAACTCTCAAGGTCAGCGCACTGCCCAAGCCTCAGTTTGGCCTGACAAGCTCAACAAGCGTGTGCTGGAAACCATCGTGCAACAAGCTGCGATTGAGCAAGCAACCCATGAACAAGCTCAAGATGTTTTTCCTGCAGAAGTTCGCCGACTTCCTCAAGTTGGAAAGAGTCCCAAAAGAAGGAGGAAAGGACGGGTCACCACCTTGACCAGCCAATATGGTGGAGCCCCTCCGGTCTACTTGAGACCCTCTGAACCACTTCAGCCCGCGATCCAAGATGGAGATCCCTTTGCTGAAGTTCCTCCTGACGAAGACGATGCTGATGTGAGGGCACGACAAGCCTCTCAACTTGAGCCTTTGCTCCATCGAGCTGAAACCCAACGACGTGAAGAATGGCTCAAGATCGACCCTGACATCCGCAAGATTCTCAGAACTTTGCATGTCAACTTCGGCCATCCCACCAACATCACCTTGCAGAGGATTCTCCGCCGACAAGGTGCAAAACCAGAAGCAGTTGCTGGTGCCGAGCTGTTGTCATGCGATGCTTGCGGTGAAAGTATCAGAAGGCGACGCCCCAAACCAGTTCGTCTTCCCAACAAGTATGTCTTCAACAACCACTTGCTTGTAGATGTTTTCTATGGAAAGGACATTGAGAACGAGTCTTTTTGCTTTCTCAATGTGATTGATGATGCGACTGGATTTCAAGTCGTCAGCTGTCTTGGAACTGTTCGTGGCCCACCTGCGTCCAAAGCTGTTCTCAGGCACTTTCTGACGTCATGGACTTCATGGGCAGGCCTCCCTCAGTCGATCCAAGCTGACTTGGGGAAAGAATTCATGGCTGACTTCACTGCCTACATGAAACAGTTTGGCGTTGAAACTGAGAACATGCCGCCCGAAGCCCCATGGAAGAGCGGAAAAGTTGAACGGGCCGGTGGCCTATGGAAGGACATCCTCCTGCGGACTGTCCATGAGATGCAGCTGCGTGGTCTGGACGACATGATCCTCGCCACGTCCATCATCACTCAATGCCGCAACTCCTTTCCTAGAAGCAACGGCTACTCGCCGAACCAATGGGTTTTAGGCCAACCAGAAATCAGACTGCCTGGCTCACTTTTGAGCGACGAAGAATCCCAGCGTTTGGAGGTTCTTGAGGCCGCTGAAGACCCAAAGTCAGCAATGGCCAAAACTTTGAGTATCAGAGAAGCCGCAAAAGTTGCCCAGATCAGACTTGACACTGACTCTCGTGTGCGACGCGCTTTGCTTCACCAGTCCACACCTACGAGAGGGCCTTTTCCTGTGGGAAGCTATGTTTACTTCCTCCGGCTTCAGATGCCCAAAGGCAGTCGACGAAACTACAAATGGTTTGGTCCAGCCCGAGTCATTGGCTGCGAGCTCAGATCTCCCACTCGACTTCAAGATGATGAAGAGCTTCCCACCGATGGTGGACAACCCAGAAGCTATTGGCTCAGGTATGGTTCATCAGTTGTTTTGGTGACAGGTGAACAATTGCGTTTTGCCAGTGAAGATGAGCTGATTGCCGCTCACACAATCCCACAAGAAGTTTTGGAGCCTGAATATGCACGAGGAGCAAGAAACTTTGTTGACCTGCGAGGTCCACTTGCTGTCCCTGCTCAACCTGAAGATCAAGGACCTCTTGCACTACCAGCTCCAACAACTGGACCACCTGTCCTACCTTTCCCTGCGACTGCCGATGAACCACAGTCTCCTGGATACTCTCCCAGCGAGTTTGCACCTGATGCTGAAGGAGATCAACCTATGCAGCCGACTCCAACAGTGAATGATGAAGTTCCTCAAGTTCCTGCTGATCCTCCTGATCAGACAATGGGTCAAGATGACCAACAACAACAGCCTGCCCATGGCCGGCAGATGAGCACGATTTCTGGAGCTCCTGAACCAGAACCACAGCCAGTGAACACACCAACAGGTCAGGCACAACTTGGACTTGGACTTCAGCCTGTACCTGTCCCTTTTCTTGCACCTCAGACTGGCAACCTCCAAACAGCACTTCGAGATCCAGATCGTCTTGATGGCTATCGAGCTGTCCAAAGACAACATGGTCAACAGCCACAGCGACCTTACTTTGTAGAAGACGATGATTTTGAGTGCGAAACAATGCCTTCCGTTTTGAAGAGCAAGCGTTTGGAGAAGATGCTCAACTATGAGGATGAGGTGTTTTCCCCATCCCAGTCAGAAGAAGAGCAAGAACAATGTTTTGTGGAAGTTTCTCAAGGGCCAGGTGATGTTTTTCTCACTGGAAAAGCTGTGCGATCTGAGATTTCTTTGAAAGATCTTTCACCAGAAGATCGTGCCAAGTATGATGTCAGTATGGCGAAAGAGTGGTCATCCTGGCAAAAGTTCAATGCTGTAGAAGTCCTTTCACCTCAGCAGATTGAGGACCTGCCCGAAGATGCCAAGATCATCGGGACCAGATGGGTCCACACTGACAAGAACCAGAAAAAGCGCCTCATGTCTGCCGCTCTTCAAGGTAGAACTGGAAAGTCACAAGCTCAAATTCAGAAAGAGTTTCCACTGGAAGCAAAGAGCCGTTTAGTTGTCCAAGGTCACCAAGAGACCGACACAGGTATCAGAAGCGATTCACCAACGGCCAGTCTTCTTGCTTTCAATTTGGTTTGTGCAGTTGCTGTTATTCAGAAGTGGATTGTCATGGCTTGTGACGCATCCACTGCCTATCTCCAATCAAATGGCATCAGCCGCTTGCTGCTGCTCAGGCCACCGAGACCACCTCCTCCTGGAATTTTGCCTCATGATCTTCTTCGAGCTCTTGGCTCAATTTATGGTACCAAAGATGCTGGCAGAGCTTGGTGGAAGAAGCTCTACAAAACCCTGAGGTACTATAACTGGATCATGTCGCGCCTTGAACATGCGCTCTTTTTCCTGGTGGTCGATGGAAAACTTTGTGGCATTCTCATCACACATGTCGATGATTTGTTTTGTGCTGGAGAAGGTAAACAGTTTCATGATTCCATTGAGGCCATGCAAAAGGACATCTATTTAAAGATCAACAAGGGCAAGTTTCGTTTTTGTGGAAAGAACGTTTTCCAGCGTGATGATTTTTCCATTGAGGTTGACCAGTACGATGCCATCGAGGCGATCGACTACATGGTGTTTGCCGCCGACCGGCGCAAAATGGTGAACAGCCCCCTGACGGAGGCAGAGCAGTCTTTGTTCAGAGGCCTCATAGGCCAGATGGGTTGGGTCACTCGCCAGTCTAGGCCAGACCTCATGGTGAATGTTAGCGTTGCTGCCCAAAGTATGAGTTCCCCAAAAGTGAAGGATGTGATCAATTTGAACAAAGCAGTGAAAGCCCTCAAAGAGAGCTACGAAGCCAAATGGAATTTCATCTACAACGACGAAATGACTCTGGAGAATTGCTGCGTTTTCGTTTTTGCTGACAGCAGTTTTGCGAATGGCGAAAATTTGAAGTCCCAGTGCGGCTTCATCACTGGTCTTTCTGTTTCTGCACTGAAGGATGGATCCTCCTGCCCCATCATGATCCTCGAAACGTATTCAGGTAGCATCAAAAGAGTTTGCCGCAGTACTCTGGCTGCTGAATCAAATGGATTTTTGAATGGAGTTGAAGCTGGGGACTATTTGAGGACCCTGCTGATGGAGATCACGCATCCAGGTGAGTTCACGGACGCCAAAAGTCTGGAACAGACGCTCAACCGCGATGCAGGTCAGCCAACTGACAAACGTGTCCGCATTCTCGTGTCACAAGTGAAGGAACTGATAGGTGAAAACACGTATGAAGATGACTCTGATGCTTTTGCAATCTGGACGGACACGTCCCAAATGCTAGCTGATGTTCTCACCAAGCTTGGTTGTGAAAGGGAATCCCTTTTGCATGCGTTAGAGTGTGGCCGATGGCAGTTGGAGCCCACAGAGCCGGCCAAGCTGCGCAAGGTAGAAATCAGAGCTGGCAGACATGCCAGGAAAGCTGCCAAGAAGGCAGCCAGCATTTCCAATCCTGTTGTGGCTGAGGACGGGTGTGAAACGGAAACCTATAAACATGCCACATGACTGTTTCCATGCTGCACCAGCCACTCCAGGTCACCACATGTTTCCAACAGTGCCTCGCACAGGGCGCCCTTTTCGGATCAAAAGAGCTGCTGTCTCTCAGCTTCGCTGCAAGACTGAGTTTGATAAGATGTTATAAGACCTATTGTGGTGGTCTATTTTGATCTTTTGTTGCATATTTCATCATATGTCCCCCTCTTGAAAAAGGCTGCCCGGATGGTTGGCAAGCGCCACAAAAGAGGTACACGATGGGCAGATCAACAACAGTCCAAACTCGGGACCGTACAACGCCTTGTTGGGCTTCAACGAGCCAGAAACGCAGTGGCAGTTTAAGCAGGGCCGTTGATCCGTGGTTGGGTTGGGACATGGGATCATGCGCCACATATATGGGATATGTTCTGGATATGTTTAACTTTCGAAGCATGGACTGATTGGGGAAGGGTAGGTCAATAGATGTCAATAGGTAGATGTTCGTTATTTGAATAGAGAAACGAAATTGGGTTCTTGGGTGATCAGGGAGGATCTTCGAGGGGTATACAGACTTCGTTAAATTGGATCAAGTGTTTTCTTTTTTGTTTTTCAATGTTTTCCTTGTTTGTTTCCTGTTTCTTTTATGTGTTCTTTTTCTTTTATTTTGTTCCGGTCATTTTTCTCTTTTCCCGTCCTGTTTTTTTTGTCCTTTCTTCCCTTGTTGCCTTTTGTGCCTCCGTCGTTTCCTCCTGCTTTTCCCTTTCCTTCTTCTTTTCCTTGTTGTTTGGAAGCCTTGGCATTCTTTGAACGTGGTGCTAAGTCAAATGCAACAGTTGTAGCAAAGGAGTGGTGCCTATGAAATGCACCAAAAAATTCCAGGAAGTACTCTTGACATCTCTTGACATTGCTCAAAAACATCCCAGAAAACTAGCTATTCAGATCAGATCTGGGTGGTTCATTGCGTGCCTCCTTAAACAAACGGTTTGAGTGTTATTTTATTAACAAAACCTTGGCTGATGTATATAATGACATGGATTCTTTGGGAAACCTTGCAATTTCAAGGATTCTTTGGGAGCTAGCTAAGTGCCAAACACATGCAACAACTACTGTAGAGAAATCGTGCACTTGGGTACCATCCCAACAAACCAACTCTTTGCCCATCCGAGACATGCACATTGATGAGACCCTACCATCTACTACTTGCCAACGGATGTATAACCCGAACTCCCCCTCCTATGAGCAGTCATACCAATTGAAAGAGTTACAGTACATGATGTTACATGTTCTTTCCCGTCCTACTATGGCCCCAAAGATGTGATTTCATCCCCTACTAAACGATGGTTTCGTTTCGGGAGTCTTAATATTGCTGGTTACTGTATATCCCCTTCAATATTCCCATTATATCCCCGTTATACCATCATACCCCCATTATACTTATAATTTATAATTATACCACATGGCATGTCTCAGCCTGCCGCCTGAATCACAGGCCTCAGACGCTTCTGAGTGAAGGGAAACAAAACAAAAACCACTATTATACCTTATACCACCATTATACCACCATCAATTATACCACAATTATACCATCATTATACCACCATTCATCAGTTCTCCTGTCCAAACCCCTGGTGGTGTCCAAGCCCATCATTGCCAGCATCAGGATATCAACTCCCAAGCCCACCTCAATCCCTGGGAGGCGGCAAACATGTGGCGCCTTGATGCTGACCGGAAGAGCGGAAGATACGGTGGATGGGCCAGCGAAATCCTGCAGTTTATCCCACTATTTATAGGGTTTCAACCATCCTTTTGGTGGTGCAGGATTTCGCAACCATCCACATATATACCCTCTGGTAATTTAACATAGCTATTGAAAATGGCCATAGAAATAGTGAGTTGTCCCATTAAACATGGTGATTTTCCATAGTTATGTTAGTTTACCAGAGGGTATATGTCCCTGGGTTTTGGCCATTTCTTGGGGTCAATGTTGTCCAAGGTCGGAAACTGTCCACATGTTGGGGCAGAAGATGCATGTCCTCTGGTTAAGCAACATAGCTATGGAAAATCACCAGTATCACCAGTTTCAAATATATATATGTATATGTTTGATAGGTAAATCATCAAAGGAAATATGCAATCTACATACCATAGCAATGTTAATTTACTGGAGGGTAATAACCTTTATTTCATCATTATCCCATTAATAATCCATTATATCCTCAGTTTTTTTCCGCCGTTTTTGTGGGAGGGTAAAAACAGTGTGCACCTGAACCAGTGACATGTTGGAAGCGCCAAGGTTGGGTGCCAGGACCTGGGTGTTTTCAAAGGCACCTGATATACTCCCAAGTTCATCATCAGTTTTCCAATTTCTGTAGACCATTTGCTGAATTTGCGGTAGATTCCATTTTCAGACACAGCAAAAAACCACCTCAGACACACAAAAAAAAAACATTTTTGTTTGTGAGAAAACCAAACGTCCAGAGCGAAGTGTTCAGAGAGGACATGGTTCACCACTTTCTCTGGATGTTCAACTCAGATTGCAGGGCGCTTTCCTTTGACCCACACGCGTAGTATGATGAACCATGACTTCGCAAAAGCAAAAGATCCTAGCAGCCAACGGATTCACTTAAATGACTAAATAAATATCACCTATAGATATATTTTATATATATAATATATATATATATACATGTATATAGTTGATGGTCAACCAATTTATCAATCTAAAATATGTTTCATCCCATGGTGACTTAATGGATTCTAGTCCTTTCCCCCATGAACCGGTGCTCCAAGGCCGCTGGTGGAGCAAGTAGCCCAAAATATGGGCGTTCAAACCTTGGTGAGCCCTGCAATGTGTGGAGACATCGGTTTCTTGGGCGAGAAAAAATGTTTGGAAATCAACCCTCAATGGCAAATGGTATGTTAATAGTATATATAAGCTTATGATACCAATGTCAATGGTATATATCGAACATATTAAAGGATATTAATTCGATTATATTCGATTAATTGTGCAATTAATGGATATTCATGGTATGTGGTAGATAGTAATGGTCTGGTATAAATGACCAACAATGGGGTTTACTGGGGATTAACCAACACACAAAAAACATACTGTATATCCCTATTATAGGGATATATATATATTATGGGCGTGGGAATATTCATTGGCAACTCAATTATGATTATACAATGGGATTTAGAACCAATTTGATATGATACTTGGATGAGTCTTAAAATGGTCAGTATAATACAGTCTACCCCTATTTATTTCCCTTGAAAGATAGGGAACATAATGAGTAGCCAGTGGAATTATAGAATATCGATTTGGCATGGTGTCACCAGCGGATCAAAAGTTCACGGACTTTCTGAACATTGTTTGAATACCAATGTGTTGGCAGATTTCCGACATATTTTTTTGTGCTCCGTAGTTTGCTGGCATTGTGACAAAAGAGTGCAATAGACATGAGTGACGATGCAAATGTCTCCGGATATCTCCGCTTATCCTGCAATTGATTGAAACACAAGTGTTTTTTTGACGTTTTGACCTTGCAGGCAAGGTACCTGTCATGAATCGAGCCAGCACTTTTCTTTGCAGAACCCGGCTGGTGAGAATTCAAGTCCATTGCTGGGGTTTTATACATGTCAAGTGCAGGGACATGTGTCGAAATTTTGAATTGGCATACTGCATCTAGAAACATAATGCTCATATTTCTCCATTGGCAGAAGCCGCTAGGCAGACTTATTAATATTTGATATATTTGATATCGTAATATTTGATATATTTGATATTATTTTTTATGTGAACTGCACAGTTTCATGTTATGTTTTCCTAAAAAGCGCGATCACGATCCCAATTGACTTTTACATCTTTGGGATTGGTAGGTTAAGCCTCAAGTCAAGCTGACAAGGTGGGTAATTACATAGTAATGAAAGGGATGAAACATGAAGATTACCCACCAAAAATGGGATATTGACTCCCATGGTTACTGTTCAAAATTTAAACACGTGCTATTATATCTAGAATTATATTTCATGCACAACGTGTATGTATATATATATATATATTACATATATTCATTAATATACATCAACATATTGGCTTATATATATATATTATACGTATATATATATATATATATCATATGAAACTACATCATTTTATATTATATTAGATTCTACATATTCATATTCCATAGTTTGTTGGCTACCACCGGTCATCCCTGAGACCAGCCAACTGCCCTCCGGTGTCAACCTGGCTGGAATTTCCGGCAGTGAACGGAGGTTTCAATCGGGAAATCATATGAAAATCATAGGAACATGTGGGAAGATCAACTAAAAATGAAGGTTTATGGGAAAATCAACCCAAAGAATGGGAAAATCGATGGGGAGATTTTCCAGCACGCCACCTTTTAACACCGGAAGTTCATGGAAGTTCTGCTTTTCGAGGCAAGGGAACATCCTGGATGGGCAGCTTCCTGAACGCTTGCCAGAACTGTCGCATCGATGCCATTGCCATCCACAGCTACTGGTGCACGCTGGCACCGTGGTGGATGTGGGAGCGGTTCGCGGTTTGGAGCTATGGTTCTATCATGTTCCATCCCCAACATGATAAGTAGGAACTGACAGGAACTGACAGGAACTGACATAGCTATTGAACATGGCCATAGAAATAGTGGATTTACCCATTAAAAATGGTGATTTTCCATAGTTACGTTAGTTTACCAGAGGGCCGGACGTAGGAACTGACAGGAACTGACCGGTTCATGGGCTCCGGGATATGTTTGATATGGATGAGTAAAAAGATATGTTTAGATTCAGGTTTGATCTTTGAGATTTGCAAAATCCCTTGGCCCCCAAATACCACCCTAGAAACGGTGCAGTCCAGTATCGGATCTATGCTCCAGCTGGAATTTCTATGGGTCATGGGCCACCCGTGATGAATCCATCCATGTTTGGAACGAATCATTTCGGCTACCCACATGGGTACAAGCGACTGGAATGATTTGGGGATCAGGATCAACCCCCAAAAAAATGGGGCCAAGATGGGCCAAGATGGGCCAAGCAACTAGCACCACTGGGGTAACAGTCACTGACATCCAGTGACAGGATGGGCTTCGAAGTTTGGTGGACAGCTACCGCCACTTCGGCAAGAAGATTTGGCTCACCGAGCATCGTGGCAGATCAGGACATGGGATGCACATATGTTTGGGGAGGTCATATGCCGCCATTTTTGTTGAGGAGTTCTGGGTTTTCTCTTGATAGCGATCTCTCTTCCAATAGAGCTCGAGGGATGTCGCATGTCAGCCCCAAGTCACAGGGTCGTTGAGGCTTTGGAGTTGATGGAAGGAGTTTCTTTCTTGGGTGATTCACATTGACCGCATCTAGTGCAAAGTGGACTACGGGAGGTCATCAACATATTCGGTTGGATTATTCCAATTCCAGCAGTAAGTTTCCCTAATATTGAATACTCCCCGATGGAAACTCTGTTTAGTCTGTTTAGTATTTGATATGTTTGGAATTTATTTGGATATAATATATATATATATTATTATTTTTATATGTGGATCCAAATATTATTATATTATTATATATGTTTAGTTTTGATACTATTATATGTGGATCCTTTTCAATATCTTCATTTTGGAGGTCCACTTTGTGTTGAAAACTCTCTCCGAGGTTTGCCTGTGCAGATCAGAATTTTGACGTGTCGATGAATGGCCAAATTCGCTTCATGAAAGAAGTGGTGCCGTGGTTGGAGCAGGAAGACATCATCGAGAAATATGCCTGGTTTAGCACCTGGGCACTCAGAAAATCAGGGTTGACACAAGTCGAACCAGGAGAAGATGTGAAAACATGTGGTGCTTTTTACCACTCAATTCATGGGACGATGATCGCCCGTGCGGCTAGTTTTTTGGTGATAGTGGCGAATTCGGATCCCAGATGACTGTCATCTCCTGGAAGGAACATATGACCAAGCGACTGAGGGACTTATAAGCCTAGATTAGAAGGACACCATCTTATACAATGAAAGCAACAATAATAATAGTAATAATAATAATAATAACTATTACAGCATCACTGGGTTTGTAGCTTCACGTAGCTTCCTTCACTTTATCTTTTTCCTCATGTCTCCTCTTTTTTTTGGCGCCGTTGTTCTGTTTGTTCAGGCTACTTCACCAACGAGTGGCGGTATGGCATTACCAATCCCAATCCAGATGCAGGGCTGGTCCATCAAAATGGTGACCTTTCGGCGCTGGGCCGAGTTTATGTGAACCTGGGCACTGCCAGGCGTCTTGCGGACGACGTGAACGCCAGCGCTGGCGATCCCATTTTCGCGTGACCGATTTTGTGCCAGGGCATCTTCTTGGGACGCGCCAAGACGTGAACGACTGCAGTTTTAATATGTTTAATATTCCCAGTTGGTTCCCGATATTTGGTTGGTGACACCCAAGAAAAGGAAAGGGATGGATAATAAGGGATATTAGATTATATTAGATGATATTAGGGTATTGATCGCCTAATAGGCCACTGTGTCGGGAGAAAAGGGGTAAAGGATGGGTAAAGGTTTCATAAGTTTAATACGTTTTGCTTCAATTGACTGGTAGAAGGAAATAGGCACATTTGTGCGTAGCTTTGGCCACGTTCTGGGCGTGTCCCCCAATCCCCTCCCAGGCCGCCTTTCAAAATGTTAGGTGCTGAGTCTGGGCTACGTGCAAACCAATTCGGAACTGCTGGTTCAAAAGCTCATGGGAATCGCGGTTCAACCACAGGTGCAACCGAAGTTGCCCAAGCTCTCCCCGAAAATCCCGGCACCATTTGAACCTGAACAGGCTCATCATACTCTCAGATGGTCCTGGTTGTTTTCCAATTTTCTGCTGCAGTAGGGCTTGAACCCACACCAAACGGATCATAATGATCATAACCTCAAGTATTGATAAGTTGTTTGTAAAGATATCCATCAGTATCATTCCCTCTGATTAGATATGAATAGATATGATAGATTCTGATAGATCTTGCCCGTCACATGTTCCAAAGCATGTCTCCGGCTCAGTGTTGTTGATGATTTCCATGAGCCGCCAACTCCTCCCCCACCTACCGGTAAAATGCTGGAGTGGCGGGCAGCTGTTGGGAACCCCCTGGAGCTTCAGTGCCGAATAGGGGGCTTTGAATAGTGAGTCATGGTCATAGTCGGTGTTGGAAACCTCAGATGTTCTCTACGTGTTTTCTTCATTCCAAGTGGTGGAGCTGGATGCATCATGATGCCGGTGGGGGGCCAAAATCAAGAATACAATTTCAACCTTGAGAACCAAAACCCGCAGAAATCTTAGGGTTTGAACAATACCCGAGCTTTTCTGACAAAACCCGGGGTATGTTAACCCATTCTGAAAGTACGGGTTAGGTACGGGTTAAATACGGGTTCAAAATCAATACCCGAGGTCTTCAATCGAAAACCGAGGTTTTCTTATTTTTTCCGAAATACGGTTCTTGTGTTGACCCGAAGAATTCTTAGGGTTTTAGTTCTCAAGGAATATATATATATATATCAATACATCTAGAATGCTTTATTCCGCGTAACATTGTGGAATATGCAATGTTATTCACATATATGAACATGATATAGCTGCATACAAATATGGGTTATCAACATTTCCACTAAATGTAAAAAACAATCTTGCTGGGGATGAAGTCACCGATGGACATCTATTTTCCAGCCATTTTGGTGTTGTCCCATGTTGAGTCCCACAATCCTTGTATCCAAGTGGACTCGCCACTTAGAGGACCATTTGGAGCTGGGGTTGGTGTGGACGGGCAAGGCATCCCCAAAATCATTGGGCCGTTCATCAAAGTGCCCAGATTGCAGCGAGTGACCATAGCTCACATATCATCGCCCCGCGATGCGATTGGGTTGCGCACCCAAGTCTGGCTACATGCCAGATTGACTTCTTTTTTTTCATTTTTTCAGGTGGCTAGGTCCCGCATTTTGGGGGCATTTTCTCACTCCTGAAATCATATCCACAAACATCAACCATTGACATTTGAGGGAGCTCCCATTTTCGGGACATACCCATGATTGTTTTCGACTGGGAAACTTGGTAACTCTGCTCCCTGAGGGGGGAAACAGCGGCCAAGGTCCCAACCGTTTCCTTGCTTTTCGGGAGCTTGGTGCTTCTGAGTTGGTCTGAGTTGGTCGTCGCTTCCAAGCACTTGGGTATGGGTCAAACTCTTCCAACACGACCCTTTTTTAACATGACAAAGCAGATATTTCCGCACTCTTTTTTTGGGGGAGGGCCCCTTAAATGTTGACCCATTCCCATGTCAATTTTGCAGTGCCACCAGCTATCAATCCCTTCCAGATTGCCGCTGAAGTAGCCGTGTTTGACTTTGTCGCGATGACCGAAAAGTTGCAGACATTTGGGCCAAGGTCAATCTGAGATAGGTACTGTAGTTGAAATTATAATGGAATACTTTAATATACTTTACTCATTGCCTATAAAGAAAAAACTAGTACCCAAGAATAGCCATGACATGCCATGACTTTTACAGGGGGAAATATGGAACAAACATCGATGAATGGTTGGTTCTCCATAGCCAGGTAGCTTAGGAATCCCGCCCTTTGCACCACCAATTACCATCTACTGGGCGTATCCAAAGCAGTTTGCGCTCCCAGAGCTGTGTCATTTGTGGCCACTCATCTCAGCCTTGGCTGAGATATTGATATCGTTGAGCAGTCTTTGCATGTGCAACTGAGTGCAAAGCATTTTCACATTGCAGCCACACAATTGCTACGAGGTGATTTCAGATATTTATAACTATCCATCCCATTTAGGATGATGAACCAAACACATCGCGATGTTTTTTTTGGTGTTTGGGGGGTTCACACAGGCTCAAAAAGACTCAAAAAGGTTCAACTGTTTTAACAGTTGCTTCCGTCCATTCAATATATACACCAAGTATCATCTAGTAGCAGTTACCCATAGACTCAGAAATCCCTACAACTAACTGTCAGGTTGCAAATTCATGCAAATTCCTACAACTCTCAGACAACCACATTTGATTACCCTCTGGTAAACTAACATAGCTATTGAAAATGGCCATTTATAGTGGATTTTCCCATTAAAAATTGTGATTTTCCATAGCTATGTTAGTTTACCAGAGGGTAAACACATTTTATGATTCAACGGAGTTTCCGTATCGCCCCCCCGGACTGTCCCCAGGAAAGGTTTTTGGGCGGTGCAGTCCATGCAACGCTTCGCTGCGGAGTGGTGGCCCCAGGATGGCCCCGGTTCCGCCACCAAAAAGTGGGATGGCGGAACCATCAATGGCCAGTTGACCAACCAAAATGCTGGGACATTTATCCAACAAACATGGTGGCAAAATATTATATAGATGTTTATAGATATATAGATATATTACGGTCGCATAATGTTATTTATAATTATTATGTGTATATATGTGTGTGTGTGTGTAGATACAAAAAGGACTATGAATAGGAACGCAATGGGAATCCGCTTGGAGAAATTCGAACAACCGGGTCAGAATTGCGGATATCCCCAAAAATGGCCAACAATCATCAGATTGTCAGCCAGATATGGCGAACAAACTTCGAAAACGGTGAACATTAGCTAACTTAGAACATATGGCTAATAACTGGAAATTTGAAAACTTAGATAAACTTAGAACTTATTGATTTCCAGTTATTATGGAACATTAGCTAATAAACGTAGTGAACATTAGCTAATAAACTTAGTAAACAGTAACCACACATTGCCAATAAGCGGTGAATTAGATTAGCCGATGTTTCTAGTTTTTGGGATGTTTGCAACTTTACTATTTGGATATGATCAACCGAGCAACCAATCGGATGAGTTCGTTTTGCACGCGACGTCACTGGACGACCCGCAAACATGATGTTTTGTACAGAACACCATTTCGAGCTGATTTGTGAGGTTTGACATGACTTATATATATATGTGTGTGTGTATGTGTGTGTGTGACATATTGTGGGTTATAGCTATATAAATATAACTAAGTAGATCCACAATGGGATGAATTTATAAACCAGCTATTGGGGCAGGCACGCTATTGATGATCCACACAAATTAGATGAATTTTTAAACCAGCTCTTGGGGGATCCAACAGATGAACTGATGATTTGGGTTTTTTTCACACCTGGATCTCTTTCTAAAAAGCTTCATGAGGTAAATCAATGGGAATTCCAGGATCCTAAAATGGAGGTACGTTAGTACCATATAAGGCCATATTTTTGGGGGATATCCCCTTACATAGCCCTAAAAAATAGGCCTTATATATGGAATCGGTACCTCCAATTTAGGTTCCTAAAATGGCCATTGATCATGAGGTAAACCCAAGAATCAAACTATTCCCACTTGGGGTTTGTTCTGCGTATGCCGGGGTGATTTTGTTCATGGGCATCACTGTGGACAAGACTCAAAAAATGCTGGTGTTTACCAAGTCAGTACAGCTATCATTGGCTTTTCGCCAGTGAGTACACTCTGGTAAACGTTAACAAAAAACGATGGAAAGATCCACCATTTTATAGCTGGGTAAATCCACTTTAATAAATGGCCATGGCTTGAATAGCGAACTGTAACAGTCATTACCAGAGGATCATGTCCATTCTGGTATTATAATGTCCATTCTTTGACCATTTTTCATGGGTAAATCATGGTAAATCCAATATTTCTATGTCCATTCAGAGGATAATAGCTATCCCAGTTTTATCCCATCATCCCAGTGGAAAACCACCGTGGTTTTCCGCCCAGGGCCGAGATCTCTGCGGAATTGAGCCATCAGCAGGGAAGCCCCGGGAACCGAGGTGGTCAAAAGATGTTCTCATTGTTACCCTCTGGTAAAACATACCAAAAAACCATGGAAAGTCAGCATTTTTCATAGGTAAACCCTCTGGTAATTTGTTACATAGCTATTGAAAATGGCAATAGAAATAGTGGATTTACCCATTGAAAAATGGTGATTCTCCATAGCTATGTTAGTTTACCAGAGGGTAATCCACATGCGGAATTTTGTTGAATCTACTTGGAAATTGTTGATGAACATTTTGGAGATATATTTTTTGTGGAGGACTTCAAATCCAAGATAACCCCCAAAGTAGGTTATTGTTAGTGTTAGGGATGTATAATTTTGACTCGCAGTCACATGAAAACCACACCAATGATATCCAACGTTGCAGGATTCCTCTACTGTAAGCATCCTACACTTTGAATCCTTGGCTGGCAACTATGTATTAATGCCCCTTACCCAGTTACTGGGATGCATGGCACAGAGAGTAGCATTGGTTGCTCAGCAAATCACACCAAGTAGCCAAGTAGTGGCATGATTATTCAAGTGAAATGCATGGGAGATGTCCAAATATACCATCCACCTACAATGTGATGCCCCTCGAATCCCTTAGAATCCCCTGATCATTTTGGCAAGTTTGTTTATAACCGGGCTATTTTCTATTGGTTTTGCCTTTTTTGTCAACCAACCCGACCAAACATGTCATTCACCCTTTCAATGAGGTGCCTGCAGCGGATATTCACGGGCTGCGTTCAACATGAATGCTCCCTAGAGCGGAAAACCCTTCCCGGAAAGATGTGCCCTGGCAGGGTGAAGGCGGTCTCGGGGTGGCTGCTTCTTCTTCTTCTTCATCATCATCATCATCATCATCCTCATCCTTATCCTCATCCTCATCCTCATCCTCATCAATCATCATCATTATTTCATGTTATTTCATTGTTATTTCAAATATGTTCAGTTAATATATCATGAATTAATATAACCTCTTGACGAATCATGAAGATGTTGTGTAAATTTGCGCAGTCAATGATCTTTTTTTTTGGTTGGTGGTGTTCACATTCTTTATGACAAGATGATCCAAAAGTGACTTTTGGGACGGCTGGAAGCCACCGTTTGGTTTCCCAAAGATTGGGAAGGCCACGAGCTTCAAAGAGTCTATACTCTGTTTGTTGGAGCGATTTTTTGGCCGAATGTGGCCCACAAATTAGTTGCAGTTTCTGGAACTCTGTGGAGGCGCGGATAGGTAAGCCTCGCTTGGGTAGCTTGCATATATTAATTATCAACTATATTTATTGGCTTTTAGCGGGGGATTTTGGAGACCCAGCCGGAAAAATCCAATATTGGCCATGCTTCACACTAAAAGACTCTTGTAATCATGCACCGGCATGGTTGCAAAATCCCTGGTAGATGAACTGCGCCGGGCCAATCTCACCATGAGTCATGTTGGGAAGGGAAACTGTCCCAAACTGGATTTCTATAATGTCTGGATATGTTTGGTAATTATGGAAAATCACCCTCCTTGTTAGTAGGTATATCATGGTGTATCATTTATCATGGTATACCATCGAAATAAATGGGACGTAGCCCATAGCAAACTCTGAAATAAACAACGGGTAGTCGCACGTGTGTGTGTGTGTGTAAAACTTGGGGATTCGTGATTGCTGACCCAGAATCATTCCTTGCAGTGTCCTTTTTTTCCACTACAAGGGGCCCAAAAGATAGAAAAGGGTTTCCAGTATATAAATGATTTGTCCTTCGCAATTATTAGGTTTCCAATTTTTCTATGTATTTTGGGGTCACTACATATCGTCGATATATATATATATATATATATATATACATATATATATATATCGTTTTGAAAAGCAGGCACGCATTGCATGCTGTGAAGAAAGTGAGGTCTAGTCCTACCTGAGGGGTATGGCATAGATTCAAGCAGCTAAAAACCACAATCCGGAGGAATCCGGAGGAAATGCAACGCCACAAAAATGGTTTGGAAGATAATAAGAGACCTTCAGTAGCCTTGGAAAATCGTTGTATTATGGTGGATTCCCCAAGGGGAATATTGTTGCCCTTTAAAAAAATGGTGGATTTTATATTTGTTGCATTCCCCTCAAACAGGCCATGGTTGTAAGAGACTGGCTGGAAAATCACCCTTATGGTCAGCCATGTGTGATGACACTGGAGGCATTCCATGAAACACCATTATTAGTTGATCACCATTATTAACAGTCGTTGGCTACTATCCACAATTGTCAACCACTATACTTTATCATTATTTATCAATTTATAAGTGATTTATGATGATTTCCCATTAAAGCCTCCATTTATGAGGGATGTTCCATAGCAAATCACCATGAATCACTGTTAATCACCATTCAATCACCACGAAAAATCGTTCTTAGCCATTCTGAAGGACCACTAACCACTATTTAGACCCTTTGGTTATTTAACATAGCTATGGAAAATGGTCCATCTATAGATTTGTTTCATGATTTCCCCATTAAAAATTGTGATTCTGCATAGCTACGTTAAATAACCAGAGGGTAGTTATTTAATGACCACTATTAACTGGAGTTTAATGGGCAATCCAAACAACCAACCAGATAAACGTTAAATGGTTAAACCAATTTGAGTGGCATAAATAACAAATTAACGATTATTTACCACTGATGATGATTCTCCTGTCCGCCTAACCCCGCCTAACCCCACCTAACCCCACCTAACCCCGCCTAACCCCGCCCTTCCCCAAAGAGGTCATCGCTTGCCGAGGTCCTCTTCCTGTTTTCTCCTGGCCTTGATTGTCATTGCCCAACGCGTCACGTGGCCACACTGATAAAACAAAGAATAAGTTCAGAATAAGTGTGAAGATCACCATGAAGATCCCATTAGAATCCCATTTAACCCTAAGAATTCCCAATCATTCCCCTTAAAATCCCATTTACCCTCTGGTAAACATACCCAAAACTATGGAAAATCACAATTTTTAATGGGAAAACTCACTATTTCTATGGCCATCAACAATAGCTATGTTAAATTACCAGAGCGTATGTGTGATTGATTTGGACAAGACATGGAAAATAATATGCGGAAACCAATGGAAATGAGTTTTGCTAATATAATTATAATACAAAATGGATAATCTCATCATCATCTATAGATAAGTGGGGCTTTTCTAAGTCATTGGGGACCCCCATTTTACCATGGTTGAAACATATTAAGTCATGGTCTGAGGGCTTGGATAATTTAGAGGGGAAGCCTCATAGATTGGACACCCCCAAATGTGATTGATATTGGGGGACATGAAAATCATCAATATCATGGCATTAACTGTGGCTTCAGTGGACGAGCAGTATATAGTAAGATTATCTTAAAGTGTATCCAAATAAGATATTGATAGATATTGATGATAATCTTACTATACCATAATTAAGATAATCTTATCACCACACACTGATTTTGGCCCTTGAAATTCAGGGTGTGGTCTGCAGAATTGCCCATGGCCCATGGTCGTGTCCATGGTCTGTCCATGGTGATCAGGTTCCAGCCGCCACATTTGGGCCTGGTTGGCAACCACTTCAACTGTTTATGCTCGCAAATATGGCTGAGAAATGCCGAAACACTATATAAATGAAGGTTTATAAGCTGGGAACATCATCGAACCGAATGGGGATTTTTCATGATTTTTCCAGCAAGCCATTTTTGATTACCAGAGGCTCAGAGGTCTATATGCCTGTAAATGCCAGGAGAAATGTGCAATTGCCTGCGACGCTCATGATTAAAACAAGTGGAGTACAAAATGACACCAAGTGATCCTAAGTATATCCATATCCCATAGATCGGCGTTTGTTTGGACCTAACTTCCAAACAACCCAGCCATCCCTAAACTGGATATCCTACAAGATGTAATGGGGGGGCCCAGATTTTGCCGTTCCCATCCCATCCCTCCGAATGCTAGTGTTACTTGATAAACCCTAATTCATACATATGCATTATATGGGTATGAGTCAATACCTATAGATACATTTTTAATGGGATGAACATCCATAAATCCCAGCTATGACTTGGGGTTCACTAGGTACCAGGGTTTTGACCCATACCCATATATCTATATGCATAACCGTATAGTCATCCTGGACTAGATTCGATCGAGGAAATTTCAACAGATCCCCATCAAAACTAGAATATTCTTGAAAATCCAAGGTTCTACTTGTTTCAGGATGATTGTCTATACGTTCAAAGCACCATTCTTTGATTGGTAGTTGCTGGAACCACCATTGTTTTCCGAAGGATTTAAGTTTAGACTACCAGTAAGGGTCAACCGTGGTTTTGTTAATCTTGGAAGCCCAGCACACATACCCATGCATATTTATATCCACATGTTCCTATATATATATACACATTATATTATATATAAGGAACTTTCATAACATTATATTATATTTATGTTATATATATATATATTTATACTTAAATAAATAAATAAATAAATATTTACATATATGCATACAATATATATATATATACATACAACGTGTGTGTACTCAACGAGCCACATGTCTTATTGCTTCGTGTTGGTTTCCCTCCAGCAGTCTGGCCAAGGTTCACAGCACTCCCGGCTGCACACCTTTGATGAGAGCTCCTTGGATGACGGGATGTTTCGGGATGGATTTGGGTGTGTCTGAAAATGTCGTGTACCATTAATGGCTATAATTGGGAATGATTGTTATAGCCATTATAATAACCAATGAAAATAACCAATGGCTAATGGATAATTATAAACCCAATGGTTTTGCTGATCATTATCCCTATGAAAAATGGCTATTTCATTGGGAAGATTAACCCTATTTTCAGACAAACCCATTTGTTCTACTGCGCTTCCAAGTGCGCTAGCTCTAGTCATTTGTTACATAGCTTTGGACAATGACATCAATGACCATAGTGAAGATCACCATGAAGATCCCATTAGAATCCCATTTAACCCTAAGAATTCCCAATCATTCCCCCTAAAATCCCATTTACCCTCTGGTAAACTTACATAACTATGGACCATCACCCTTTTTTTGTGGGTAAATCAACTATAAATGGCTATTATTTTCAATAGCTATGCTAGTTTACCAGAGGGCAATGGTTTATCAAGGATATGAGGGTAGCATATTTGAAATGATGATATTAATGGGATATCAACATGGGATATCCATATGCTATCAATATGGGTTATCCATCATCAATATGATATGATATAGCTATTGATATAATATTGAGATGGCTATTGATACTTCCACCGGGGGTATGGATATTTCTATGGTAATTTAACAGTTTGCTATTGAAGCCATGGCCCATTTAGTTTGTTGACTTAGCTATGAAAGACTGTGATTTTCCGTAGCAGACTGTTAGTTTACCAGAGGGTATTTCTATGGTTTAGCAAGGATTATCAATGGATATTAATCTGGTTGGTGGTTTCAAACATTTGTTATTTTCCATTTCATATATGGGATGTCATCCTTCCCATCGACTTTCATATTTTTCAAAGGGGTAGGTATACCACCAACCAGATAGGGTTTTATATTGTATATATCAATATATATCATTCATATCCCAGTATGAAAACCACTATTCACCATCATTATCCACTATTAACCACTATTAACCATCATGTATTCTTATATTATCCACTATGTATTCTAAATCTGGGTACATAAAAATTATTTTTTCTCACGGCGTCAGGGAATCGGGGGAATTCTCCCAGCTGAAGCCTTACAGGTGATCTCCATAGTGGATAGCCATGGTAAAATATGGGAAATGGCCCTAGTCGAAATAGATGATTTATGAGGATTTACCGAACTTGAAAATGGTGATTTTGGTGAGGTACCATCTGGTTATGACATTCACAGTTTGCCATAGAAAGATCCACCATTTTTAAGTTCGGTAAAACCATCTATTTCGATTAGGGCCATCTATACCATGGCGAACTGTTAGTCATAACCAGAGGGTAACCAAATTCAGGCAATAGGGCTGCTGCATCATTCCAGACAAGGTATCGCCATCCAACCTCATGGTGGTGTGGATTTCAGCCCACCGCTGGGCCAACCGGTCAAAATAAGAATTTACAATGATCAAAACGGCAAATCGACGTTTATATAACCAAGGGAAATTATGATGTGACCAATTCATGTATGATTCATGTAAGCGCAAGCTCATGGGAAGTCCACCCAAATCCAAATAGAAGCTGTGAACTTGGAAGGAAAGATGTGGAGATTTCTTGGCATATGGGCCTATTAGGCTATCATTCCACTACTAATGATTCCCATTGCTGGCACATTGTTTGCCATGAGTAAGTTCCACGGCTAAGGGCCCCTACCCCTTTGCGAACTCTCCACGTGTCGCGTGGAAATGATGAACCCCACCTGGTGCCGATCAGCGATCAGAGTTTCTTGATGGGTCATTTGATTGTTGCTTAACCTGACAATGGATGAGTGGGCTATATCTTGCAATGCTTTGCAATAAATGGTTTTGTTTGAAAATAAGGTACGCAAAAATAAGATGATCATGGTACCCTCTGGTAATTTATAGTGAGTTTTCCCATTAAGAATGGTGATTTTCCATAGTTATGTTAGTTTACCAGAGGGTATATCATGGTGCATCATTAGTTTTACCATGTTTTACCATTAGAATGGCCATAAGCGGAGGAGAACGTTGCCATCTCCAGCTGCCAACTTAACATGGCTCTCAGGTGGCCATGTTCATGCTGCGATTGAGTGGGGGAACCTGGGACGCCGACTGGATGAGACAACCAGCTGCTGCAAATGATCAGATATTGACTGGATGCTAAAGACATGTCTTTGTGGCGCATCTATAAATATGTAACGATGTATATATATATATATAAGGTTAGGAAATGAAGGGTTGGTTTGTGTTCATGTCGGATATGCGTCAAGCATAAGGGTTGATGGGGGTTAAGAACCCATGAGGCCTTTGATTTGTATGTTTGGGTGCGGAAAATAGGTGGGTTCCATCCCCGGTCCACACTTCCATCCTACATGGTCCACTTGCAGCTGCATTTGGGGCGAAACTCCAACTGATGTCATGAACCCAATCCAAAACCCTTTCTGAAGAAACTTGTATGAAGCCCCTGAAGTTTTGGACATTGGATATATCTGGAAACCGTTATTTTTTTTTGGGGCATTGCCACATTCTAGGAATGGAATTGATTGTTTAGGTCCACCACGGCCCGGTACCGGAGGCATTTGTCGTGGCGCCTCTGATTTGGGGGTGGCAGCCCGAAGGGTTGGGAAACCACAGCACGGTGAGGCTGAGGGATTGGGAGCACTCCTGGGATCTGGTTGGTTTGGAACCATGGAATTTTATGACTTTCCATTCAGTTGGGAATGTCATCATCCCAACTGACTTTCATATTTTTCAGAGGGGTAGGTATACCACCAACCAGATCATGTTCGTGTTTTTCCTTTCGGATATCACATGTTCTTGTCGAAATCCTTTTGACATTGCTGGTTTTATCGTAACAATCTTGGTTCTAATCCCATAGATGTTCCATGATGTCTGAATATTCACCCACATTCACCCCCAAAATAGCTCAATTTTGTGGGTGAATAGTCCAGACGTGGAGCAAACACTTTGTCAACTGCCCATGCGTTGGCTTTACTATTTTTTGGATTTGCTTAGCCGTTGATGTATATATATATATACATATGTGTGTGTGTTTTCCCATTGGGTGGTCCTCCACACATGAGGAATCTACTGGGAATATGAGTTACTTTTCTGAGGGGGCCTTAAGCAAATCCAAGTATATAATGATGGGATTATTAGGATATGGTCCCGTGGTAGGAATATAATATATATATATATATAAATACATATGGTAACAACATTTAGATATCTGGAGGGCGGGCCCGACCACAAGGCCTCGGAGGTAGTATGAAACACCAGTTCCATTATGATTATATTTAAATGTATATTTAAAATATATTGGGTTCCGTGTGTTTAGATGGCCGGGCAGGCCAAGGAAACCCTTCCTGGAGGTAATTAATCTAAAATGCCAGTTCGTATATTCAATAAACCGTATAATATTTGGATGTAGTTATCGTATATCCATACAATGGGATATCAGACATCATAATTGGGAAGTTGATAGTGCCCTCCTGTAAACGATGTGGAACTCGGAACTGATGTGTTGTGGATTGTGAACGCTACCTTATGTTCTTCCATGATTTGCCACGGTTTTGCTGATTATTCCAAGGAGAATCGGATAATCGGATAATCTGATTCTGGACCATTTTCTCATGCATTGTGACGCAATCCTACTTGATATGACTTGACATGCTTTGGATTATTTGATGCTGCCAATGTATCAATCCAGGGGTAGGGTGAACGCCATGAACGCAAAGAGAAACCAGTCATGTTCCATTCAAACCGCTGTCTCACGATGGTTTCAGTCAGACTACCCAAATTATTTGGATCTAAATCTATATAGAATCGATCTATATAGTAGTCTTCTAAAGTCTTCCCAGAATTTGTTGTCCGTTGTCCCCTCGTTCCTGCCCCCCATGTCTTCAAGCAACATACTGCAGACCGCGCAAAATAGGGGGGGCTTGAAAGAGTCTTTACATGACTGACTGTTAGATTCTATCTTTCTTGAGGGGGACGTAAATCCATTAGACAAAACCATTCGATGCCCATTCAGATCCCATTGTTACTCTAGTAAAGTCCTGAGATGGATTAAATCATGTTAAATCATGTTACAGTAAATCCTCATTGAATTGAATATGGTTAAATCATGTTAAATCCTCATTTGTTCGTAGTCAATTCTAACGCATGCCGGCCTATGCCCCTTGGTCGATTCCGCGAATAGCCAAGGTCCTAGGCAAGGCCAAACAAACGATAGGCGGGGCTTGCCTGCACGAAGAGTGCCTGACATCTTACCAGCCAAAAAGTAGCAGTGAAAAACGGGTAATTTAACATCGCTACGGAAAATCATGTTTTTTTTTGATAAGATCTAGTCAGTAGTTCATATTAAATCATCTAATATCATATATATATACATATATATATATATATACATATATATATATATGCTATGGGCTAAATTGGTCATTTTCCAAAGCTATGTCAAAACAACCAGAGGGTAATATGACGGAACCCACCGAATATGCAGGCAAAAAGATAGATACCACATATATAACCATAAGAAGAACTGGATTTGAGTATCAAAACAAAGATTTGAACAAACAAAATGGAGATTTGACATGATTCAACAAGATTGAGAAATTATGTTGGAAGCCACCCTAAATGATGTTAAATTGGGTAAACCATAGCGACACTGGTCGACCTTACCATGAGTGACAGTGGCGAACACCACTTCAAAATGGGTCTATGTTTGGTTCGGGAACTACTGTAACGTTCCAATGCTTTGCAAGAGAATGTTTTTTTTTTTCTCCCAGAAACTTCGACACTTCAACCACCAGCAATGGGAAGAGAAAGGATTTATAGTTGATTTACCTATTAAAGATAGTGATTTTCCATAGTTTTTTGTATGTTTACCAGAGGGTAGTGATTCCTGGACCATATTTCCTGACTCTCTTCCAATGGTGGACTAGTGATTTGTGGGATCAGTTTGGACATCTCCACTAGTGATTTGTTTTTGGGAAGATCCCCAGAATTTCTATGGCCAGAAATATGGGACTAACGCACTTCCACTGCTTGGTGGTTTCAAACACTTGTTATTTTCCATTTCATATATGGGATGTCATCCTTCCCATTGGCTAATGAACATATTTTTCAAGATGGTTATTGCACCACCAACCAGATAGGGTTTTATGGTATATATCAATATATATCATTCATATCCCAGTATTAACCACTATTAACCATCATTCCCCACTATTAACCACTATTAACCACTATTAATCACCATTTTCCTATGGTTTTCCTATGGTTTTCCTATGAAATTCCCATTGAGATAGGCAAATTGGGTTTGTTGGACGCCTGTGGACACCCGTTGGATCTCGGACGGAGCTGCCAGGCCTCCGGCTCGGGGACGAGGCAAGCGTCGTGTCCGACTGCTGTTGTTGATTGTTGGTTACCATATAAGGTAAACTAACAGTTTGCAAAATGGAAAACCATTGAAAACAACCTTTTTTCATAGGTAAATCAATGTAAATCAATTTATAAATGGCAATTTTCAAGAATTAGCTATGTTAAATTACCAGATGGTATTGTATATTGCCTTGTTATCTTGCGAGAGTTGATTGTTGATAATCTTGGGCGACAATCCCATTGACTGTTGAGTGCACTTGAAAGAACTTATACTCAAACATAAGTCAATTTTGTGGAGTGTTGACATGTTGATCATGTTGCAGTACAGAAACCCGAACATTGCAAAAGTCCTAGGCCCTAGGCAGCCTCAACAGACCCCCTGCTGTTGCCTCCTCACCATCGACCGACGTTTCTTCCATTGAAGCCGCAAAAGATGGCTTTAGACGAGCGGGCTGTCCTGTACAGCTATGGATTGCCGGCTCAAACGAGGAAAGTGACTAGCAGTGCGACACAGATCGCAGATGACTTAGATCCCTGGCCCTGGAAAAAGAACCTCTGACTCTGGGAATGACCTCAAGATGGAAACCATCCCTTTTGCAGATGATTCGTATATTATATAATCAAAGTTAAATGATCCTGTTGGATTTGTGATTTTCTATTGCCGTATGTATCCGTATGTGCCATGGTCAAACCATGGCTTAGTTTCCCTTCAAATGGAATGGTAAGTTATCCCTCGACTATTTATAATTGACAGGAATTAGAATCATAGTCGCCAACGTAAGGTTTCCCATTATATCATTGTGGGATTGCCATAACCCATATGCCATGTTTGTGGCACGCACGTTTTTGCTGGAGAGTGTTAGTATTGGTGCAGCTTTTCCGCATTTTGATTCGCGTGTCGATGTGTCCAAACATGAGCCGGACCGGGAAATCTGATCCATGTTTAGCAATGTGTTGAATCTTTGATGAATACCCAAAATGAATACTAGCATCCCCCTAACAAGAAAAACATGGTGGTGGTGGTGGTGGTGGTGGTCGTTAGATGTAGATTTCACGACACCCCCATGAGATGAGCAGACCGTCCTGGAAAGTGGACTTGCGCCGCAGCCCTTGAAGGCTCAGCTTCGCCAGAGATTCTTTTGGCGAGTGTCTAAGTCAGCCATGGGAGCCACGGGTAGAGTTTCTCGAAAGTTAGTGTCCCAACAATCAGAGAAAAAAAAGCAGCACATGAATAACTGGTTGGTGGTTTCAAACATGTTTTAGTTTTCCATAATATATGGGATGTCATCCTTCCCACCTGGACTTTCATATTTTTCAGAGGGGTAGGTATACCACCAACATCCACCAACCAGTTAAAGATCTTACGTTCATCCAAACAACTGGGAGCTTCCCGGTTGCCCCATCCGTTCAGGCCAGCCGCTGGTGGCAGCGGTGGGGAATCGGGAATCCGAAAAAAAATCATCGCTCAGGATTGGTTTGGTTGTGGATTGATTCTGATCTATCATTGTTGATATTGGCTTGCCATATCATACCCATAGGATCCATGTATGGTATATATGGTAACAATTACCATCAATATACCCCAAATGTTAGCATATATACCATACATGGATCCTATGGGATATCATATCATATCATATCATATCATATCATGCCCCCATGTTTGTTGTCCCAATTTCTGCTGGTAACATTTGGACACTCAAAATCGTTTTGAGATTGATGGGTGGCTTGGAGATCTGTGGGTCACCTGCTACCACTGTAGCCACATCGACAAGAAGTTGCCATCTAGTTCACCGAATCTTGACTTTGGCTGTCCCTTAATCGGATTAATATTGAACTGGGATTAGGGAGTTGCACATGAACACCAGACTTCTTGAGCTAACTTCAGATCCTCCAACTAATTAGCTAATTCAACTATAGATGTTGGGTGCGTCGAACCAAGAAGCATCACACATAAAAACGGGGTGGACCAATTTCACAAACCTCACTTTGCGGACAGGCGAACTTACCTGCAGCCTAAGCCAAGATGCGGCAAAGGGTTTCTTGTCCAATCTTCAAACTTCAATAAAATTCAACATATTGTAATATATAATATATGTTCCATATTTATATATATATATATATTATAATTATATGTATGTAAATATGCAATAGTCCGATTGACACGTTTATGTTCGATTATATATTTGGGGTCGTCGGTAGCCAGAAAGGATATCTCCACACAAAGTTTCATTTTTGGTGTAGCGGTGTAGTTAGACCTGCAAGTGGATGGATTACATAGCCAATCCGCTTGGATGTTGAGTGTTTTGGGGAAATGTTTGATGAATTTAATGGATGTATACCATGATTTACTCCCAAAAAAAAGCTACTCTTTCAGGAGGGGAGTGACAAACCACCACATTTTCAGTTTCTGAAGGTGCTCCTAGACCAGCCAGTACCCAGATCCATGGTATAGCCACCTCCAAGAATCACCCACTGATGCAGGTAAAGATGCTGAACAATGGCCCAAAATGAAATAATCACGATGAAACTACCATCGTTTTTTGACATTTGTAACTTGCAAGCGATTGTTTACTATTTACATCTATTTGCATCTATTGTCTATTTACATCTCTTTACATCTATGTACATCTATTTGCTATTTGGTGGTGTTTAGAAATCCTGAGTCGGTCATAACCCTTATAAAGTACACGGGTAATTGCACACCAGTCAGACCTGGCGGAAAACGGCGCGGATCGCAGCCTCCGTGGTTCAAGCCGAGCCATGTGACACGCCCAGCTTGGCCAGGCAGATGGAGATGTCAGCAGGGAAGGAAAAAATCAACCCCAAAAAGGTGGGATTTCACTGGCCAAAAGGAGATTTACATATAGATTTACTATGATTTACTGTAAAAATAGTGAAGAAAATGTGTTTAACCATCCAAAACGTTGCATAGCGAACTCTTTAACATAATAAAATTCGCCAAACCGGGGGATTTAGCAGCAACGATGTGCATGTAAGCAGCCCAAATCCGGATTTGAATGGATATCGGATTTGGGGTTGTTTCAAAATGTCAGGACATCCTGACATCCGAGAATTGCCATAAGACCAAAGGGACAGTTCCCATTCTTGGAGGTTCCACACCAAAACCGACTGGCATTTTTGGGCCTGGTGTTTTCACATATTGGAATCCATAGCCCATTTAGTTCGACGATTTGCCTATTCAACATGGTCATGTTCATTGATTTTCCATAGCTTATGTCACATTGCCACAGGGTATAGTCACTGGGTAAAATTTGCCTCATTGGCTGTGGATTTCCAGTGGGGGGTAAATGGATGAAAATAACCAACTGAACTGAATTGTTTGTCGGCATCAACTTTGAAACCCATACTTTGCAGTGAATCCCAAAACTAGATCCAATTATTTTGAAATATAGCATTTTGAAATATAGTATTATAGTATGAAATAGTATATTACTGAATTTCCGTACATAAAAAGAGACTATAATACAACATATACTGATCCAAAAGCCTTGAGAGTAGCAGCCGGGCCTTTGAACCTCGACCACCCGGGCCGCACCTTGTAGCCAGGATGGCGGGGCGTAGTCGGAGCCCGGTGGTGCCTCTGGGGAGATCTGAGGGAGGATGACAGCTGGAGTTAGCCTCTGGTTATGTCAAAATAGCTATTGAAAATGGCCATAGAAATAGTGGATTTTCCCATTAAAAATTGTGATTTTCCATAGTTTTTTGTAACAGTTTACCAGAGGGTAGCCGGGAAAATCAACACATGCTTTTTGGGAAAATCAACACATTTGTGTATGGGAAATGGCTTGGATTTGTTGATGATTGGTTGTTTTGTTGATGGATCAATGATGTTAGAGAATCGGATGGTATACTAATGGTGGCGGTGTCAAGGATTGACGATCATTATTCATGAAAACATATAACCCAATCCAACTGCTAGGTAATATGGTTTCAGTCAACTCCGGATCGGTTAAACCGTTGGTTGATTGATTGGAGGGATTGTGCTCCCCCAAGAAAAATGGAGAACTTGTTATCAAAATGGAATATCTTCCAGCCCTGGTGCATTCTACATCAATTGTCAGAGAGAATCTCTGTGGCTCCTGCCGTCGGGCAAGCATTGCAACTTTTTCTCACCTCTTGGCGCTCTGTCAATAGTGAGCACCCTAAAATGTAGAATTAGTCAAGGGAAAGATCATAAGAAGATCCATTCTGTGATACCATCTGGTTATGACTAACAGTTCGCCATGGTATAGATGGCCCATAGAAATAGATGGTTTACCGAACTTGAAAATGGTGGATCTTTCCATGGCTATGTTAAATAGCCAGAGGATATGTTTTTTTTTTTTGTGTGTGTGTGTGTTTCCTCTTTTATTTTTTGGGGTCTTCATCAAGATATTAGTCGGGGAAGTAGCACCTGGAGATGAACTTGAGGTTTCTAGCCATTCTAGCCATTGAATCTCAGTATGCACACCCCCTCAACTGGTGATAATCTTATTCCTGGCATTTGATATATTTAATCTACTTCCATCATAGTCTTCTACAGTATATAGTATATACATGATTATACATGTATAATACATGTATTATATTATATACATGTTATTTCGGATGCAGGCACGTGTGCATCCCTGCGGTTTTGTTGACCATACACCCCTGATCCTTGTAACAGCCCAGCTGCTGAGGGGCGAGGAGCTGGAGTAGCCAATGCCACACGGGCCATGTTTTCCGGAGTAGCCACGGAGGGATTCTGGGATGATGTTTGGGTCATTCTGGCCCGCTGTTTTACCCCAAGATTGCTGGGATTTATAGACGTTTTTTGTCCCAAAATATGGTGTGCTGGGGTGTAGGTCTTGATTCATCCACTGTTTCTTTGGAATTCAAATGGGGATGCACCGGCATGATTGGTATCCCAATAGGGGCCTCGGCTTGTCTCGAGTAGGTCCAATGCGGGCTTAAGCCAATACAATCGAATAACCCTGCACTCGGAAGTAGGCATTTTCAAGGCGCAAGGAAAGGGAAGTGTAAGGAGGGTTTTGCGGATGGTCTTTCTTTCCGGAGCTAGTGATGGCATATGATGACATCCCAGCACTGTGCCCAGTGGTGGTTAAACAGAACTAAGAAACCCCAAGTGGGTACATACCCTCGATTTTATGATGTTACCATGCTACTGTGGCCGGTGACGATTTGGCAGAAACATGCAGAAACTAGGTTTGCTGGTTAGATCGTAATTTTTACGGTTCAACCTTTTGCAGCAAAAAAACGGAGAAAAACACCATCATTCTAGAGGTTTTGTTTGTTTTCCCATTCAGAAGGCACACATCGACACACTAGCCTAGCATTCCCCACTTTTTCAGCGCATAGAAAGTCAGGTGAAGAAGAAACGAAAAGACCTCTTCTCGAAGGAGTTGCTTGGTCAGCTTCAGGGGCAATCTTGGGTTAACCTATTACTGTACTAGTTGGGTGGTTACAAACATTTTTTATGACTTTACATTCAGTTGGGAATGGAATAATCATCCCAACTGGACTAACTCCATCATTTTTTCAGAGGTGTAGGTCAACTACCAACCAGATAGGGTTTTATATGGTATATATCAATATATATCATTTATATCCCAGTATGAAAACCACTATTAATCCTCATGTATTATGTTAAACTCATTGGATCCATGAGTAGGATCCCAATCAGTCGACTAAATCCCAATGGTTGATGGTGAAATCTCCAGTTGTGGAATATGTTCCAACATTGGGGTGGCTTGTTGTTTTGTTCCATATTTGGGGTGGTGAATAATATGATAATGTTGGTAATATGATAATGTATGTTGGGGATATATGTAATAATATTATAATATTGGTAATATGTATGTATGACATAACATTATAATATATGATAATGTTGGTACATATGCCATACATGTTTGGGGCTTTAGGCAAGAACATCTGATGTCCAAAAGGCACCACAAACATCTCACCTTAGAGAAATGTGGGATGAGGAGACGATGCGATGTTGAGCTCTTTGAAAGTTCAGTGGGGAACCCAAAGGACGGCCCTTGCGCGATTAATTTTGTCTACACCTGAGGTTGGGATACAAAGATGAAAGCAATCCGCCGGGAAACCAAATGGCAGTGATCAAAGCGGCCTTGGCAGGTCGGCAAAATACAGTGGATACTTGACTGATACTTGGACGGATATTTCACCAACAACAACGCTGGCCTCCTTTTTCCCAATAAAGTACTCGTTTTCACCAGCAGAATATGGTGATGGAACAAATCAGAGGTGCATCAACCTCTAAATTAGTCCTTGCTTGTTTGAAATAACGCACATACGACTGCGAGTTGTGCCATTCTCATGTTTGTTGACTATCACTAGTGATATCCCCACAGCCTTGTTTTTGTTCCTTGCTCCAGCATTTGTTTTGGGCAATATCCGACCTCAGAATCTCAACTGGACTGTCTCAACATGGCTGGAAGAGCAAAGTGTTCAAAGTTGTTTGTGCAAGGAACATCATCTACATGTCTGGGATTGTCTGGGTGATTTCCGTTGCTATGCTTTGAGGGTATTGACCCCCAACAGACGATTGCTATCACCAAATTGCAGGGCCGATTGGGCCAGGACTCATGATGGGAATTAGAAGTGATTTGGTTTCAGGAGGCAAATCAACCCATCAACCTTTGTAAAGTGTTTGTTTTCTTTTTTTTTGGCGGGTGGGAGAGGCAGTAGCCCCATAGAAAGATAGTTGGGCCCAACTGTTTGAATCTGTTTGATTGTGTATGTACCCTCTGGTGAACTAACATAGCAATGGAAAATCACCATTTTTTATGGGTAAATCCACTATAAATGGCCATTTTCAATTGCTATGTTAGTTCACCAGAGGGTATTTGATATAATCATCGACATTGGCAACGTCCGCTGTTCCCAGATCCCTGGCTCGCGACTGGCCGAGGTTCGGCGACAACACCTTGACACAAAAATTTGTTTGGAAGAAGAAGAATGAGTACCTCCAAGCCGCAGGTGGGTGATGGAGATGAATCCCATGAGCCAAAAATGGCAGTTCTTTGCCTAGGAAAAATCCTAGAGCTGGACACCGTCATATCTTTAAATTCCGTATTGCCCATCCCCACTCCAGAAATTACTTTCAAACATGTGTCCAGACGTTCTCAAATAGCATTACCCATCCCCAAAGAAATCTTTCAGGCAAGAAGAATGCGGATGTTTTATGGTTTGTTCCTTAATGGATCCTCACTGAAATGGATTGATGACTCCTAAGGGAATCCATCATAACTCCGTATATGTTAAATACTAAATCAACTCTTCCATGGGAAGCCATATGTAATATAATTATATATGTGTATATATATATATATGTGATATCGGTTCAATATCAATTGCATTGGTTCAATATCAATTACCCGATGCCCTACAGTAAACCAACATGCTGGTAGCATTCTGGTAGCTATAAAATCATCGAACTACATTGGCCATCAAAACCATGTTAAATCACCAAAGGGCATCAAAGTTTACCCATTGATATATATATATAATATATAATATATATATATGTATGGTACCCCCCCCCAAAAAAAAAAAAAAACTACCTTCTTATCACTTTTACTGGTATTTGCGGTGTTTCGTGTCTTTTTTTTGGAATGGTTTTAAATGGACAATTTTGGAGAGTTTTGGGTATTGGTTTTCCCTCTAGGGGGTACCATATATATATATATATATATTTATAAACACACATATATATATATATATATGCATATATATATATACACATGTCATGAATACACACACACAGAGGGTAGTAAGCAGAATGTTGATTTTGATTCTTCCTTGTACTTAGGGCATTCTGCATTCTGACGGAATGCATTCAGAATGCATTCTTTGCAAAAACCAAGATCCAAGATCCAAGATTCCCACAAGACTCCTGATCAAAATCTTGGATTCCTAAAGAATTTTGATAGGGATTGGTAAGGGTATTCTGGCAAATCCCAAATCCAAGATTTGCACAAGACTTCTCCGCAACTCTTGGATCTTGGTTTTGGGGAAGAATGCATTCTGAATGCATTCCTTGAGGCTGCAGAATGCCTAAGTACAATTCTTGCAATCTTAGTTCGTACCCCTTCCGAACTATGTCTTAAGTATAATTTACATTAATTTACGTACCTCCAAGTACCTCAACCTCTCTGCAAAGTTTCCCTTAAGTAGTGATTCAACCCACACGAAAAAGATCATTCAACTTTGGGTCTTTTCCCCAAACCTGAAAAAAGGCAGTGAAAACACTGTAAATGACTACAAGAGATGATCAAACATGCATCCTTCTCTTGAAGAACCAATTCTAAGTGACAAGAGCAGGCTTTACAAACAGACAGTTTCATTCAAAGGGTGTAGCATTCCTTAAGCAAAAAAGAGTATTCCCTTTTAATAGGTAGCATTCCTTTTCAGAAAGCCACTTCTCTTGAAAATATATCTCTTCATTTCGATCAATCAGTGTTTTTTTTCCAACATGTAAATATGCATTCTTAATTCACAGACCCATTTCATAACGTACTAAGTACAAACACGTTGCACAAACAGTCCCTGCAACATACAAGGCATTTTCCAATCAAATGCAGTATCTCTTCAAATCAAATAAGACTATCTTCAGAAATTTAGCCACTACTTTGAAGAACATATATACATGTTTTTCTCTAAGTGACACTATATTTGATGAAAAACAAGTTGGATATTTAAAAGAACATGCTGCACATGTGGCACAAGTACTGCTACATTGTGCTTTCTAGAGTCAGTATGCCCTAATGTTTAGACAGTAATTGTGCATACTTGAAATGAACAAATGTGAGCCGTCTTTGCTTAAACAAAAACATCACAAATGCTACCTTTGCGAGATTGACAGTGCCCCTTCTGAAGAAAAGTGATTTGAAAGGGCACAGCATAACTTCAATAAGAAAGCTCTCTTAGTCTATGCAGTATTCACTGGGAACAATAATTGTTCCAAAAGTGTTGTAGTGTAGCATTACAAGCAGGCAAAGGTAGTTTTTGTTTTTTTGGGGGGGGGGCTAGCACATATAATATATATACATATATATATATATATTCATTGATCATCCACTCGATGATCATTGATATATATATATATATATACACAATATAAATCATATAAGTATACATGCAGCATGTATATATAATATACAGATTTGTCACATGCATGCCCATTGATTTTTTTTATTGACATGTCATCATTTCTCCACATCCGTGGCACACAAACCTGGCGAAAAGGGCTCGCTCCAGGCCTCTACCGGCCCTCGTCCAAAGAGCAAGAAGTGACGAAGATGGAGAGCAAGATCCGCGAAATTCAGCAGGATGGACATCTTAGACATCTTAGACATCTTAGGACATTCTTAGGGTTTTTTTGGGAAGAATCATGGGAGGTGGAACAGTTGAAACGGTGCAACCAAAATGGGACTCGCAGACTCGCAATAATATGGGGAGGTGAACTAAAACGGTAGTTTCACCAACAAAACTGGAGATTCAACAGACCAATATTCAAATTCAACTGGCCAAAATTGGGGTTGAACCAATCAACATGGGGATTGAACCAGCAAACATGGAGATTGAACTCACATAAAGAGCATGGTACAGGCCCTGTGATTTTTTGATCTTGCCAAATCCACAATTTGGGGAATCTTTGGCGATGCTTGTTTAACTGGGTCCAATTTAAAGCAATCCAAGACAGAAAACGTGATTGTTTGCCGCGTTTTCGACGTAGGTCCTGTTGTGGTGGGGATGGAAATAGAAAGCCGTGGAAGAGAACAAATACTGTAGAACCACACTGCAAGTGCTGGCATGGTAGTTTGGGTTGATTGGTGCGACTGAAGCATCTATTGTTGCTTCATCCGTTTCTTTCGTTGACGTATTTCGTTTGCACTGTACCCTGAGGAAATTTCCCATTCCGGAAATGATCAAAAAGATGGTGGATTGTGTTGGTTATATCCCCATTAAATTTCCCATACTATGGTTGGTATAAAATGCTCCCATTTTCCTGGTTATATCGATTCTATTGTATTCCGGCATATCACCATTGATGCTACAGTTGATGTTTTTTGTTAGTTCAATCAGTTTTTGTTGGACATCCACTCGAGATTGTCCAGAAAATTAGCCCCTGAGTTCTCCATTCGATCCCCACGTGTATTTTTTCCCGCACCAGGTGAAGAAGCGCCGTGATGAGCGAGAGGTGGAGAGGCAGCTGCTCGAACAGCAACGACTGGAGCATGACAAGGTGCCACGGTCACGCTGTCACCGCTGTCGCACGTCGCACTGCACCGGTCGATATGGATGAAGCCCAAAGAATGGATGGATGGCATGGATGATGATGGATGATGATGGATGGGATGAATTGAACGGATTGATATGTTGTGTTTGGGGTGGAAAACAATTTCCAAAAATAAGCAAAGATCCCACAAAAGAAGATCAACACATATAGATGAAACATGATGAAACTAATCCCCAAAGATGGGAAATCAACGGAAATGGGCTTAGTTTCCAGCTTTTTTTGGCTCTTGACTGCTGCCCAGCAGGGTGTCGGGTTGGGTCCCACATTGGATTGTAAATCCTGCTATTTAACAGATTTATGGATATTTATGGGCTTATAAATGATAGAAACTACTAGTATAATCCCACAGTTTCAATTCCAACTAAGAATAGAAAAGATCGAAAAATCAAATCGAACCTGTTTTATCAAGGAGGTACTCCAGATTGATGTTGTCTAGTTATAGGTATACGACTCTTTATTGCACATCCAGCACTTGGAAGCTTGCAGCGATGGGTCCACCATGGAGAAAACCTGTGGCAGAGAGTACAGGTTTTCATTTGCCTTGAAATATGTGCAGAAAGGCAGTGAAAGGTTGGTTGTTTCAAGTGCATGCGTTCAGTTTTTCATCCCTTTTGAAAAGTGAGAACTGTTCATCATTGTTCATCTCCGTCGCGGTGAAAACAATGCCTGAACCGACGCCAAAGGAGTTGCACGATGAAGAGTATGGCGAATGGCTGACCAAAGAGGAGAAATTCCACTTGGACAATGCCAAGGCAGAACTGGTGTTGAAAGGAGACTGGATGGTTTGTAGCGCTGGTCTTCTAATTGGATTGATGTAATGGATAATGCATTGTAGCCTTTTTTTAGACTTAACAATCTTAACCACGGCATTCTTGGCTGTAGCATGTAGCCATATACGTCGAGTTTCGCTTTCCTGGGGTAAAAGTAGAATGGACTTACTGCAAACAGCCGACCAGTTTTAGTGACAAGCTGTGAGCAGTTCACCAGCAAGGCAGCTTTGGAACATTTTTTTTGGCAGCTGATGGTTCAAAATGGATCAAGAATGCTTCAATCTTCGTAAGTTGGGGGAATATACCCTCTGGTAATTTAACATAGCTATGGAAAATTGCCATTTATATATAGTGAGTTTTCCCATTAAAAATGGTGATTTTCTATAGCTACGTTAGTTTACCAGATGGTGAATCCGGATTCCTCAGGACTTAGGATCAAAAATGCTTCTCCAGCTTATCCCATGTGTCTTTGGTGTTAAAAACCGGGTTCTTAGGCACTAACCGAACCAGCTTGGTGGTTCATCGGAATTAACAAATTCCTCAGCAGAAAAAAACCTGTTGCATGTCGGTTTGGCTTTCGCCCGTGTTTCTGTCCTTTGTCCTATGCATTGAGATCATTTAGATGCGACGCACATTTCCAGGCCACGTGCTAAGTGGATATATATTATATATACATATGTAGGTGAACAGCAATATTGTTCTATAAATGGTTGCAGGGAATATACCAGATTGTTTTTTCCCCCACCGGTTATTTCTCCAAATGTGGGTTCTAGCCTTGCTTGTTACGTCCCTGTTGTGGCTGGTTATATACATAATCCTAAAATGCCTTGCCGATTGCATGTGGTTTTGCAGAACACTTCTCAACCATCACCCTCACAGAGTCATCATGGAGCTAGGCTAATCCCATCTAATCCCTTCACTCTAAAAAGACAGAATTCTCCTTCAGAAACCCTTTCCTGTTTGTTTCAAGATCCTCAATAGAGATCAAAAAAGACTGCGGGTGCAGTTTGGGGCTAATGAGAGGTTCTTCAGTTAGCCCGGCTGATGTTGAAGCTGCCCCGGAAGTGCGGCATCAAATCATCACAGTCTGACGCTCGCAGGCCAGAACCATGCTCCGAATTGAGCAGGGCCGAGAGAGGCACCGGGTGCACCCATTGCGGGTTCAAAGGGGCCCGGGCCCGTCACGTTTTAGCATTAGCCATTAGTACAGATCCTTTCTTTTCGGCACACATCCCAAAGAGTGTTGGTCAAAAATCCCCGAGTCGTTCCTTTGATCCTCCTCTTCTTGTACCATCCCCAAGCACGCAAAGTCAATCATAAATCCTTGCGTTCAACCCCAAAAACTACAGTTGTTTGTTTGCAAGTCGTGTTGGATGACGACAACTCTGCACCTCCCTTTCTTGAAGCCAACTAGAATGCTTTAAACTTTAGACATGAACTTGGCCGGTAGTGGTAGGCATTACCTGGCTGAGAACTCAATCTGTGTGAATTAAAGTGGCCTCAAAAGGACCTAACCACAAATGACGATCAGGAACATTCAGGAACCGTCCCTTAAAATTGTTCTAAATCTGGAGGTTTCCTAAAATGTAGGGACCCCCGAATCATCGAATCATCCATTTATAGACGGATTTTCCATCTAATCAACCATCCAACTGTTGTAGTAGCCCCATTTTAGGAAACCTCCATATGTAACCACTATGAACCACTATGAACTGGCTATGAATCATTATTAAACACGATTAATTAATCCGATTAACCATCAATTTTGTGGTACCCCCATGGCTATGGAAACCCCCGTGGCCCAGCTGACCGTGCACAACGGGTGACTTGCGGAGGCCTCTGGACCTGGTTGCCAAGGCCCTGATGATCGCTGAAGGGGAGCACTTCGAGGCCAGGGTGACCGTTGCGGCTTCCTGCTTGAATGCTACCTACCTGTGGCACGTCCCTATATTAATAATTATATATATATATATTTATATACATAATTAATAATAATTTATAATCATAATAGTAATAATAATATAATAGTAATAGTAAAAAAATAATATAATAATAATGTAATAATAATATATATATATTGATACACACACACATATATATATATAATCATGAACTTAATGATGTATTCCTGTTTGTAGATGTTTTTATTGTTGGGGGGATGTGTTTAGTTTGGTCGATGGATCACCAGAGGAATTACTGTAACCAGCTGCAAATAGCTCGGTTGCTACATAACTAAGTACATATAACTACCATACTACAGGAGATGCAATATCTATGGTAATATGATATTTCTATGGTTAATGATGGTTAATAGTGGTTAATATAATGGTTAATGAGATATACTGGTTGGTGGTTTGGAACATGAATTTTATATGTTTCCATTCAGTTGGGAATGTCATCATCCCAACTGAGGACCTCCATCATCTTTCAGAGGGGTAGGTATACCACCAACCAGAGAATCATTAACCATCATCAACCATATAATAAACAGTATATTACCAACCAATGGTAGCTTGGTCAACCACCAACCAGAGAAAATCCACGGAAAACCCATGAGCTCGTTGCTCCGCCTTTTCGCTTCCCAGGAGATGACCATTTTGGACAAGCCACCGCACCAGCTCTTCGTGAACATGAACATCGACGAGGTCCACGGCCGGTGATGCCCTCTCGGAAACCATGGGTTTGATAGGGGATTTATAGGGGATTTATATATGGATCCATTTTTGGGACCATAGAATGGTGCTGTTTCTTTTAAATGAGCCAGGGATGGAATTCTACATGTTGAAAAAAACTCCCAGTATTGGATGCTATCCCTGAAGCCAATCCGCTGGTTGATGGGTTCATGAAAAACATGGTCCTAAGATGAAATGCCACCAACAAAGCCCCAAGATGATTAATTAGACAAATTAGACTAATTAGACCCAGTTTAAACCAATCTTTCAGGGGAAGTATTTAAGCTGGGAAAGGGATTGTTAGTGTCAAATAGGTCACAATCTTGTTGATCTGTTGCAGGCTTGCATCAGACCCTTCCCATTTTTCAGGAGCTATAGGGTATTATAGGGTAACATGTTGCAGGGCTGGGCCTCAGTTGGTTTATAGTAGGTTAACTGCAGCTAGATATAAAGATTCTTAGTGGGAAGTATGAACCAACTTATAACTAGGGGGCCCCACCTTGTGGTAAAATTCGTCCCAAAGCCATCCCCGAACTACGTATGCCATGCCAAAGGGGACGTCAGGGGACAGGGGATGACGATTTGGTGGTGACACACCGCCCAGATTATCGTGCCAAAATCTGACCTCGCAACGTAGAATCCACCATGTCTAGTAGGTTTATGGAGATTTGCGGGTGGTTTACCCATACCAGTTTTGTTTTTGTTTGTCCATTGCCCTGTAGTTTTCAAGGCAAGGGGCACCTGAACTTGAGCCCGTAATTGGATGACGTTTGCTCACCCCGTGTTCATTGGTAAAAACCCAGAGCTTTCTCGAAGAACAAATCCTTACTGTACCCAGTGATTTGTTGCATAGCTACATAGCTACATAGCTACATAGCTAGGGTTTCAACAACCCATTCAGTTCGATGATTTACCTATGAATTAATGTCAACTCCGGATTAAAAAACCATATGGTTTATTAATTGTGGGGGTACCCTCCAAATAGTCACAATATGATACTTAGGATACTTAAATGGTACCCCCCCAATTAAACAACTTGGGTTGACATTAAGCATCCCGATTTTCCACAACAAGTGACTACAGGGTCGCCCCAAGCCGTGCCAAGGTGGAAGACATCATGGATGAGGTGAATACCTTCGTCCGCATCGATGCCCAACACCGCGACTTCTGGCAGGTGCTCACCTGAGCCATGGTTGATATGAATGATTGGTGAATTTGTTGGGAGTTATAGTATGTTATAGTCCCAAATGTGTTCGGATTATATGAGATTTTGATAAGCCATAGTAGGGAAACCATGGAAACCTATGAGCCAACTAGTTAGAGATGGAATAGCGGTATTTTAATGCATTTGAATGGTCCAACTGGATTAGAGTGGCGAAGTATGACGAGAGAGATGGAAACATGCTGCGGATGTTTGAAGCGAAAGGATTGGTTGGTGGTTTCACGTAATTGTTTTTATATGTTCGACATTTGTCCCACCATTTAGATCCATATTTGTGATGATCATTAGCGCATAGTTGGTTTGCACAAAGATGCTGTGGCCCAAAGAAAGATAATGGATGTTCCTGGGCCAATTTTTGTCCCATTGAAACTAACGATTACCCTCTGGTTATTTAACGTAGCCATGGAAAATCATCATTTTTAATAGGTAAATCATCATGTTTATCATCTATAAATGGCTTATTTTCCATGGCTGTGTTAAATTACCAGAGGGTTATCTCTTTAAGAAAGTGGGCTTAGCCATGAGGATGCCGACGCGTACCACGCCTCCAAAAAAACACCTGGCCTGGTAATTTGCCACATAGCTATGGGAAAATGGTGATTTTATGGTAAATTAATGGTGATTAATGGAAATGGTGATATTTAGCCTCTGGTAATTTGTTAGATAGTTATATGATGTTATAGATGGTCCATTTCTTTTGATGCTTTCCCGTTTAAAACTAGTGATTTTCCATAGCTAGATTAATTTGCGGCAGGGTACCCCTTACAAAAATCAAGAGCATGAACTAATGCACGATATAGCACGATATGATGTAAAATGGCAGAATCATGCAAAAACCGTGTCATAGCAGATGCTGTACCCAACTTTTCAATATTCCCCGATTTCTGGCTGGATGGTTCACCTATTATAATCCTAGTACCATGCCCTTCACCCAGCCACAGCTACAGCCAGATGTTTTAGGCCATGCGCTACATTGCCAACGACTCCTATGAAGGCAAGCGACGAGAAAAGGCGGGCGATCTATGCTACCCGCAGGTGGCTGCAACGGCTACCCCTCAATTTCAACGGATATTAGAACATCCTTTTTTTCACATGATTTGGCCAGAAATGGAGGTTATAGTTTCATCCAATTTCAGAGAAGACCATATTTGCAGTGAATATATATATATAATATATATAATATATATATATATACATATCACCACACGCACACACAGATATATATATATATAATATAATATAATATATATATATATAATATATATATAATATATTATATAAATATGTTCAAATTGACCAAATTGAATCCAACTGCCGGTGTTTCTTGGCTCCCGCGCCCCGCACAGGCCGGGAGGTCAAAGGCGGGTGCTGCCATCAGTGGACTTGGACCTGGAGTTGCTGAAGGCGCTGAAGTTGACATTTCCCAATGCTTTGGCGTTAAAGATCTACGGTTGAAGAGTTTAAATACGTTTATATATATATATATGGGTATGGATCAATACCTATTAATACCATTTTTAGTGGGATGAACATCCATTTACCAGCTATTTTGATGTTCACCAGGAGTACAAGGTTTTGACACACTGCCATATATATATATATTTATTATGTATATATGTTTACCAATAATTGTACGATTTTCTGCCTGACTTTTTCAGGAACTAATTCTGGGACCCAACATGTAGATCTGTTGAAAGTTGCATCGACTTTCGTCTACCGACTTGCATGCAACAACAAAGTATTGGTAGACACATGCCTGAGTATCAGCATATGTAAATACATGCATAAATGCATACATGCATGCATGTGTATTAAGGCACACTGTGCCGCACACATGTGTATTTGTTTCAACTGAAGGTGCCATTCAATTTGTGTATATTTGTGTTTCTGTCAGGCCATGAAAACTTAAGCTTGGCCAATATTGATCTTTTTTCGGGTTGGAAAGAGCGGCAACCACCAGCTTTATCAGCAGCAAGGTGTCGTGGATGAGATCCACCAACTTCTTTGCGCCAAGAGCAAGAGGGAACTGGGCGACATGTTGGCCTGGATCCCCAGTTTTTGTCCCCAGTTGGCCCCAAATCTGCAGCGCCAAATGTGGTGGTTAAATCGCCAGTTAAAACAATGACTGGTGACTGGTTGTTACAAATAGCTAACAAATTGTTACATAACTAAGTACATATAACCACCATACTGCAGGAGATGACATATCTGGTTGGTGGTGACTGGAACATGCGAAATATTTTCCCCAATAATTAGTTGGGATGATGATCCAATCTGACGAACTCATATTTTTCAGGGGGGTAGGTATACCACCAATTAGATGGTATAGTACCCATGACTGGGAATGGTAAACATACCACCTGTAAAAATGGTGATGACTGGGGGATGGTTTATTGTTTTACCCACATGATTCCTGAATGCAGATGGGCTACCTTCCGTGCGAAAATACCACAATTAAAATGCATGCCCCCGCTTTTTGTTGAAACATGCCAATGACTGTCACCATTTGTCACCGTGTTCATTGCAAAGGTCATGTTCCCTTCCTTGGTCGAGTCTAGCTGTTTGCTCCTCATACTTGTGTAATTTATCCGTTAAATTATTGGGCACAATCAAACTACATCCATCCTATTTGCGCATGGTCTTATAAGTTTATACTGTAATAGCAACAATTGGCAATATCAGCCCTTTTCATGGAATCCTATTTGTCCATGGCAGTTGCTTATAAAACTACGATTGGCACATCACCGTGTATCGTCACAGTTCGGTTTCAGGGAAAACTTGTGAACATATCTACTGACTCGCACTCGCTGTGCTCAGGTTGAAATCAACGATAGCTTGAAGGCCAGAAGCAGCAGTGGGAGTTGCGCATGGCAAAAAACATTGCCATTTCCGGACCTGATTATTTGTGGATTGGATTATCCACATCTAACAACTGCAGAATATTGCACGCTATTGCACAACTATTTATTGAAGAAGCGCTTCACTCAAGATCGGTATGACGCATGGGTTCGCATTGCTTCGCTGTCCTCATAGCTACATCTTTCTGGATGTCTAATGAGTTTGGTTCAAAAGCCCCGTGCTACGATGATGATGGGATGACATGCTCACGACATGTATAATTATATAAACATATGCGCCAGAAATCATCAAGCATGTTTGCACGTCTATCTATTGAATTATATAGGTCCATGCAAACCCTATATAATCACTGGCCACTTATGTTGGGGTCCAGATATCCGTGAAACCCAATACTTTGGGTCGTGACCATTTTTGAAGCCCACTTTCTTGCCACTTTCCTGTGTAGCTTGTGTCTGAATCTTATTGATCAAAATCCTTTCAATTCCACGTATTTTAATTCGGGGGAGGACAAAAAAAAAGGTGTTCGTTGGTTCACAACTCCCTTCCAGCCCTACAAGCGTCATTATTGGTCATTATCCAATATTTCCCTAGTGATTGTCATTATTGCTGGATTTTGCTGGTTCAAATCCACATTTTGCCGCCCTGGTGCCTGGTGGTCCGAAGCGGTGCTCAGGCTTCGCCTGCCGGCATGGACACCCAATTCTTCGAAGCGGTGGCCGCAAAGATCCCGTGCCTCGGTCGAGGGGCGCTATGGCTTGATATGATGTATAGAATGATGTACCCTCTGGTAATTTAACATAGCCATTGAAAATGGTGATTTATAGTTGATTTTCCCATTAAACATGGTGGTTTTCCATAGCTATGTTAGTTTACCAGAGGGTATATCTGGGTAAATTATAACGACCTCACTGCGACCTCACTGGAAATCATGGTTAGTAGGAGGAATCATCCCCAAATGGCAGGGACCGCAAGAAGTTGGTGGCCTTAATTCAGGTTAGTGAAATATTTTAATGCACCCATATGTATATATATATATACATAATATATATATATGGATTTTTATGATATTATATATATATATATATGTTTAAATGTATTATATGGTTTTATATTTTATATTGTATATAGATTTGCACCGGCTTATAAAGATCAATTAGTTGTTGATAAGTTGGGCGCATTACGGTAAACATCACCACTGGGTCTTACCGTTCCTGGTGGAAGTCCCATCGTCGAGGGATAGCCATAATTGAAAGTTTGGGTGTTTAAAGCCGTTCCGCAGATAAAAGACAATCATACCCTCTGGTAAACTAACGTAACTATGGAAAATCACCATGTTTAATGGGAAAATCCACTATAAATGGCCATTTTCAATAGCTATGTTAAATTACCAGAGGGTACATTTGAGTAAGATTTTGTTTATTGGCGACAATTGAAATCTAATGAGAACTTGTTTTTTTGCCCGTGAACTTGTAGTACTTGCAGTAGTTGTAGTACTTGCAGTAGTTGTAGTACTTGTAATACGTGTAGTGAGTGGGGTTCAGCATGTTGGGTGCGTTACCTTTTGCACCTCAAGTTTTTCGTTAAAGGTTTGATAAGAGAAAGAGAAAGAGAAGAGAGAGAGAGAGAGAGAGGAAGAGGAAGAGGAAGAGAAAGAGAAAGGAAGAAAGACATAAAGAAAGCGATCCTTATTCTTTTGGGAAAGGTTTGGGCTTTGAACTTGGCAATTGCTTTTGGAAAAGTCTTTCCTTTCTTCTCTTGGCTGCAGGAGCAGCTCTGGAAAAGTCTGCTGCAATTGTGAACCCTGGGAACAGACCTACTAAAGTGAATTGGACCCTCTTATGATCCAGTGCCTTGAAAAATTGTGGAAAAGTTGCTAGTACTTGTTCTTTAATAAGGGTTTAATAAGCCATCTGTTTTGTTTGGGAACAGCAGACCAGCATTTTTTCCAGAAAAGTGTTAAGTGTTTTTGTTCACACAAATATGTTTTTGACAAAAAATTGTTTGCCAAAAAATGTTGCCACAATAGTGAAATTTCCAATCTAATCGTGGGTTCTGAATAAGTTGTTTTTTTAGCAACAATAGCGAACCTAGCTGTTAATCAGGATGCAACGTTAAGGTTACATAAATGGGATAGATAAATATATAGATAGATAGACAGACAGACAGACAGATAGATAGATAGATAGATATATAGTTGAAAATTGGGATAGTCCACAATGATATTCAATGGATTGGTTTAAGGGAAGATCTTAATCGCAAACCAGGATTCTTAGCAGTAATGATAGGGATTTCCTTTTTTTCCATCATCCAATTCTGGGATTGATTTCTAGGAATTGAACACTATCTCAAGAAGGGCTGGCGAAGGTCCGTCATTTGTCAGTCTCCAAAGGTCTCTTCTGATCACTCAGCTCAGATGATTACCGCTCATTTTTTTGACCCCAGATGGTTTGACAAATTAAGCGCCTCGAACTGATTGTTTTCTACAGTGGAGGGCCAACTGTGTCACCCAAATTGCACCAGAACCCGGTCTTTAAGATATGTTTTAAAATGTGTTTTACTACTGAAATAGTATAGACTCATAATGTTGGGGCACCTTGCATTGTGAACAACACCCAGGTCGTCATCATCATGGTGGTCATCATCATCATCATCATCATCATCATCATCATCATCTTCAATGATCACACGTCAACTACATTTGAATTATTTTGCTGCTTAAGCCCCTGTTTCTGATAATGCTGAACTCTCACATTTCTGGTGAATTTCCCCATTTTGGGGTGCCCAAAGTCGCCCATCTTTTCCTCGGCACAGGCTCTACGTTGCACGTGCTGAAGTCGACCACTGGCATGAGAGGTGGGCTGCGGAAAGGGTGGAGACCTCGAGGATGACGATCTTTTTGTTTGTAATTGGGATATAAGCTCTGGTTATTTAACATAGCCATGGAAAATGGCCCCTTTATAGATGGTTTACCTATCAAACATGGTGATTTTCCATGGCTATGTTAAATAACCAGATGGTAAACATTATGTATTCACTGTTGGTTTAGTTACTCAATGTTACTTGTCTTTGTGCATTTTTTGCGTGCATGTACTAGCACACAGTGTTATACTAATTTACATATGCCATATGTGTATACACTAATATGCTACATTCCTTTTTGCATAGAATATGCACGTTCTGGCAGAAGATATTTGAAGGGCAACCATGGACGAGCAAAATTTCAATGGGATGTTCACCTGGGAAAATGGTAGTGGGGTGTTCCATGCAGATTTGTCCGCATGGAGGGCGTATACAAACTGTTTATATAACGACTATATATGTATATAACTTGGATAAGCACATGTCGCAAAAGAATTGCAAAAGAAAGGTTAGATATGATGGAATTGCGCCAACCAGTTTATGGAGAGTAATTGGGACATTGAAATGGGGGTATAATTGGATATTCATGGGTGTATAATGGGATATGTAATCAGCTTGATATGAATTTTCTGTTTGTGTGTGAAAACTTTGAATGTACGCACATTTTTTGGCAAATTGATTTCCGAAGATGATGAGTACCAGTGATTTTAGGGATTGTCCCAAATTTTCGGACAAAGGCAGCTGGATGTTTTGACTTCAACATCTTAGTGTATACTGACCATTGCATACTATATGATTTTCTTAAAGACCCAGATGCCCCACAGTCTGGATAGGTCGCCGCTTGTCTTTCCATTATACCACAAGGCTCCAAATTTTGAGTCATGTGGGTTGATAGCCTTCAGGTGAATCCTGCATGAACCTCTGATGTTTTCCGCCTTTTGGCTGGGCTCAAGAATGTGCATATAGAATTGCCTGGCGGTCCATTTGACGGAAGGTGCCGGCGCTAAAAGCGGAAAAGCGGGGGGATTCAGTGGCAAGAACAGTCATTTGGGTATGTTCCCAAAGCGGGTACTCCATGCCCAAAGTCTCTCCCTCCCTCCCTCTCCCTCCCTCTCTCTCTCTCTCTCTCTCTGTGTCTCTCTCCCCCTGTATGTATGTGTGATAGGTTAGTCATCATATACGCTATCCAATGGCCATGTTGGGGGTAACTATACCTTATTTCAGGTGCACCCGAATACTATGGGAGATGCCATCCTACCCTCGCTGTTGACTCCAGAGGTCAGTTGCATCATTGCAGTTTTCTTCACTCCCAAATTGAACGTCGAACTCTTATATATTTATGGCCATATTCATCAGGAGCATGTAAAATACCGTTATAAGTATTTCAGACCTCATTTTCCGAGCATGACAGGACACTTTGGTCAGAGTCAGACACATGGAACGGCTTGCAAATTACCTCAAAAGACCATGAACTCCCTGAAGTCAAAGAACATCAAGTCGGGCAATCTGTGCATCACGGTCAATTCTGCAGGGACGGAGTGCTATGATGTTTTGAGCATGAGAGAGAAATGATTGCCATTGGATTGGTTTAAGGGAAAATCTACAGGAAACCATGGTTTTTGCCTTCAAATATAGGGTGTTCCTGTAAAATGTCCCTTACACCAATCCAATGAGATTGACTGGACCCACAAGCGAGACCCACAAGCAGTTTACCTTGAGCACAGAAGACGTGAGGAACATCCAGGCTGATGGGCCGATCTCCAAGACACGGTGCCTTTTGGTACTACTTGGAGGACCATCTCACTTGTCCTGTAGTTGGTTAATAACCCTGGCGAGGAAGTCCTCAAACTGAGGTTGTCCATAGTTGGGTAATCGCCCTGGAACCTGATGGTCATTTCAGAGCATTTCAGAGCATTTCAGCATGCCTTTCCTGGCTCCTTGTCCCCCAAACAACATCGGCCTGAAAATAGGGCACCACAAGATCTCACAGTTGATTGTCATGTTCCCATTAACATTGCCGTAAATCAAGGTTTTTTTTCAACCATTTCTGGACCAACAAAACTGATATTGTTAGTTATCAGTTCTCTCACATCATAGGTATCCCCATTGTATCCCACTATATATCCCCACATATAAGCTGGTTGGTTTGAGCCTCATATGTTTATATCCACAATCATATCTATGTTTTTGTGGTTGAAATGTCGATGCGTTCAGGCAAGAATATCTCATCATATCGAAGTATATTCGAGTGTATCCCATTATTCCACTATATCCAATGATCATCACTTATCAACTTATCAATACAAATCAGTATATCCAATAGTGCCATCGTATTCCATGATATCTTTTACTATTATAAAAAAAAAAAAAAACATCCCCAGGCGGCCATCCCCACATCATCGCACCCACCTCGAGATCCAGGCCATCTGCAAGCGCCACCGTCGGGGATCGACTGGGAGGCGATGAGCGACCAATGGATGTTCATCGCCACAGAGCCGGTGCCAATGTGGCCTGCTTTTCCTCCAGCAACCGTGCCATGGACGGCCGAAGGAAGGGGCGGGCTAGCATCACGAAACGGAATCCACTGGGAATCCGAAAACAAAAATCCACGTTTCCTTCGTTTTGGCAAATCCAAGACTGATGGTACATTGTACAGAAAAATGATCACAATACATGGTATATACTGGTTGATGGCTTCAAACCATATTTATGTTCAACCCTGTTTGAGATTTAATGGCATGGCAACTGATCATATCAACTTGTGGTTCAGTATGTTCAGTTCTTTGTAATTGACAGATCAAGATCTGATTATATATGCACCCTGTGTGTACATCATGAGTTGGGACCAAATGACAGACATGTACAAACATTTTTTTTCGTCAGGGAGTGACACCACCAGCCAGTTGTTGACTATATCCAAATTACACCGCCATTGTTGCTTAACACCTAATTTTCCCGTGCTTAATTGAGTCCCCATGAACTTGGCACAATATGATGGCGTTTTATTTTCAATGTTGGGGGTCATTATATCAGACCTAGGGAACCATTTTAGCATTGACTCTTCGACATGTCGATGCCAAAAAAGAGTAGAGAGATACCCATATGACAAGATTATCGCAAAACTGATTTAGTCTTGCTTCGCCTTGGCCTTTCTGAGGTTGCCCCAAACCTTCATAACCGATAGGGGACGACCCTATACCGATACAGTAATTACACCATTTGTGATACCTCCAGGAGTACTGAAATCTTCGATAGGGGACGACCTTAATTTGCACAAGGCATTAAATCTTATCATTTTTTTCCGCTACTCATATCATGGTACATGATTGTGCCTGTGTTCTTTGTCTGAACATAGGGCACCCCCAAATTTAATATTTGATTTTATCATATTCTCATTGAAAGTGTCATAGTATGTCCTGTTTTGAGAGACCACCATACGATTTCCCATGAGTTTTCAACTGGAGCCCAAGATTGCTGAATCACCACAATGTGCGTATCCGTGTGTATTTGTGGTGTTTGTTCGCATACTGGATAAATAGATGGATAGATGGATAGATCGATAGATGATGGAATTAGATGGATGGGGATGGAGATGGAACTTGATATGGACATACCAGTAATTATATTGGAATATGGATGAATGAATATCTAAATCCAACTGCACATGGAGTTTCATGTGTATCATGCAAGTGACCATGTGTTTTTGGAACGTGCCGTTCCCAGGCAAAAGGACAAAAGTTCATGGGACAGCATGATCCGAGCTGGCATCAATGGCTGGCTCCGTTGGACAATGCATCCCGCAGATACCAGATGGGACCAGGGACGAGAAAACCAGGTGGTTTTTTCTCAGTGATATGGCACTGACCAAAAACAGTGGATGTCAGTTTGATAAATTAGTGATGGATTATGTTTAGTTAAATGGAGAGTAGTATTGGGGCGTACCCCGGTATGTCAAAGACATCAGAATTAAGCTGTAAAATGATGCAGGAACACCCCGAGAACGAGGTACGCATCGCATGTAACGCATTTAGCTATTAAAAACAGTGCGGCGTTGGAAAATGAGGTCAGACCCCCAAAAACGCTAGGGGACTGGAGAACAAGATAGGAACACCCCGCCAGTTGCATTATGTACCATTATGAAATACCTTTGTTACATTGTACCAAATATCGTCCGCGGCTCAAATGATGGTTAGTTGATGGTTGCTTGTTTTTTTGGTTGGTGGTATTGCATGGATTGTTGTGTATGTAAAATGGGCACGGCAGGGAGGTATTTTGCATGGCTTAGGTAGAACACGGGCTGGCAGACTCGGGGAATGCCTACGATAAGCACCACTCCTTTGAAATTTCAATTAGCGTGATATTGTTGAAAGTTCATGAGCATGTGGTTGCCATATGTAGGCTATCCTTAGGCAATTTGAGACTAGCCATGTGCGGCTCCTATGCCAAGCCCATTTGCCAACGAGGTATGGATTCCCTCCTACATTGCTTATGGCTTAGTCGATACCATGGCCCCTTTGTATGGAGTGATGGCTCCTAAGGGGAGCCTTGGAGAAAAGGATTCACGTCCGGTCGTGGCTCTGCATTTTGGATGATTTTCTTGTTTGACCCCAAATTAGTCCCCCTAAATGGTCCCAAATATGTGGAAGTTTCTGAGGGGTGTTTAGTATTAGGGGGTGGGATTATTCATTGTTTCTCAACCATGCTTAAGATGATTGGTTTGGCATGACTAATAGTTTTGGGATGGATTAAAACATATTAAAAGCACCAACTAGTTTTGGTTTTCCCTCCAAGTTCGTTGCAATCAGGCCCCTGAATTTTCGGATGGATGCAGTAGCAAAGGCATCATTTGTGAGGCCGGTTTTTCGGGTTTCAAGCGAAATCATTGGCGGGGGTGTATATAGGCGGAACTATCATTGCAAATATTGCAATTAGCCACGATTAAAACATATTGAAGACCGTGGGAGCATGTGCAACGGTCAGTTTCAATGGTCTTAGTCTTCTTTTGAGGGGCCTCTACGTGAAGGCCCAACCCTTGAGTTTTTCAAACAGAGGTTTCCGTTGGTACCCCAGCATGGTAATGGAAACAACATCAAACAACAAGTTTTCATAGGAGAAACATTTCCAAATTACATCAATTTACTATGCATGGGCAAATTGTCTATGGGCACCAGGAGGTGCTGGACCCCCGCTACATGGGGGAAGGTTCCGAGACTGGGGCTTTCAAAGAAGGAAACAATGGCTATTATATAGATGATTTAGATGCTATTCTGCTATTCCGTACCTTTATCATTTGTCCGGTCATCATTGGGCTTATCAAAAGGATTCTTGAGATAGGTACCCTACGACATCCTACGACTGCATGTTGGGATGGCCCTGACCTGGAAAATTTGGTGAGCAAACTGGGAGGATCCCATAGCGGCCTGCTGCGCAGGTGTTATCAGTATCTCATTTTAAGCCCTTCCCCCCAATATCAAGTGATGTTTTAAATAGCAGCCCAAGCCCTGATGTGTGCTGGATCTGGGGCCCCGAAAAAAGTGCAATGTAATACCATGGATCACCATCCCCTCAACCAACACACACACAATACATATACATACATATATATATATATTATAATATTATATAATATTATCTTATATTATATTATATTATATATATATTATATATATTATATATATATATATTATATACACCCCTATTTGGCAAGGACTATGTTAGTTCGCAGGATGGACATCCACGTGCCCTCTGGTGTCATCAAAGATGGCTTGCCGGCAAATCCCCGATGTATATATGGTCCAGCGTTCCAACCCCCCTCTCCCCCGGCCATGGTCATGGATCAGCCATAGTACTGTCCCCCTCCCCCTGTGGTGTGGTGGGGGTGTGGTACTGTGTGTATATATATATATATACACATGTTTATATATATATATATACACATATGTTTATATATATATACATTTACATTTGTTTATATATATATATAATTATATATATGTGTGTGTATGTATATAAATATATATATATATGTATATGTATGTATATCGTGTATACAGAAAAATATTTATGTATTTATAAATATATATATATATACATGTATATATATATGTATATATGTATGTAATAAGTAAGAAGTAGATACATAGCACATGTATATATGACTAAAGGTAGCACGTAGGGTACATTGAGGGAGTACGTGTGCTACGTAGGTCGTCTAAAAGGTAGCATGTACCTAGTAAATGCGGGGCTGGTAGTCAGAAATCCTACAAAGACCAAGCGAATAAGAGGCTGGACTTCAGAAATGCTGCCAATAGCTTGCAAATAGAAGGGAAGGGGGTGCTACCTGGGGACCCATACCATTGGGGGGGGTAGGAACACGGAACACGAGACCATATATATATATATATTTCAATATATTTGTATATATATATATATATGTATGCATATGTATATGTATATGTATATGTATAGGCTCAGATATTTATGCATGCTTTCCCCATTCAAACCTCAAACTATAGGGGGTTCATTTAACATTGCCACGGTTACCGAGCCGCAGTTCAGCAAATCTGCCAATTGTGCTTGGATGACCCATTGGATGACCCACGAGATTTGCGAAGTAAGCCGAGGAAAGGTTCCAGCTTCGAGCCTGCGCAGAAGGGAGCCCAAAAAGGTGGCAAGGCGCTTGCGCCGGACGAGTGTCTAGGCAGCAGATGCGACATGATGAGCAGCAGGACACAGCAATAATCACCCAATATAGTTACGCCGATGAACACTAGTAATCTAATCTAATCATAAACAAAATATAAATAGTGCAGCTTCCCTGGGAGCCACTAGGAGTTTCTACCTAAGATTATAGGAGGGTCATCCCCTTATTTTTAAAGGTTTACTATATCCATCGCAAGGGGTTCCTAAGCATGGTCTGATGACCACATGCGGCAATGCATTGATCACAAGGATGCACAGCAAACTTTTGAATCAATCGGTTGAGTCATGACACACATCCATAAATTCAGGCTGCTTGGACCACTGGCATCCACTGGCCTTACCATACACGGGTTGTTCAAATTGGGGGAATCGTCCCAAATATATCCAAACATGCGATATTTTCCCGGATCCAGTGACTTATTGATGTCATGCGCAGAACATCCCAATTTGATCCCATTTTTTCCAGATTTCGATGTTCCCATGGTAAGCCCATCCTTTGAGGCAAGAATTTCACCAGGAGATGCTTCGAAAACTGGCCTTGCACCTCGCTGCGCAACCGGATGGTCCCGCAGTTCCCGGTCCCGCACCAGCGGTGGAAGCGCAACAGGATGAGTCGCCCGAACGGGTGAACCATTTTTGTGACTTGGCTGGTGATGGCAGTGATGAAGTGTGGTGAATATATGGCTAAGTGGTTGATGTATGGCTATGTGGCTGTGAATAAGTGATTGATTATGACTAATTGGCTGATAAGTGGTTGATTTATGGCTGGTAAGGTCTAGTCTAGTACATGATTCACCGAGACCTGCGGTTTTCGGTTTTCGTGGCTAAAGCCACGGTTTCTCTGTGGTTTTCCCTAACTGAAGTGCTAATTTGCTAATAATTGGATATCATGGTTTGTTGTATCAGTTATATCACATTTTGGTCGGTAACATTCACATTTTTCAGTCTTGAACACCTAATTTTTCGATATTTTTCGGTATCAACCCATGTTTCGCCAAGGCGAATGCGCCAACTTCTTCCTCCCCGTGGAGCGTCCGGATGCCACTCCCCGGGACTCGCCACGGAGTTTCTGCGCCACACCGGAGGAGCATGGCATGCCCGTGTGGACGGACCGTTCCGGTGGACCTACTGGACCTGCTGGACCTGGCGATGATGAGAGCCAGGCTTCCCACTGTGTTTGCGTGCCCAGCTACATCGTGCATGGCGACTTGGTGCATATGTTTGCTTTCGTTGTATTTGTTTGGCTGTCTATAGAATATAACATATATGATGTATGCATTAAATATATATTTTTTATGTGCTTGCTATTGCTTACTTATGTTTTTTTCTGGGTTAAGATATTGTCCTTCCATTTTGTTCCGTTGTGAGGCCTCTTGGAGGCCTGGGAAGGCAAGGCGCGACGCTCCAAAGCGGCTCCGGAGCAGAATTTTCACCACGAGATGTTGAAGAAACTGGCCTTGCACCTGGCAGCGCAACCAGGCGGAGGACCCCTGAAGCGTTTTTGGATTTCTGTGACGACCTTTCTGGTGGGGATGAACAACTGTCAACAACAAATCAAGCCTGGGATGATCCCCAAGCGCAGCGCTGTATTTTTCTATGGGAGTTCCATCAAGTTCAAGAGGAACAACCCAAAAGCATTTGTGGACTCTTAGCCCATTAACCAATCATGAACTATATGGAAGCCCACTTTTCTCTACAATGCGGAGCTTTCAGGTGCTGATTTTGATTACTGTATGTAATTTGTTGGATTGTGTGGTAGGTATCGCCAAAAGGTTTAATTACAACCCTTCAGCCCCATGGTTTCTATATAGGAAAGGATGTTTTCATCTCAGTTATATACTCTGTCATTTTTTAGTTGGCGTGGCTCAACAATCAGCCTACTGGTTTTTTGATTATATAAAGCAGGAAAGCTGCAGGATTTTGCTGCACATTCAGCACTATCAATTATATAGTTAATTCATTAAGAAGGTTTTAACCCTCTATATTATATATATTCAAAGTGCGGGTGTTCATGAAACCAATTGGGGGAACTATTGGTGCTCTTGCACTTGTTCGCTGTACGCCAATTCCCAGTGACAACCAATAGTTCCCCGAATTGGTTTTCATGGCAAAATCTGCATAACCTCCAACTGAGAATAAAACCAACACGGCATCCAGGGGCTACATGGGCCGGGGAAATGCAAATTTATATCATGTAAATGCACATAGATATTATATACAAACACCAATAATGATAAGTTCTGGAAACAGGATACCCTGATACCCCCTAAATTTGGTGGTGTATCATTGGTTTAATTAACATTGCCATAAACTCTAGACGAAGCAAGTGATAGCTCCAGCTTTCCAGGCGAGCCTACGGCAGCCCAGATGCCGATGCCACAGGTACAGCAGGTCCACTGGGTGAAGCCCTGATTGGTTGGTTGGTGAATGGTTGGAGTTGGTTAAATGCTACTTTTTCTAGGGAAATGGATTATGTAAATGGATGGGAACATGACCAACAAACCAGCTATTTTTTTGGGGTCGGGTCCACTAGCAAACCATCCCACAGGGACTACAGGGAGCACTGTTTGGTAACACCAGGACGGATGATCCGATGATCCGATGATCCTCCGTTTTTGGGGGTTCCATGTTGGTTGAAATGGGATGCACAGTAAGGTATAACTGATTATAACTGTATCACTCAGATTTTCAGTTGCGTGGCGGTTTCAAGATGTTTCAAGTGTAGTGGTCCAAGTCCAACCCCTTCAATTTATCCAACGGTTCAGGTACCCAAGCTTCACCGTTGACATTGGTAAACCTTGGCTCAGGAAAACTGGTTATTTTGCTTGCCGCACGTGGCAAAGTTGACTCTACGTGGTGTCCAAGTATAGCCACTGTTTGATGCGGACATTGGCTCAATCCCCATTCTACTGATGTTTATATCAATCAAATTGTTTATGCTCCCCATGTTGTTTCTTAGCTCTCCATATTCCTTAAATCCAATGTTTGATGGCTAAATCAAAAGTTTGCCGAGGTTAAATCACCATTTTCCAAGGTTGACTCACAATTTGACAACATCCCAAGATTTGTCGGTGATGTAACCATTTTCCAAGGTTGAATCACCATGTTGATTCCTTATGTTGTTTTTAAATCCAAATGATTGTGATTGTGAAATCACAAATTTGCCAAGGTCAAATCATCATTCAAATGCATTTGTCGGTTACGGGAAACCATCACCAAATTTGCAAACTCACACTCCCATGTTTCCATCACCATTTGTTGGCTGGTCAATCATAATGTTTCCCAAAGTTTGGTGCCTGGAGGTCTACATGCCCGTGGCCCCACAACCGGGGCCGGTGCAACCAGTGCCTGTCTTCGCGCCGCACGCGCCTCCTCAGCGCTCTCCTGCGGCGCCGCGCATGGGGCTGTTCCAGGATCATCGGCCCCAGGAGCCTTCGGCTGTGCTGGGTTGGTGATGTTGATATTCCATGATATGCCAGATTAAACGATCACATGGCTATAGATTCTATAGATTTTGCATGATTAAAGGGAAAAATCAACATATAGGAATATAATGGGATAATCAATGCATTCAGCTGATTTGTTTTGATAGATAAAGCCAGAATTGGAATTTAACCAACAAAAGCTTGAAAAATCCAAGAACTGTGGTTTAATATATGATTGTAGATGAGGTCTATGAGGTCTATCCATAATCCCATCCCAATAGTGGTACAATGGGATGTAATTGGGATCTAATGGGAATAGAATGGGATAATCAACCAATCCTTTCCCCCTCGTAGAATTTCAACACCAGACAGACACAACGGTTTACTAGGGAATGAATACACACAAATTTGGGACCATAAAATTCGGGGTGTTGAATATTGGAGGAATGAAATTAATAACCATCCAAAAAGAAGGGATGTTGCGCATTCCAAACATAGGAACCATCCAAAATGCGGATTGAACTTGGCGATGTGAAAAGGAGCGGTTTACAAACAAGCGCTTTGGGGTGTTTGGCCAAAGCAAGAGAGGAAAATTGACAAATAGCAAGAGAGAGGGAGGAAGATTGGAAATTCTATCTTCATTTTTTTTGGGGGGGGGAAGAGCTTAGTTTTACTACACATATCGATCACAGAGTAACATTCCCGAAGCAACGAACATCAGGTTGCTGAATCTCCATTGGTTGATTTGCCAACGAAGTGCCAGCTGAAGCCGCGCTTGAAAAACAAGACTTGGTTGACCAGTTTTACCATGAGTTGTGTTTGGCTAACTCTATTGAATCCCCCTTTCTGTTCACATAAGATCGTGTTATTTGCTGGTTAAATCCCAATGATAGTATTTGGCAAGTCCATGTTTTTAATTGCCATCCAATCCCCAAGTTTGCCAAGTAGTTATTATCTGTTATTTGTTTTGTGGTTCAGGCTCTCCTTCGGCACTCTTCAATCTCACTTTGTTTTTTCTATTTGGTCGGTCAAGTCTGAAGGTTTGGTTGGTGAATTCCTGATTTGCCTTGATCATATTGAATCCGTATCATTGCTAAAGTTCGCAAAGCAATAGTAAATCATACCCAATTTTATAGATATCCCACTATATTCCCAGTATATTTCCCTATTATAACATGAACTTTCCATGGTAAACATATATGTCCATTATTGATAATTACCCATGATTAGTTGATTTACCCATTAAACATGTTGATTTTCCAAAGTTTGTTTTTATTTTTTTCGGGTATGTTTACCGAACATGTTTTATTTTCCATAATATATGGGTTGTCATCCTTCCCATTGACGAAGTCATATTTTTCAAGATGGTTATATAAAACCACCAACCAGATAGGGTTTTATATGGTATATAGATCATTCATATCCCAGTACTAACCACTATTAACCATCATTAACCACTATTAACCACTATTAACCCATGTGAATCATTCTGTCCCCATGCCTTTTCCGTCACAGGAGGAGTTCCACCGCCAGATGCTTCAGAAGCTGGCGCTCCATTTGGCAGCGCAGCCGGATGAGACATCGCAGGAGGCGGGGACAGACATCGCCAAGCAACGTGATACAGTTATTAAATCACTTTGGGATTTCACCCGCGGATGTCGCGGATAGTCAATCAACAAAACAGCGGACTTCACCACTCAAGAGTTGCATTTTATCAACAAACATTGGGATTTAAGCTGTGGACATGCGAACTTTACCAGCAACAAAGATGGGATTTATCAGCTTAAAATGCCTAATTCACCAACAGAAGCTGGATTTAACCATAGAACGTGGAATTGACCGGGATTGAAACATGAGAACTTAGGATTTGACCATTGGTCATTTCGATTTGACAATGTAGGAACAAGAGTTGAGACTTAGTACATTCTGTTTTAATACTATTCCAACACATGCATCTATTGGACTAATTTCTATCCGCCATGGAGGAATACGTTACATCCCATCGTCCCAATGTTGCAAGTGGTTCCTGGTTACGTCCTGGTTTTTCTGGCTGAGTTTTTTTGGCTATGGATAGCTGGATAGCTGCCCCTGGAGGCCAAAAGTAGCGCCAGCCACCAGGACCAGGCGGGGAATTGCCTTTGGACAATACTATCCGTCCTGCATATCCTGCAATATAAAGGAATATACTGGAATGTATGGGAATTATATATATATATAATTGGATTTGATGGTACCTAATGGGAATATAGTGGGATACCCTGTGCATTAACTGGCAAAAATGATGGTTTTGCATGGGAACTCGAAATCCGTTGCATATTTTGCGCGTAAGATCTCAGACAAGCCTGATCGTCTAACCTATGTTGTTGGACTGTTATTCTCGTTGTGATTCTTTGCAGAATATCACCCATGTTCCCCGATTTTGATCGTTATGTTTGCCAGATTTGTCTTGTTTCCCTGGTGCTTGCTGTGGTTCCCAGCCTGTCGGTCTTCAAAACTCACTCAGGCCCCAACGGCGGATTTGGCAGCCCCCGTGCAGCTGCAAATTGAGCCCCGCATCAACGAGGCAGCTCGGGCAGCTGAGCAGGTTGGGGAAGCACCTTGGAGAAAGTGGTGGAGGGGTTGTCCGGACTTGGGAATTCCCATAATGTGGTTAAAACTTAAAACAATGCCATAAACCACCCATTTGGGAATGGTAGACATACCACCTATAGAGATGGTGATGATTGGGGGATGTTTTTTCTTTAATTGTTTTGCCCACATTGATCCCTTCATCCTTTTCCCTCATATGTTTGATGCCCACCATGACGGCCCTCAATGTATCCAATGCTCAACCGGGCTTTGTAGCGTAATATTCAGTAAGGGGCGGAATTTGCCATTGGCAGGTTCGGTTGCCAGTATTTATACTTCCAAACAAGCAAAACCACTTCAAGAGTGTTGTTTAAAGGGATGTAATTAACCACTTAAAGATTGTGGTTTAAAGGGACTTAACCACATAAACATGGTGATTCAAGTCATGACAGATATCTAAAGTTAAAGCAGCGAACGACACTAGGCCCCTGATGCCCCTGGTTTCTGGCCGCTGATTCACTAGGTCTGGAAGGTTGATAGTTTGTCAATGGATTCATCTTTGGCATGTATCACCTGGGTTTGTTTATATAAGGTGCTTGTTTATTTTCCCAATGGGAAATTTGAAATCCACCAGAAATGGGGAATCTATTGGGAATACGCTGAATACGCCTGACTTCTTGGGGTTCCTTAAGCAAATCCAAGATCAACGAATGATGAAATCTGGGGACCACGGGGCCATGGGCGGTGGCTTGCAATTCGAATGTGAATCGGGTCCATATACAGTGGCCCGGTCACTAGCCACCAAGCCCCATCCCTGGCACCGGAAATCTTGATGGGTTGGACTTTTTACCCTCTGGAAAACTAACAGTTCGCAAAATGGAAAATCACCATTTTAAATAGTTAAATCAACTATAAATGGCAATTTTCAATAGCTATGTTAAATTACCAGGGGGTAACACATGAGTCGTTTTTTTGGCGGCGGCTACCTTAGACTAGCAATTTCTCCAGTGCAAGAAGTGAGAGAGGGAGGCTACCTTAGGGCGCCTTGTGAGGTCTAAGATCAGAGTGCCTTTCTACAAGAGAGGCCTATTATATGTGCAGATAATTATTTCTGGGTAAATTATAACGACCTCACTGTTCTCCCTCACTGGAATCATGGTAAGGGAAATCATCCCCAAATGGACTTAATTCAGGTTAGTGAAATATTATAATTTATCCAGATTGTTTGTATATAGAATACCCCCTAAAAAAACACGAACAAGTAACAGCCTACTAAAACGGTGCGACATGACTTTTCTATAGTTTTCTATTTTCGGTCATTCCGAATTCCCTCAGAGACATCACTGGTGAATGCTCTCAAAACCTCCATCAACCCTGGCGTATGTATCTACATTTCTTCCAAAGTCAACATGTCACTAATCCATGTATATATATATAATACATATGCCATTTATTTACATTTATATACATTTATTCTATCATCTAATATGGCATATCATCCAATGCTACATCCCACAGTTTGGAAACTCTCCCCACCTCGACAGAGTTTCCCAAATGATCATCTTCCAAATATGGCACTCAGGGTCTCCCATTTTGTTTCTGAATTATCAATATGTATCATCATTTTCCCGATGGAAGTTGCCATTTTAGGTACCACCTAGTTTCAGACGGGTCAGAAAAAGCCACACACCAGTTCTCAGCCAAAACTGTTTTCTGAGGATAAGGCTCAGTGCGACCGCTTAATGGAAGACTTAGACGTGGCCGAACGCAGGTGCTGTCCTTTTTTTTCCGCCGGAACTCCAAAAGTTCAAATGAATTCAGATGGTTATGGCATGTTATGGCTACGGGTCAATCTCGGTGATGTTTTTGGATGTTGTGTATTCATTCTGTTCTAATTTTGGTGTGCCCAATTTTGGGAGGAAAAAAGGATCAAAACGTGTGTGGTAAAGCGATGTAAGCCCTAGAATACACCAGAACTAAGGAATGTGGGCATTGTTTGCCTTTAAGCCTCACAAAGCTTGGGTTCATAATTGGGGTGACCACAGTGTAGCCATCGTCTCCCTGGGTTCAAACCATGGACAAATGAGTTCAACTGGGCTCCCACTGACAACCCCCAAAAAAAGAAAGATCTTTGACCATGGCACATCTAGTTCGGTTGGCTTGGATGATCTCTGCCCATATCACTGAGGGTGCCGTGTACATCAATGTGTTTGTGTGTGTTCCTTTTTTGTTTAACCGTGGGCAGAACAACGGTCAACACCCCCATTTTCTGCAAGCCAAGTTGTAAAGTTCAAGGTGAATTTCCAGCAACATGACCCACTATGAACCTGAGTGCACAATCAACCGATGCTGGTTGGGGTGCAACAAGGTTCAACCCTATTTGGAATGATGATTGCCAATCACCAATATGATTGTCTTTGGATGAGTTTAAGCCGCCTTTATCTCATGTTTTCAGGTTTCATTCATCCTGGATTACAATATATATATATATATAGTCGTGGACACGTTATAAGCAGATTTTCATCTGCTTATCACACCCCCAAAACCCTCAAAAACGCTCAAATAAGGATCTGCTGGAATGAGGGACGCTAGAATCAGACCTGTGATAAGCAGATTCCCATATATAATATGTAGGATTTGGTCAAATTGGGAATCTGCTTATTACAGATGCTTGCACAATTCAAATTCGACTAAAGGTAACACGAAATATGGGAATGGTTTGCATATTTTTGTCCTTATTGGAAATATCATGAAGATGCATGACTGCAGAAAAAGACAAGTAGAAATAGAAAGGCAGAGAAGTAGAAAAGCAGCGAAGCAGGAAAAACAAAAAGCAAAAAAACAGGGAAACAGAACAGAGAGAAGCAAGAAAAGCAGAGAGGCAGAAAAGCAGGAAATAACAAAATAGCGGAAAAGCAGGAAAAGCATACAAGCAGAGAACAAAAGAGCAAACACGCAGAAAAGCAGAGAAGTAGAAAAGCAGAGAAGCAGGAGCAGAAGAAATTCAAGAACCCAAAGAAATACCTGAACCTGCTCAAAAGAAACCTAAAACCAATAGACCTCCATAAGAAAGGGTTGCGACAAAAGCACGGGCCCAAAATCAAGCCCCAAATCGCACAATTCCGAGAGAAACTGCCGGAAAAATCACGAAACACCAGCCCGAGGAACCTACAAATGCTTGCTTTCATTATAGTTGATTTTACTGCACAGACTGCAATAAGCAGATTTGGACATCTGCTTATTACAGCTGCTTGAAAGTTGAGACTTCTTTGGGCAACAAACTCAAGAAATAGCCGGGCCACAGCCCAGAAATTGAATCAGACTAGAATATCCAGAATAATTTGTTTAAGCAGTCTCAATCAATCACAGCACAGTATAGGCTCATTACCTGGCCCCTGAAATCATGCGTGTCAATCGGCAGGCCGAAAGATCTTCAGGTTATGGTCTGGCCGCTGATGTGTGGAGCTTTGGAATCAATTTATACTACTTCTGGGTGGGTCAACTTCCGTTTGCCGAGCATGAGGGACTGCCCTTCGACATTTACAACATCGTGCTCTACGATCACGATGGCCTCCCGGAGTACGAAGATTTCGGGCATGACAGGTTGGCAGAGATCATCAGGGGTCTCCTGCAACGATCTCCTGCAAATCGCCCCACGTTCCAGGACCTTACCCGAGATCCCTTCTTCCTCCAAAGCGGGGCGTGACCTGGAACAGGGCCAGACTCAAAAGGAAAAAAGCAGTTGGAAGATTTGGAAGACTTGGAAGACTTGGGACGTGGCTATGGGCGTGCTCACGCAGATTTGCATGCTTGTGTCCAGGGGTGCATGCATGCATGCATCCAGCATGCATACCTGCTTGCATGCCCGCGCGCACCTGCACCTTACCTGCATGCACAAAGGCCAACCTGCACACACACTTGAAAGACCGAAAGGTCATCTATGAGTCATCTCAAGTGATCTTTTGATTCCAAAAGGGGCCCGAGGTACTCAGAAAGGCCGTAAGTTGCGAAACTGAAAGGAAATCTCACAGCCTAATGCCAAATTCTATCAAAGGGCTGCCGTTTCTAGGAGTCCAAGGCAGTGTCAAAAAGCGGTCGTTTGTAAAGCAGTCTTGAGGGAGTTTTGGAATGAGAAAGGGTTGCGACAAAAGCACGGGCCAAAAATCAAGCCCCAAATGTATGTTTAAACGGCATTCCGAGAGAAATTGCCGGAAAAAAAAAAAACAGCCCGAGGAACCAACACATGCCTGAAAGCATGCATTATAGTTGATCTCCACTACACCTTAAACTACCCTGACTGTAGTCAGCAGATGAAATCTGCTTCTTACAGCCGTTTGAAAATTGGGACTTCGTTTGGTGGGGCAACAAATTCAAGAAATAGCCGGGCCACAGCCTAGAAACGGAATCAGACTAGAATAGAATAGTGTGTGTAATCAGTATTAATCAATCGTCACAGCGCAGTTTGGAAGGGCTGACGTTTCTAGGAGTCCAAGACACTGTCAAAAGCGTTCATTTGTAAAGCAGTCTCAAAGGAGTGTTGGAACAAGAAAGGGTTGCGACAAAAGCACGGGCCCAAAATCAAGCCGCAAACGTATGTTTGAAAGGCATTCTGAGAGAAATTGCCGGAAAATACACACAACACCAGTCCCAGGAACCTACAAATGCATGAAAGCATGCATTGTAGTTGATCTCCACTACATCTTAAACTACGCTGACCGTAGTACAGTCAGTGCCAGAATTATAGAACGGAGCCAAGAGTACAAAAGTACGGTAAAATACCATACCTTCGTACTCCTCCGGATCCCGATCCCGCGCGGATTCGGATCCGTTCTATAATTAAATTTCCCCGTTCTATAATTAAATTTCTCCGTTCTATAATTAAATTTCCTCGTTCTATAATTTCTGGCACCTCCATGATATTTACTGCATATTTGTACATATACAATCTATAAAATGAAGATTTAATGAGGATTTAATGAGGATTTGATGAGGAAATGAAGATAAAATGATGATAAAATGAAGATTTGATGAGGAAACGAGGATAAAATGAGGATAAAATGAGGATAAAATGAAGATAAAATGAGGATTTGATGAGGAAATGAGGATAAAATAAGGATAAAATGAAAATAAAAATGAGGATTTAATCAGGATTTAATGAGGATTTGATGAGAAAATGGGGATAAAATGAAGATAAAATGAAGATAAAATGAGGATTTGATGAGGAAATGATAATAAAACGCGGATAAAATGAGGATAAAATGAGGATTTAATGGGGATTTGATGAGGAAATGAGGAAAAGATTTAGATTTAACGAGGATTTGACGGCAGATGTTCCAGTGAGCTATTTGACGGCCCACGATCTGCTACAATACAAGTCTTGAGGGGATGGAAAAAAGGCAGTTTGCTCAGCTCTTTCTGGGACCCCGGAAGAGGTTCTATAATTCTATAATTAATTTTTCCGTTCTATAATTATTTTTTCCGTTCGACGGAAAAATGAATTATAGAATGGAGAAAATTAAATTATAGAACGAAAATGGGAAATGTGAGAAAAATGGGGGAAAACAGAATTATAGAATAACAGCGCTCCGACAAAAATTATAGAACGACGAAAAAAGTTAGGAGTAAATTCAGATACGTTTTTTTTTCATACCTTCCGAGGAAAACAGAATTATAGAACAACAGGGTACGGTAAATAACCGTAGCTTCGTACTCCCCAACTTCCGTTCTATAATTCTGGCACTGACAGTAAGCAGATTTCGAAATCTGCCTATTACAGCTGCTTGAAAGTTGAGACTTCTTTGGGCAACAAACTCAAGAAATAGCCGGGCCACAGCCCATAACTTGAATCAGACTAGAATAATGTGTTTAACAGCGGAAGGGCTGCCGTTTCTAGGAGTCCAAGACATTGTCAAAAAGCGTTTTTGTAAAGCAATCTTAATTAAGGGAGTTTTGGAATGAGAAAGCGTTGCGACAAAAGCGCGGGCCCAAAATCAAGTCGCAAATGTATGTTTAAAAGGCATTCTGAGAGAATTGCCAAACAAAAAAATACAAAAAAAAACAGCCCGAGGAACCAACACATGCCTGAAAGCATGCATTATTATAGTTGATTTGCACTACGCCTTAAAGTACCCTGACTGTAGCAAGCAGATTTGGACATCTTCTTATTACAGTTGCTTGAAAGTTGGGACTTCCTGGGGCAACAAATTCAAGAAATAGCCGGGCCACAGCCCAGAAACTGAATCAGACTAGAATATACTAGAATAATTTGTTTAAGCAGTCTCAATCAATCGTCACAGCACAGTATAGAAGGGCTGCCGTTTCTTGGAGCCCAAGACAGTGTCAAAAGCATTGAATTGTAAAGAAGTTTTGAGGGATTATTGCAACAAGAAAGGGTCGCCTGAAAATCAAGAGCCACAAGAAAGGGTCGCTGCAAAACCAAGAGCCACACATTGTTTCCTTACTCTGGGCTGGCAAATTTCTAGGCCCCTTTACATGATACCCAGTAGAAAAATATTGTACACTGAATGGAGTAGGTCCACTCAGGCTGTAAGAAGCAACTCATTTTCATTGTATACGGGGCACCTGATCAAGTTGCTCGTGTCAGGGAAATTGCATTTTGGTTTATTGCTGTAGGTTTGTACGCGTATACAGACTCCAAAGTTCGGTCACTGACTGAAACAACTAAGCTCTAGCTCCAGCAGCCTCCTTAGTAACAGGATTGATGCATTCTATGGGTTTATAGCCTCCTTAGAGTTTCCTTGATTGGTTTGTTTTTTCCTTGGATTTTCTTTTCCTTTGTTTCTCCCTTGGAAACCAAAGGAAAACAAAGCAAACCAAAGGAAACCAAAGGAAGCCAAAGGAAAACAAAGGAAATCAAAGGATACCAAAGGAAAAATGATATAATCTAAGAAAAACTGATATCAGCTATTTCCTTTGTGTTTGTTTTTCATTGCATGGTTTCCTCCCACCCACAATTAAAAACCATAAAATTTTGGTGCAACTCATGCGTTGGAAAGGTTGACACTGCTAGCTTTTGGTCCATACCTTGGTGGACATGTGAAACACTTGTTGCACAAAACACATTTGTACTAATAGGGTAAGAAAAGAAAACAGAAGAAAACACACGAAAACAAGAGGTTTTCAAAGGAAAAGGCAGGATGAGCAGAGGAGAACATCGGATCATCTAAGGTAGCCCTGCCGTGAAGGATGCATGTTCCAGTGATGTTACTAAAGAGTTCCTATGATAAACTATACCGAAACAATTGAAGACGTGACCCAGTGTCTGGGGACAACAGTAATAAGCTGATTTTAACTTTACACATTTTTAGGGGTAACAAGCAGATAAATTACCGGCAAGCGAGGCAGTTGAGCAATCTGCTTGTGTGCTGGCAAGGGAGGAAATCTACTTATTACCCGACAGTGACTATTTTTATATATATATACATATGCATAATTTTGTTCTTCTTATCCCACTCAAAGTAGTTCACTTGTTGGGGCCATCTTGCCAAACCGCTTCTCATCCTCACAGCCTGCCATGGTTCGCCTTGGAGGTCTGAGGTGGTCAGCTGGGTCTTGTCCTCCAATGTGCTGTCGCTCTCCCTGACGCAGTTCGGATCTCGCGTGGTGTTCCTGGGCTGCAAGGGCCGTTGTTGGGCAAGACGGAAACAGAAGTGGGGAACATGATGGTTCCATGAAACTTGATCTAGATATAAACTTGTAACTATGTGTATCTATATATATATATGTGTGTGTGTGCGTGTGTGTTTTGTATGGAAGTATATATTGGTATTTTCATTTATTTATTTATATATGTGTTTGCCCATGTGTATATATTAATAGACATGCCGCTTGATGTTTTTAATGTGTTGTCTGTGATTGAGTTTTGTTGCTGCATTGGTGGATCCAATTGCTGTTTAAATCAATGGTGCTGCGTTGTATATTGCTTGAAGATTCTTGTCGCCTGTCGGATTGATTGGCATTGCCTAATCTTTCCATCCATCTTGGAACGACAAAAAAACTTCATCAATGACTATGAATTTGAAAAGAGGAATCTTCCATGGTTTCTATCCACTTCAGGCGCCATTGATGCCTCAGTTTCTTTTATGTTATGGTCCCCAAACCATTTACAAGTTTGTTTATAAATTCCGTGAGTTACAGAGATACAGCCACAATAAACCCTGTATCATTGTGAGCACATGTAGACACCTGTAGCCACCTCTGGGGCGCTATCTGTTCGGAGCCATCACTGCAGGCAGAAAGCCATCGCAAGCGCCTCGGAGGTGCGAGACCGGGAAAAGTTTGCCGAAGAGTTGCTGCAACACGCAATGGATCTCTACGTGTCCCCCCATGGCCCCTTGGTGACAGCCCCAGGCCCATATCGCTTGTCTCCGTAGAAAGCTGGTTGATTATGTGATCCTCATGCCAGGGTAACATATGAGGCCAATAGAAGATGGATGTGGCTAGCAAAAAGCACATGGGATTGGTGTGGAGCCCCTTAGATTTCTGGTGCTTTAGATGACATGCCCATTGTGCTGGCCCTTCCCTTCAGAAAAAAAACAACACAGTCGGCGGGGTCTGGGGAAGTTTGAGCCACCCTGACCCAGATCGAACAATAATCCATGTTTTGGGGTGGTGTCATATGATCAAAAAACATGCTGAACAGTTTGAACATCACTTGAAATGCTGGTGAACACAGTTCTGTTCCCCTTCGATTGATACAGAGGAAACATGGGCAGGGTTCAGTTCATCCTGGCTGATTGGTGGTTTGGAACATGTTTATTTTCCATAATATATGGGATGTCATCCTTCCCATTGACTATTTTTCAGAGGGGTAGGTATACCACCAACCAGCTGGTATATGGTGGTACCCAGAATAGCTGGCAAATGGATGTCCCATCCCACTGGTCCAGACTGAGGGAACCACGTCTTGGCCAAGCTGATCGAAGTTCTGCCCTCCACACGCCTCGTGTGCATCGTGGAGCTTCGGCTGAAGGTGGTGGGGGCGCGGAGGATGAAAAAGAAGATGACGAGAATCGGCCAGATGCTACGGCTACTTACTAAAGTGCAAATGCCTGAAATTTACTGTAAACGTTTTCCCTGCGCCCGCGCGTGCAGTATCCTAAAATAAGCTCGTTGAGGCGCGCGAGCGCGCACGCGCGCGCGCGCGGATCCAATGAAAAAAAATGTTTCTCACTGAGTAATAAGCTTATGCCACCCAGAGTAAGCTTATGAAGCTGCATTCTCCAAATGCGTCCATATTGACGGATAATTCACATGTGGGGTGTGGCGAGGCGATCGTCTTTGACGTTGAGGAAACCTTGTGATGGGTATTTGCTAACGCCGTGTCCGGTGGCCTGTGCGTTTTGTGGGGGCTTCTAGCTTTGTATTTGTGGGGTGGGGTGGGGTGGGGTGGGGCGGTGGCAATAATGTTCCTAGGACCACGTCCTTGATGCTACATTGATATCATGTTGAAGTAACTTGGAAGACGCTCTTGGTGCCAACGTTGATAACATCTTGAAGTAACTTCGAAGACGCTCTTGATACTACGTTAGTAACAGTAACTTGGAGGACGCTCTGGATGCTACGTTGACAACATGCTGAAGTAACTTGGAGGACACTCTGGATGCTATACTGATAACATGTTGAAGTGACTTGGAAGACGCTCTTGATACTAGAGCAAAGTGGGTGGCACCTAATGTCTTGACAGAGCTTGGGGTGAAAAGGTGACTTCCAAAGCAAGTGAATTTGTTTTGAAAAAAAAGTCCAAAGGGCATAGTGTGGTCAACCCTCACCTGAAAGAGAAAGTCTTTCAATGGGTGTGGAGGCACCACAAAAAATGTGAATAAACAATTTACACCTCAACCAATGTGTACAGAAATGGGAAAGATTTGCAAGTGGCTACCATGAGTGACAAAAGTGACGCCACCGCCCACAGGCCACTCGCCACGGAGCAACCCGGGTAGCTTAAAGCTTAAGTTCAATCAGTGCTTTAATATTAATTAAATTGTGGTAATCTGTGATCTTGTTTCATCGTCTTTAGTCATCTTCCATAGTCGTTAATTATCTTAGATCGTTTTGCCACAAAAACTATCCAGCGCTAGACTTGCTTGACATGTGTTTTCTTTTTCGCAGGTGATCTAAGATCAATATCATGTGCTTGTCCAAGGGTGGCCTGAAAGTTCGTCCCGATTTGTTGTCAACAGGGTTTTTGGTTGTACGTATTTTTTCATAACATACAATATCTATACACACATATAAATATATATATATAATCATTGCTACCTTGGGTGTAGTTTGGCACTGTCCAGTTTTTTCTACACACCGTCCTGTCAGTGTCAAGTTAGGAACCCCCTCATGTTCCAGCCAAAGCCATTCCGAAAAAGGGGCGCATATGCTCCTCTGAGAGGCAAACTAGCAGCAGGACCAAGCGGAGCCAGTCTAAAGGACAGAAGTGACATGTCAATCATCATCATCATCATCATCACCTGCAGCAGCAGCAGCAGCAGCATGATAGTCACAACATTTTTTGTTCATCCGATTTTTCAAAGTATGTATGATATAGGTAGTCGCAAAACAAATTTCAGTTTATACATTCAGTATTGAGGATGATGATGATGACGATGATGATTATGATGTGATGATGGTGATGATGATGATGATGACGATGATGATGATGATGATACCCAATGACCAAGATCTGTAATATTAACAACGGATCAGTAAACCTTGATTGACCCTTAATTCAGGGGGTTTACACCCCAAAATAGTGATCAATCACTGTTTAAATTGGTACACCGTTTTTGGTAAACTGATGGATTTTTATGTTCTGCAATATTAGGGATAATGATTTGCAATGACCTGTATACTGTATTTATATATATATATATATTTACACTGTATACATTTATATATATATACACAGTATTTATATATATATATATACACTGTATACATTTGTATATATATATATATATTTGTGGTACTGGCACTTTTTTTCACCACCAATCAACCAAACCAATCTGTTGAACTTAGGAAAAGATGCGTGGCCAAGCGACAATGGTTGCCAGAAGCCTGGCTGAGCTGTGCCAAAGACAACTTGTTGTGACATATATATATTATATATATATATATATTTTTTTTTGACGTGTATATATATATAGTCCATATGTGTCGAAGCCATGAACATAAGGATTTTAGTATTCATCGCTACTTGATGCTTCTAAACTGGAAAACACCGCCAGACTACAGTGTTCGCTTATTAGTTGTTTCTGAGAATCCCACATCCCATTACCGCCTGATCTGATTCAGATGGTGCCCGTCATATGGTTTTGTCTGAAAACAGGATCCCGCTAATATTGGTTTTGAACTCTTAATGAACTGATGTAAAACGTTCTGAAATCCCACAATTCATCACAATTAGATCTCCAACATTTTTGGGTATTTGAAATGGGCATAAATTGGTGGTGAATCCTAGATCAATGAATTGGTTTAAGGGAAAATCCTAACCGGGAACCATCGATTTTCCCATGAACTATGGGGGTTTTCCGGTTTCAATTCTCTCAACAAAACCAATCCATTGATAAATATTTCATTGTATAGTTATCCCCCCATAAATGATCAATAAACTTAAACCCACCATTTTCATTCAAAATGTACGGGTTGTAGAATTAATATCTCAATAAACCCACCATTTTCCCCATTCTTCAGGTCAGGTGACTTGCATCATCCCCCGTTGAACGAACGCCCGTTGATCGAGGACATCAATTCGGAAGCCGTATTCTCGAGCGCCTCATGGAACACTGCAGTGAGGCACTGTCGCCAAGATTTTTTGTCCCGTAGTTTGAATACATCTATGATATATAGGTATATGATTAATTATGTTTTTATATATATATATATGTTATATATATATACCTAGGAACCCGTGCGGACTATTTTTTATCCGTGATGGTTTTACCCGTAACGGATTGTTTTTGGTTCAAATGCGTATTTGGGTTTTGATCGTGAGTGGTAGTTCAATTTGTATGACAGCCCGGGTTCCGACATCCTCCGACGGCCTCTGAAAGAGTAACTTCAGCCCAAAATGGAGCAGATTGGGAGTCATGATAGGGTACCCAAATCTGGCTCCATATACTGACATATGTGCAACCAAATTTGGGTGTACCCATACAAAGCTAGTTTTTGTTTCAACATTATGTTGAGAAAAAAACAGTAACCATAATTCGACACCCTGCCCCAAATGCTGCCTCTAGACTATTAACTTTCGCGAATCACCCGGGGAACTACTTGAATATGCGTGCAAGCGTGTCAGTTTTCACGGGTTTCCTGCAAACATTAAACCAAAAACCCGTCAGTCAAAACATTAGTTTAGACTCCACTGAAAAACATCGGCCCTGAGTCAGCCTGAGGCCTTGTTTTATACAATATTCATCAATATTCAATATTCAATATTAATCTATTCAATATTCAATACAGCAGAACTTGAACCTAAATACCAAAGCAACTAACTTTAACTAAAAGTTAAAGTCCTAAATTCCAGGCTGCTGGCGTTTTGCCAGGGAGTTTAGGGTTTAGGGTTACGGGCCGTTACGGGGGTGTTTGAAAAAAGCAGCAGAACTTGAACCAGAAGGAACTAATTCAAACTGAAGTTAAAGTCCTAATTCCAGGCTGCTGGCCTTTGACCATAGAGTTTAGGGTTTAGGGTTGCGGGTGTTTTTGAAAAAAGCCTGAGTTTGGAGAATTCTCAACCATTGAGTGTGGAGAATACTCCAAACTCAACCTCTGAGTTTGGATTTTTTTGAGAAACGAATGAGTTTGGAGATTTTGAACCGGAATTTGGAGAATTCTCCAAACTCAACCCTTGAGTTTGGAGATTTCTCCAAAGTCAGAGAAATCTTTCTTTTGAATCTGAGTTTGGAGAATTCTCCAAACTCAACCTCTGAGTTTTGGATTTTTTTCAATTCCTTGTTTTGCAGAAAAAAATGAATTTGGAGATTTTGAACTTGAGTTTGGAGAATTCTCCAAACTCAACCCTTGTGTTTGGAGAATTCTCCAAACTCAACTAAAATCTTTTGAATCTGAGTTTGGAGAATTCTCCAAACTCAGCACTTGAGTTTGGAGAACTCTCCAAACTCATTTTGGTTTTTGAAAAAAACATGTTTTCGGGATTTTGTTTCTTTTGAATCTGAGTTGGAGATTTAGCGAAACTCAGATTCAAAAGAAACAAAATCCCGAAAAAATGTTTTTTTAAAAAAAAACAAAATGAGTTTGGAGAATTCTCCAACCTCAAGTATTCTCCAAACTCAGATTCAAAAGATTTTTTTTCTGAGTTTGGAGAATTCTCCAAACTCAAGGGTTGAGTTTGGAGATTTTCTCCAAACTCAAGGGTTGAGTTTGGAGATTTTCTCCAAACTCAAGGGTTGAGTTTGGAGATTTTCTCCAAACTCAGAATCAAAAGAAACAATTCTCAGATTTTGTTCCAAAAATGCATTTGGAAAATTCTCAAAAAGTTCATTTAAAAAAAAAGAGTTTGGAGAATTCTCCAAACTCAGGTGCAAAATCTCCAAACTCATTTGTTCCTGAAAAAAATGAACTGGAGAAAAAAAACAAACTCAGAGGCTCAGAGGTTCTCAAGATCTCCAATGTCCAGGTCCAAACTCATTTTCTTCTGAAAACCATGGACACGAAAAAAAACAAGTCAGAGATTGAGATTGAGTCCCGTTTGGGTTCAAAAAGTCGTAAGGGTTTCTCGAGAACAAAATTTTGCTACACGAAAACAATTATATAGTTGGGAGTCAAGTCGGGAGGGGGAGTTTTCCAATCTCTGTTGCCAAAATCTACAAGCATATATGTGGCCTGCAAGATTGTATTGTTGTTGTTTTTGCAAATGAAAAAAACTATCAAAACTGTCAAAGCTCCTCAGAGTTTGTGTTTGGAGAATACCCTAAACTCATCAAATTCAAACAAATTTGTTTCTCTGAAAACAACGATGCTGACAACAAAAATCCATACTTGAGTGTTCAAAGTCTCCATACTGCGTTGTCGTTAGTAAATATGTCTTTGGCTCAGGCTCTGGCCCTGTAGTTTTCAAATTTCTGTGTTCCAAGAACTCCCCAACAGAGAAAAACCAACTAAGAAAATATTTCAGAATCACAAGTCACAAGTAGACAAGTAGTACTAGAGTAGTACCTAGCTTGAGTCGAGTCGAGTGTGTATATACTTTATAAAATAATATAGTATTAAACTACCCCAACCTGCAGACTTGCAAACCCTGGCTGCTCGCTACCTAGTTCGAGCCACCAACTTGGGTCTATTCTTAATACACCAGGAGCCGGAAGTGGGCCATGCGAAACCCCAAAATTACATATTTCTGGAAGCGGATGCACCCCATACCTCCCAAACAACCTTCGCACGCATGTGCGGCGGAGAGCACTGATTCATGAAAGTCTATACTCTAGACGAGACACTCATATACTGCTGGAACCAGTCCGGCTAATCCAAGATTTCAGGAAAACGATTGATCCGTAAGTAAAGGGATTGCAGCCAGACATGGTCAATATTTGAATAAAAAACAACGTTACGGACCACAAAAGTGGCCAAACCCGTACGGACAATTTTGTCCCTATGGTTTTCCAATTATATACAATAGTTTTATAATTTATTTGAATATATATATATATATATATATCTGCGTAAATTATAACGACCTCACTGCGACCTCACTGGAATCATGGTTAGTAAGGGAAATCATCCCCAAATGGCCTTAATTCAGGTTCGTGAAAGGCACGGGGGTCGCATTTGCCCCTATATTCCATCTTGGGTCGCATTTGCCCCTAAATGAAGGGGGATGAAGTGGGTTTAGGGGCGAATGTGACCCTCCTTTAGGGGCGAATGTGACCCCTGCTTTTGCGTGGCAGGCGCAATAGTTTCAGGGCCTCAAAAGGATTTTTTCCACCCTAGAGAGTGATATTCACGTGTTTTTCTACGTTCCAACAGCCATTTCAATCAACTTCCAGGACACTATGCATGCTATGGCGTTCCATTGCTATACGTTGTAACATCCATTTCGAGCAACTTCCAAGACGCTTTGGATGTTACCTTCCAAGAGACATTTCAATCAACCTCTAGGACACTATGGATGCTACGTTGTAAGATCCAGTTCGAGCAACTTGGAAGACACTTTGGATGCTACGTTCCAACAGCCATTTCAATCAACTTCCAGGACACTATGCATGCTACGGTGCACCATTGCTACGTTGTAACATCCATCTCGAGCAACTTCGAAGACGCTTTGGATGTTACCTTCCAAGAGACATTTCAATCAACTTCTAGGACACTATGGATGCTACGTTGTACTATCCAGTTCGAGCAACTTGGAAGACGCCTCGTATGCTACGTTCCAACAGCCATTTCAATCAACTTCCAGGACACTATCATGCTACGGTGTACCATTCCTACGTTGTAACATCCATCTCGAGCAACTTCGAAGACGCTTTGGATGTTACCTTCCAAGAGACATTTTAAGCAACTTCTAGGACACTATGGATGCTACGTTGTACCATCTAGTTCGAGCAACTTGGAAGACGCCTCGGGTGCTACGAGCCAACAGCCATTTGAATCAACTAGCAGCACGCTATGGATGCTACGTTGTAACATCCAGTTCGAGCAACTTGGACGACGCCTCGGACGCTACGTTCCAACAGCCAGTTCAATCAACTTCCAGGACACTATCATGCTACGGTGTACCATTGCTACGTTGTAACATCCATCTCGAGCAACTTCGAAGACGCTTTGGATGTTACCTTCCAAGAGCCATTTCAATCAACTTCTAGTTAGGACACTATGGATGCTACGTTGTAAGATCCATTTCGAGCAACTTGGAAGACGCCTCGGATGCTACGTTCCAACAGCCATTTGAATCAACTTCCAGGACACTATGGATGCTACGGTGTACCATTCCTACGTTGTAACATCCATTTCGAGCAACTTCGAAGACGCTTTGGATGTTATCTCCCAAGAGCCATTTCAAGCAACTTCTAGGACACTATGGATGCTACGTTGTAAGATCCATTTCGAGCAACTTGGTTAAACCCTAAAGGGTTGAGTAACATATGGAATAGAGAGACAAGTCAACATATGCCCCCATGTCCCCCCCTAAACCCCAGTCCCCCTAAAAGTCCCCTTGTCCCCAGGTTAAACCCTAAAGGGTTGAGTAACATATGGAATAGAGAGACAAGTCAAGATATGCCCCCAGGTCCCCCCCTAAACCCCAGTTCCCCTAAATGCCCCCTTGTCCCCAGGTTAAACCCTAAAGGGTTGAGTAACATATGGAATAGAGAGACAAGTCAAGATATGCCCCCATGTCCCCCCCTAAACCCCAGTCCCCCTAAATGCCCCCTTGTCCCCAGGTTAAACCCTAAAGGGTTGAGTAACATATGGAATAGAGAGACAAGTCAAGATATGCCCCCATGTCCCCCCCTAAACCCCAGTCCCCCTAAAAGTCCCCTTGTCCCCAGGTTAAACCCTAAAGGGTTGAGTAACATATTTAAATTATTGTTGTTTAGGGGCGAATGTGACCCCTTTTGGGTTAGGGGCGAATGTGACCCTCGAATAGGGGCGAATGTGACCCCCGTCCCTTCGTGAAATATTATAATTTGCCCAGATATATATATATATATATAATTTTTATATATATATATTTATTTATTTATTTAATGGTTGTAAAATAGTTAATGGCTAATAATTGTTTGTTAATGGAGGGATAGTTAATAGTTTCATTGTTCATGGGTTAATTGTGTCATTGGCTTATTAATTGCAACTAGTGAATTGCTTCATTGTTCATCAGTTTCTAGTTATAGTTTGGGGTCCCATCTTCAATGAACCTTCCTTGGCCTTCTCACCAAGAGTTGGCCTTGATGGCAGATATGTATCACCTCGGGTTTAACATGGTGGACGACCATAACCATCAAACAATGCCGTTTGAACCATGAACAATTGGGATTTTTTATGGGATTTATACAAAGGGATTCAATAAATAGTCACGGAACATCACCATCAAAGCTGGAGGTATAGTGGAGCTATAATAGGAAAAAAAACACTGCGACCAAACTTGGCGACCTCACGACAGAAATGATGCTTTGGATTGGGGGAACCATCCCCAAAAGGAAACTTAGCCCATGGTGTGGGTGTGATGCCAGTAAACTCACATAGCTGTGGAAAATGGCCCATACTGTAGATCCATCTAAAGTTCGATGCTTTACCTATGGCTTTCATTGGCTGTGGTGATTTTCCATAGTAGCCCTTTTTTCTTTACTGGAGGGCATGTTCCTAAAAACGGGAAAGTATCCATATCCATCCATATCCCACAATAGCTGCAGCAGGAGCAGATTGGCTTTCTCTTAGATGAACTTTTTGATGGCGCAGCAAACCTTGAAGCCCTGGCGCGGCACCCTTTCGCCACCTGGAATTGATGCAAAATGTGTTTGTTTGTGCAACCAGACATGGCGATTTCTTGGTGATTGGTTCTTATTGTTTGATGTAAGAAATGTTGATCAACATGATTTTTGGCTGGATAATCCACCAGAATTGTGCGACACCTTTTTTTGTTGATTGGTTATTTGTTAAACCACCAAAGATCTGGAAAATCGTAGGAATTTGTCTGGGAATTTTGGATCGGGCCCAAAGAAAAGCGAATCCAAGGCCAATTTTGTGGTGCAGCACATTTTCGAGCATGGCATGCCAGAACGGATTCTCGGTGTCGTAGCATGGATTGTGGGATGTTTGAATTCAGACTTACCCTCTGGTAAACTAACAAAACTATGGAAAACCCAATTGTTAATGGATAAATCAACTATTTCTACGGCCATGTTCCATAGCTATGTGACAAATTACCAGAGGGTATCACACCCAAACGGGTCGTTTCATACTCCCGGTTGCCATTTGGTAATGTTGTGGGCCCATTGGTACCATAATTTTGGCACCAGAATGAAGCATTTCCCCCCAAACAGGCAAGCTTGTTGGTGACGGTTATGCTTTCTTTGGAACCATCACTTGGTGTTCCCTCAGCTAACTACCAACCAGCATGGTGTTCTTTCAGATCTGTGGCTACTTTTATGTCTCATAATTCATTCCACTCTGTGGGCTGTTGGTGGGCTCGATATTTTGAGCTCAACCATGTCAAAACGCAAACAGGAAAACCAGATGCTTTCAAATGCTCCTGCCCTATGTGTCTTGTCAGCAAAGATGGCATGCTCAAAAAGGAGATTCTCTAAAACTTGGGGCCTCCAGAGCCAGCAACGTCAGCCCCTTTGGAGAGGAGAAAAGAGGAGGTTTCGTGAAGGCCAGGGGGACAGAAACTAAGTGAAATGAGCATGTGGAACTGTGCCTTTCCCTTGGCTCAATATTGATTCAATGTCAATATACCATTTGGTAATTTAACATTTAACATAGCCGTGGCAATCAGTGTTAAACAAATATATATATATATATATATTATATATCATATATATATGTATATATATTGTATATATATATATATTATATTATATATATATATATTTTATATATATTCATAAAATAGATAAATCATCAAACTCAATTGTCCATGGCTTCCAGTTCGCAAGCTGTTCAATGACCAGGCCCCAGGCCGGGGCAAATTGTTTCGCTTTGTGGACCGCCCAGGTCTTACAGCATGCTACCCACAAGACAGCCAGCAACGTTGTGCAGCGGATGCTGGAACATGCCGACGTGAGTAGACACCTGGATTTAGCTCAAAAGTTGCCAAGAAATCATGTATATTCTACGGTATATACCAGATCTTCCTCCAACTTTTCCAAATGCTCTTTCTTTTTTTCCAAAATGTCAACTCTAGATCAACAAACAGATGATGGGTTGAAGCGGTCATCCACCAGTGATTGCGCCCCAAATGGAACAATTCATGGGGGGTTCACCGTGACCCTCGGTGATTTTACGGAAAGCACTTTGGTGTTCCAGTCAGTAGTTTGGATTTGTTGCAATTAACGGAAGCCAGTTTCCAAGCTGCAAGCTGCAAGCTTGTTTTGAATTGGTGGATGAAGCGCTGACAAGAGAAGCATAGACTGAATGCCTTATTCTGAGTACTCTATTGTCACCATTGTGATGCGCTAAATCCGCACTTTATGGTTGATGATTCTGTATAGGTGAGCCCTTTTCATAGCAGGCTGATCAAATTGTCAAACCACCATGATCAAACGAGTGTTGAAGTCTTATTTCTGCTTGCTCCCGGGCCCCCCCCAAAGAAAACCCCGCCACCCCTTCCACCATTCAAGGGAAATTCGATTTTTTTGGGGTGTGAAACTATTTAATCCAAAGTTATGTGGCATAGGCTATGATTTTGATATTTGCTCAACATTTTGGCGAGGGGACTGTGTTATTCCACTGAATATGAATCTATCATAGTTTATCTATCTATGTAATAACCCCGTGTTTGTAGGTTGTGACTATTATCAATGCCTTTTCCTTTTCGTCGTGGGAATGACCAACCTATATTTTTCCAGCTTACTGTCGCCCCAGCCGACTTAGACCCTGCCACATTCGGGGTCCCATATCCCATCTAAAGAGTTACCCCGTGGTAATTTAACATAGCTATTGAAAATGGCCATTTATAGTGGATTTTCCCATTGAAAATTGTGATTTTCCATTGCAAACTGTTAGTTTACCAGAGGGTACCCCAGAAATCCCATGTTTGATGGTTCAATCCCTGGCGAAGCCAAGCCGAGCCGCTTCGTCCTTCGCATCGATCCGTTTTCCAAACTCTGCAGGCCAGGCGCTGATTGCAGACGCCTTCTTAGCTGGGGAGGGTGAAGAGTCACTCGAAACGATTGCGGCCACACGTGCCTGGCCTTTATTGGGACAGGGACAGGGGGTCACGTATGAGAAAACATGATTTTGTGCCGGAAATACGGGGTTTCATTTAAGATTGTAGTGGTGAAAATGTTGAGAAACACTGTGGTAACGTGGATTCAAGGGAGATGATGGGTCTTATTGGGCAGGTGTTGCTGGAAATGTCAATCAAACAGGATCATGTGGATTTTACGTGGTTTTACCATTAAACCTAGATGTTTCCTGTAAACGGGGTGGATTCAATTGCCTTCCAGAAGCATGGTGGTCGGTCAGTCGAGCCACCGGGGACCACCCGATAGTTACCATGTCATTTTCCAATGTGTTTCTGGGACAACTGACCCCACAGTTTTGTTTATTGATTGATTTTCCAATATAAATCAAAAAAGATACAACAAATATGCACCTGCTCGCCTTCAGATGCCTTCAGCCCCATGCTGAACCTCCGGGATGGCGATAGAGAAATGTGCACATCTTGAAAAGATTTACCCTCTGGTTATGACTAACATAGCCATGGGAAATGACCCATAGACATAGATGGTTTACCTATTAAAAATTGTGATTTTCCATGGCAAACTGTTAAATAACCAGATGGTAAAAACCATCAACAACAACCCACGCCATCCCCTTTTCCCCCAACCCCTCCCCAATGGAGGCTATGGCAGCTTCGTGATCCACTCTCTGGTGGACAAGTTGCATCCGCGCATCGACGCCGTGAAGGCGCGCGTGAAGGCGGCACAGCCGCAGCTCTCGGAGTCCAAGTTTAGCGCCCCGTTGCGCGGTGGGGGGAAGGGGGGCGTACCTGGGATGAACATGGTGAATTTAAAGATTCTGTTGCGCATCAAAATGTCATATAAATGTCATTAAAAAGCGATTTAAACCATGATTTATCATGATTTATCATGATTTACCCATCAGAAACGGGGATCGAACATGATTTGACCATC